GTGTTTCCAAGGTGTTTCCAAGGTGTTTCCAAGGTGTTTCCAAGGTGTTTCCAAGGTGTTTCCAAGTGTATTTCCGAAAATATTTCCAACGCCATTTCTTTCAAGAGCTATTTTTCCAAAATATTTCCGTAGTATCAAGCTCATCTATCGTATCAGACTGTTTATTCCTAGTAAAAAGTCTCTTTCTCTCTCTTCCTCTTTTTTTTTTTTAGCTCTTTGGAATTGGAAAGTAGTATTTTGAATTGTTGCAAACAACTTAAAGTTATACACTCTTTCCGGAAAGTAAATTCGTCTGTGATCGAATATAAATGCAACCAATGGTGAGAACAAAATTCATGTTGTATGAAATGTAAATTTGCCGTTACCAAGAATATTTTCGTAGTATCAGCCTTGACGTCCATGGATATACTGTATTTCCAAATTGAGCTGTCGTATTGAAACCGTTGTAATGTTATCAGAGTAATAACAAATACAAAAAGAATATGGCTCACTATCCCATTTGACAGTAATATTAACAGGTGGGCTGTCTTGGAGTTGAAACTAACCTAGTATTAGAAATCGCCCTCTTTAGTCTCTCTGTAAAAGTTTAAATTCTTTATTCGGTTTTTCCATGAAACCAGAACATGTAGTCATGTTTGGCAATACATATTCTTGAATAATCACCATGTAGATTTTTCCTATTTGATATGATTTCTTTGTTCCAGGTACCTGATCCTGAAGCTTGTTTGGAAAAGAGACCTTTTTTTTTGCTTCTTTACAGCAATTATCAAATGTCCCTCTGGGTGTTCAAAGATTTACCAATCAAAACTAGCCTGTCCTCATGGTCCTTACTCTGACTCGCTTGCCCCGCCCTCTTTGCTCTCTGGCGTGTATCTAGAACGTTCCCTACTAGTCTCTTCTGACGCCCTGGGTTCTCTCTGTCCTCCGTTCCTTTTTTTTTGTTTAAACTTTCCTGGGTAGTTATCGCTACCCTCCCCAGAATGCACCTTGGTGGTAAGTAAAACTAATATTGGGATATGTGCTCTAATACTAGCTTACTTTTTCTCTCTTTTTCTACATATACTCATTATCTCTCTCTCTTTTGACATGATGTCGTTTTATTCAAACCTATTTTTCTTTGTCGTCTTTTTACGAAAATATTTTATAAAATTAATGTCAATAATTAATAAAAATACAGTATTACAATGCCTCACCATTGCGGCAGTTGTCTAAACATTTATGTGAATGAGAAATAAATCCCTCAAAATCACTCAACTCCAAGCACTTTGATGCGTCGCTGATTCGTGCCATCAACGTCTTGCTTTCCAACAACCTGTTGCATTTAACTTTACTCTTAAGAACAGACCAAAACTGTTCAATAGGATTGAGTTCAGGCGAGTATGATGGAAGATAAGCACATCGATATCCTCTAGATTCAATATACCGAGAAATATCTTCAGCTTTATGAATAGGGGCATTATCCATGACCAAATAATGGCCATTCATGTGCTTATACTTATCCATCTCATCCATTGTAACCTTAAGAAAACTAAGATAATGACCAGTGACAGTTCTTCTGTTAATAATTTCAGAAGAATTTGCTCGCTTTCTTTTTCTGGTCGAAACCTGTGGAAGTCTTAAGCTGCATTTAATCAAACCAGAGGCAGAGATTGCACCCAGGATAGTAGTCGTTTTTGCCCTTGTTTTTGGGACAGTTACCACAGTAGTAGACCCTTTTTTTGACCATGCCATACTGCGCTTCATGTTAATATGGAAGGCTGACTCATCAAGAAAAACACAGTTTTTTCTAAAATCCATGTCCGTTTCATCCCATTTGCGTATCCAGTCAAATCGCTCTTGGATCTTAGCTTCACTGTTCCTGTCAACAGGATGAAATTTGGCTTTCTTGAAAGATAAGTTGCATTCATTCTTTACAAATCGATAAAGTATTGTTTTTGACACTTGGATTCCTTCAAATCGTTGACGTAATTTCTCCATCAATTGTTCTAAAACTATTGACGGATTCTCATCAACCCATTCTAAAATAAGTGTCTTATGCTCATTGTTGAGAATGCGAGGACGACCAGAGCTTTTACCCTTTTTAAATATGCTGTCAGGATCTTTTTCATACTGCAGCGCCCATCTTTGCGCCGAGCGAACATGAATTCCCAACAACTTCGCAGCAGCTGACGCACTCAAAACCTTCTCGAACATCAGTTTGAAGAATCTTACTTTGTCTTGATCCGTATAAACTGTGTAATCTCGTTTTGTAACTGATTCTTTCATATGAACGTCCTTACTCTGTACTTCGTTCGCATGCACAGCGACAGGCTTATGGTTGCGTACACCATATAAAGTGTGCAAATAATCAGTATGAGAACTAAGTGTTTGAAGAGTGTACGTTTCCTCATCAACGACATAATCCATGGGTTCAGGGCAGCCATGCTCATCAATAACATGGCCCTGCCCATCTTCATAAAAAAACTGATTGCTCATAATTTCTACTTTGATTGGAAAAAGAAAAGAATTCAACTTGAAAAAAGGCGTCATGCTTTTTATATTGATTGTTTTGTCAAGCTTTTTTTGTACGACATCTTTTTTTCTCCTACACGGCTTTCATTTCGGAAAAGAGTGTACAATTACAGATCTGTTATAGAGATAATTGAGGCTTCAAATGCAATGGTTACTATATCATCCATGTTTGAATAATTTGTTTAAGACAATAATATCAAATATAATATCTATGAAGATATATAATCTAGTTTTTATTCGAATGAACGACTGGCTCTTGATCTTTTTCTATGCTCCTTTTTATTGGCTGCAGATACCTTCAGCCCCTCGTCAATCAGCTTTTCACATCGAGTCTTGATTTCTACAGCAGTTTCTTGTTCTGTAGTAAATATCTCAGGATATCGTACACTATAATCAAGCAAGATATATTGGCACAATAGCGCACAAAGCATATAAGCATCTTTACCTTAACCACATATAAACTATGATTTGCTTATGTTTTTCTTCTAAGTCTACTAAATGCTCTGGGTTAATGGGTGGTGTATCTGGTAATTCTACAATTTCCTCTAAATCGCATGTTTCCTGTCGACTGAATTTTTTTGCCAACGTTTTAATCAATGCCATTGAAGGCTCACTTCTTATGCTCACAGGTGCTGTTGCAAATTGGAATCTATCTCGTATTTCTAACGGAATATCCTCTATTATATCGGCAATGGCCTATAACAAGCATAAGTCACGTATTCATACAGTACGCATTCTCAATGTACCTTTTTATCCTTGGTGTTACACATAAAATAGTCTCCGGTAACTGACGCGAAGTCTTCAATTTTTTGCTATTATTTACTTTGTCAACACATTAAATATAATATCAGTATCATACTTACAATTATAGACGAAAAGGGTTGGTTAGGCATTTGGGAAGCAAAGAGCTCCAACATTTCCACAGTGGGTTGCAAACCAGCTGTCTTTAACGCCATCATTAATTACTTTATTTTTTTGTATATAATCGTTATCTTTTACCTCTAATGGAACTATAGGAGATTCAACGGCCGCTTTAATATATGAAAGATCTCTGGGATGTAAGCTATATAGATCCATGTCAGAAAAAACATGATTAAATAAACAGATATCAACCCTTACGAGGTAACAATTCCATTTCCATAAGCTGTACCAAACCTGCCTGCACGTCCAGCAATTTGCTTCAACTGTGGAAAGCTAATACGTTCCATCTCTGCCCCATTAAACTTATGCGTTGTGCTAAATATGATACGCTTGATATTCCTTTTAATCAAATAAGTTACTTTGTTCACTTTTAAAAGATACGGTAACCTACAAATTTAAGCCCATGCCAACCGCGTCTGAAGCTACTAATACGTCGAATCCACTGTCAGGGTCATTGAATGCCTTTGCTTGAAGAGCTCTAGTTTCTATCATGATATGGTTAAATAATGCTTGTGTATCTCTTTTTTTTTTTTTGCTATTTACCTGGAGGAAGACCGCCATATGCTACAGCACACTTGAGTCCAGTGGTAGCTTCGATTTTGTTCTTATAATTAAATATGTCTCGTCGAGAAAAGGCGACAACGCAGTCTCCTTTTGTAATTCTACTCAAATCACCTTCTAATGATCTGTTGCTCACTTTGTAAGGAGTAAGACGCTGATATTTGTTCACTACCAATTCCTCATTCAGACTCTCACAGATCCTTTGAATTAAAGGCACAGCTGATTCCTCACCGCACAGGTGAACTTCTTTTGCTGCCAATCCCAAAAGAGCCGCTGTCCATGCCCATCCACGAAATGGATCGGCTATCAACTGAATTTCATCGACAACCGCTACGTCCATCGGCCTTCCTAATGGTGCCATTTCAACAGTTGAGCTGGTCAAGGGTGCATAAGGTGATACTATTCTTTTTTCCTCCCCTGTCACCAAGTTACAAAGAATGCCTTTTGTGTTCATTTTATCATAGATCTCGTGGGCTAATAAACGCAGTGGTCCACAGTAAATACCGCTCTGCGCACTTTCTAGTCGCTGCAATGCCTGATATGTCTTGCCGCTGTTGGTGGGTCCTACATGAAGTATAATCTTTCTAGTTTATGTTAATGCATCTATTCTATTGCTGCACGTCTCTCTTTCTCCATACCTTTGCATCTGTCTAGCCAAAGGATACCACTCTGTTGGATATCGAAGATCACTGATTTTTCGAAGCGAATTGACCTTATCCACAATGTCCTCTGGTAGAAAAGGTTTTGCATAATCAAGGAAACACTGTAAGAGCTCTTTGTCAAGATAAGCTGATAAAAAAAGTTTAATGAAAAAGAAAAAAGAAATATCTGATACTTACCTGATATATCATTCCCTGTGTATCCTGAAAGAAGATTTCTAACTGTACATCTAGGTATTTCTCCAGCAGCCACGGCTTTTACAAATGACTGTGATATTTCTCGGAATAGTTTGGTATTTATGCCTAAACAGCTAGCTTCTCTTCGAAAGTGTACACTTTTGCTAAAGCTCTTCAACTTTCTGTCCAACTCTGAAATGCAAAATAAAGCAAGTCAATACGGGAGAGCAAGGGTAGGTATTGGCAACTAATTACCTTCTTCTATACGTCGATGTCTCTTTGGGGAAAGTATTCTCCAGACGGCATTGTCAATGATCGATCCTTTTCTCGGTAGACCTCCTTTACGTAAGATAGGTATTGTTTGATGAAAATGTCGTAAAGGAGCTACCGATGCACCGAGCTTGATCCGAAGTAGTAGGCAGGATGTTTGCCTTAGTGGAATTATTCGCAGCATGTCTATGTTTAGAAAAGAAAGTATAATTTCGGAACAGACTGTCTTTTCATGACTTCTTTTTTAAAAGAATCCTGAAACTCAGGTTTATGGTTGTGACAGTCATGCAACTAGTTTGCCATTTTCCATCTGTGTGCCAGATGAGCCCACCTAAAAATTCTACAACTTCTTCCAAAATTACCGGAGCTTCATCTGCACAACATGGACAATCACAATAAAATAAGTAGACTATTTCAAATGAAGAAAGGAAGAGTTATCGTTTAAATTATTCTGCCGCGAGAATCGAGTTTACAACCAAAAGAATATCCAATAGTATCATGATTACGAGAAGTGCTGCTGCTACCTTATTGTGTAACATGGAGACGACTTTATCAAAAAGTAGCTTCAAAGTAGTAAAGTCTGTTGCCAATGTCATCGCTAAAAGTACCCAATGTGCCCATCATGGAGAAGAAAAAGGAGAATGGGTTGTGTAACAGATACCTTGACCCCTTACTGTGTGGTTTGTTTGACGACCCTGATAGTGATGTATTCTTTAGATGGTGAGAATAAGAATAAGCACACTTAGAAAAGATGATTCTTATATTTGGATTAACAGGACAAATGCAAGGCCCAAGGAAGCAAAGGATGAAAATAGTGATTTAACAAGTGAAAGAGCAGATGCAGTAATCAGCTCGCTCAATAGTGCCAAGTGGTCCAGCTCCCAAGGTTTCGGTGAAGCCAAATGCTCTGATGAACCCGAAAATATCTATTTGACAAGCATGGATCTAGTGAGATTGGATATTTTTAGCAAGAGCAGCATTGATAGACATTCAATGAGGAACGTACAGACTTTGCAAGCAATTGGCACACCAACCACATTTTACATCACGATCTATACTCATGACAGTTTGTACATTATGTACGAAATTGCAGAAATTTTGGCTCCTCGTTGTGTTGATGATGTTTTGAAGTATCTGATGAACCTCAACAAGTTTGTGTTGTAGAATTGTTTGACAGATGGTGCCAAAATACATCGTGTTTTCTTGATGGTGCATCTCCTTCCCAACTGATCTCACCCACTCAGGCTCAAATAGGTGCTTTTGTTTCCTTCTCCACGAACAGAAATAGATCATACATCACAAGGCATTACTACCATTGATTTTTTTTTTTTCTCTTTTCTATACTTTGTCATCTTCATTTTTATAGTATTTCTATTATTATTTCTTCATACTTCACTCTTCTCGCGCAATTTCAATATTTATATATATTCTCAATAATAAGGTGCAATAACGTATTCTTAATATTTCCTTAATTGATACGCTTAACATATAGTAAGAAGAGTGCGACCCATTCTTCGCTTGTTCAGAAGAAAAGGGGGCTGTCATTAGCTAACTTAGTATTGAAATTGATTTATTGCCGTTATGAGAGCCTGTCAAAACAGCTTATATGATAAGTTGTGCCTGTAATATGCTGTCCGTAAAGAATGGCAGAAAAACCTGTTAATGAAGCATACTGATAAAGCTAGACTTATTGAATGGTATTCGTTTTGTAGCAAAAGAATGTGATTTTGTCAGGTTACTCCAAAAAAAAAGTGTCATTTTGCAAAACTCCAATTTTTATGGTTTTCTAGCTACTGATCGCGGATGTATTTGATCAACTACAAATTTATGAAGGCGGCGCCAGCAGGAGAAAGAGCTGGAATCTAAGCAAGAGCCGATCAGAGTTGGGTAAAACGAATGAAAGAAGATCCAGAATGGGACATATACGAAAAGCTTACCAACAAGGTGAGCCGCCCGGCGCCCCAACTACAAGAGGAACATAAAGAATTTCTGATCAACTTTTTCGACGAGCAGCCCCAAACGACTAGAGAAGACGCCGTGGCGAGCCTGACCGCAGCATTCGAAGGTTTTACCCTGAGAAGTTCATGGGTTGGCACGTTTACCAAGAACGATTGCAACTTGACAGTGAAGCGGATAACTCGTCATCTTGTGTGTGGTATTCTTGGTGTATAAGTATAAACGTAAGAATGAATGGGAAAGAATATGGAAAAAGTTTTATTTCTAAAAAATTAGACCAAGATTTTACTGCTGTATTTATACCAAAGGACAACCGAGAATGAGTATGATGTGAGATATTCTTGCTTATTACACTATCCTGACAGATATTTTCATAATTGAACAAGTTTCCCCTTTATGGGTTCTTTTGTCTAATCGTTAGAACTGATTCAAGGACCCATTGGCTCAATCCAATTGGTTGTGCGAAAGTTATTACTCCTCCTGCACCTTTCAGTACGTGAGTATTTCTCCAGATGTACCAAAGCACAGTTTAAGTGAGAACTAATAAGCTGACAAGGGAGCTACTCGTGTGCTGCGATTGAAGTTAATGAAAAGAAAAGCTGATATTCGATAACGTATAGATCCAGCCTGTTATTTATAAAATCCCTGAGCCTACATTTATCTCAAGTAAGGGAATAGTGACCAAAGCACCTATTATTACTTGTTTGCGGAACCTTACACCCTACATATACGTGTACTGAACCCACTATATATCTATTACTCCATATATAGCATTTAGCTAGCTGATAACCCGTAACAACACCTTATATGATATCAACTGTTCTAGATCTTATCTGAGTTAGCTACTCTCACACAAGACTTGATATCATCAAGTATTATATCACGCTTTACTGTCTAGTATTATATTGGATGAGCTTCTTTATTGATGTTTATCAAATATATGATAACATATTTATTCAATAAAGGTTATCATCAATTAACTTATCACAACCCGCTTATAGAAAATAACCTGTAAACGGTGTACCTTCACTAGATTATATGACACTTCAAGAATAAACTCTTATTGTCTGTATTTTAACATTTATCAAGTTATTCAAAGTGTTAAATATATGCTTCAGTGTAACTGTATTGTATAGTATATCTCTTCAAATACGACATCAAAGGAAAAGAGTGGGCTAAGAAGTAGTCTCAAATAGACATGGATTATATGAGAAACTGCATATTTGTCGATGAATCTTCATTTGATATCGATATGTGAGCAGCAATAGCAACTATAAAAAAAAACCCCCAGTTATCTTTTGAGTCACAAGATAAATTTAATCAGAGTACAACACGCCGTAAATAACGAATTCTATCTATTTGGCTGCATTTATCAAAAGATGAGTAGCAGACGCCTGTCCTCATCTACTAACTGGGGTTTAATCTGTGGAGCCCTTAAAAGAAGATGAATTGTTCGGACCATTGCTTCCTTTCTTTTACATAACTGAATATTTTCCGTATTTTTGCGTTACCCACTGTCTTTCTTGATAATATTATATCCTGTGTCCATTTATCATTTACTTCTGAGAACAAGTCATCTGTTTGAACAAATTATACGTGCGTAACGATATACAAGGTGGCTTTAAAAAACTCAAAGCATGATGCAGATAAAGGCCATCCTGTCATAATAAAGTTTTTCTTTTGGGTTTTTAGCCATGGTTAAGAAAGCACTTGTTTTTTACAGTAATGTTGATCCAAATTCTCTGATATATAAACGAAAGCAGTTTGATCACCTGCATAAAGTGAACAGTCGTAAAGCGGGCGATTTAATGAAACAACTAAAGCTGAAATCCAGTCTTCCTGTGGATGTGGATATATCAAGTTCATTTCCTTCTATCGACAGCGTCAAGGATGAACATGCAGAACTAGCTAAAGAAGAACAGCTACTGAACTCTGGAGAATCCAAGGTAAAGGATTTGGCTCTATCAATAGTTCCGGCAGCATCCTTGGAATTACATTTTGGAGTTGCCAAGATGACCATTAACTTGGAGAAAACAATTGCTGAGTTAGGCGTAGGCATATCCAAACTGGCCACTGGTTTATGGGGAGGCACACGGACGAAAGATACTCCAGATATCACAGTTCTTGCCTATTACCTACCTGTTCTGAAGCCACTTGTTAACTTTGGACAACCTATTGAATATGAGAGCTACGAAAAGCTTTCAGAGGGGCAGTTACTGATTACAAACCCAAGTGTATCATTCGAGTTTTGGACAACAAGTATGCCAATATTTAACGCGATCCTGTTCTGCGGACGCGTACTTGCAGCAGGTGATCTCTACGTTGGATATACGATCAGAGAAGGTTTTGTCCATGGAATACTTCCACCTGGACCAATGAATATAAATCGAAGGCAGGCTTTCCGTCATCTTTCAAATATTGTTGATGAGCTTTGGATAAGAGGTGGCTCTATACAAGATGATCTAAATTGGCGAAAGTGGTCAAAGAAGTTTCCGCCTTTAAAGCAATGTAAAGCCACTGCCATTCGTGATCTGGTACGATTAGCTAAGGAAGGCGCTGAAGCAGCACTGGAAATATCTGATAAATATTCTGCCGCTGTGGCATTTGGGTTAGCTCAAGTCAATCTTTGCAAGATTATGGCTCTGAGTTTTGGATCAGGCCCGAGAGTTTACACAAAAGATGAAGAAGGCTTTAGAGAACTCAAATTGGAAGCATCAGTACGAGAAAGCAATTATACTTTGTTCTATTACGATGAACGGTCTTATTTTTTTCGTTTATGTGGAGTACCAGCAGAATCATTGCAAGAATTGGTAAAATGGCTGGACAACGAAGTTGCAAATACCACATTTCTCGGAATCGAAAACGGTGATGCGCCTGGTACGGTTGTAATAACTCCAAGGTTTCACGTATTGACGCGTACAGGTGCAATAAAATCTCTGGGAGATATGGTGAGTAATATTGGTATGACGGTTGCGGAAAATTGCAGGGCTTGTGGTGGGAGTTGTGTAAGCATGTTGCACAAGGTATCTCATCGACAATATGTGGGCTGTCGTACTGTGGCATTTCTCAACATGCTTGTTTCCGTGTATGTTGGTGGGGTCCTGAAAAAAGCTGGTATGGCTGTTGATCAATGCCTTTTTAGTGATGATTTACAGCGGACAATCAAAAGTTTAAATGAGCTCTTTTCCTATGATACTGTTGGACTTTCAGCCTTTTTGACCAGCTGGTACATATTGCGTTCAGGTGAAGATGTTCCACACGTGGATAAAGGCTTAGTGTTAGGGCTTGAAATGGATGGCCAAATCCACGGTTTAAGACATGCAGTGAAGCCAGGAACGATAGGTTCTCCTTTGGTTAGTTTTGATGGCCACATAGTAGCCGGTTCGCATACGTTTGCATGTATAGCATACACTAGAAGGCCTGAAATCTACTATGAATTGAAGAAGGGTCAGTACACATTAGTTACAGAGCAATCACCTGATGTGCTCCCAGCTCAGTATTTATATGTTCGATCAGAGCCAAAGCATATTGCGGTCGACACTATCCTAATGTACCCTACAGGTGACGAATTACAAGTGGATCTGGGAGCGTCTGTAAATTTGATAAATGTGCATAAGTGTGAAGAAATGGCTGAGCAAATGGCAATACCTTTACACGTTTCCCAGTGTGTTGACGGATATAATGCTGTTAATCTCTCGGAAGAATTCCGATATGTACTTTATACGCATGGTAACGAAGCTTTGCAATCATGGATATGCGGTGCATTCAACAGAAGAGTATGTTTTCAGGGATGTAGACCTTTGAATGTAGCCCTTGCACTAATTGGTCCTGGTGAAATACTGATTCAAGGAGGCCGTAAGGCTCTGGCAATCGAGCAATAACGAATTGAACAATCAAAATAAATTTGATTGAATAAAAAGCTTTGATTTTCCTTGCTTATGTAAACCATTTGGCATATCAGTCATATAGTTAATCCATGTATACAAACATAGAAAGAAAATGAAGAAGAAGGGTTATTTGTTTATTATTATTATTATATATGAAAAATAAAGCATGGCCCAGAGAGAGAGAGAAATGGAAAGAGCATGTATCGCATTGGAGGTCAAAGTGGAGCCAACTACGATTTGTACAGCGCATCACTTTCATCTATTGTACGTGAGGGCGAGAGTCACCCTTGACGAAAAGTAGAAATAGATAGACGTTAATAGCTTTTGTTAGTAAGGTATATTCAGTATGCAGAATCCCTAATATAAGAAATTTAACTGAGAAAGCAATAAGAATAATTTCATTCTCCTTTTTTCTTCTTCCTCTTTGTAATTCATCTCTTGAATTAGATAAAGTTTTAAAGACAGATGTATCGAGGCATGTATGAACGACTACAGGCTGACTTCTGCAGATCATTGAAAAGGTAGCATTTTTTTCAACTTGTTTATCTTGTTTTCAACGAAGGAGGCTATTTCCACAAGGAAGGGCAAAAACAAGTGGTTCTTGTATTCATTTTCTTTCAACAGAGCAAAAGGCCATTGAAGTTTTCACGTTGACCAACTTGCAAATTTTCAGTCAAGGAAAAGTAAAAGCCGCCAGAAACGAAGAAAATATACAAGCAATGGGCTTCTTTTTCTTGGGTTTCTTCAAAAGCGCAAAGTGTTTTCAAAAAGCGCCATTTATCTTTTGATTACGGATATTTAATTTTCTCAAAGTGTGCAGAATTTATTTTTTACAAATAAGGAAATTAGTATATCTGTAGTTCTGTTACACCCTGTCCTACAAAGAGCGCTAGAAAAAGTATCTGTCAGCATCTTTGTGAAATGTTTCGAACCTGCATACAGATCAAATTTATCTTTTTATTATGTATCATTGATACTCATTTTTAGGTTATTTTGAACAATCGAATATAACATGATTGTAAATTACCATCTGTCCCAAAATCTCCTTTCCAGGGCACGAATGACGGATTTGTGCCTGTGCGATGCCTCAGTGCAACAAATGTTAAAGAACCCAAGGCGATTGCATATGGCAATAAAAATAATTTTATTTTTATGAGCAAACTCTTGTGATTATGCTGTATTATATTTGTACACGATAGGCCAAAAGAGGGATGCTATTAAGATATGTCTCAGAAGGTACCATAAAAGACTTTACGGTATTGACCATCTTTTTCGATAAAAAGAATAAATCCAGTGAACGCTACTCGAGTTAATTCACTTAATCGTAATATAAACTTGTGAGACTTGCATGCATGGCAATGCACAATCTTTTACTCTATGGATCAAATATGCATCGTATGTACAAATAGGACACATTAACATCAATAAGTAGACCCCAATGGTTCAAAAACAAAGCTGCTCGTAATTCATTCTTCGTGACACTTTACGCACATTATAAAATAAATCGGTAATGGATAACATAATAGATATTCAGGGGAAGATAACAATTTCAAACATATATGGATGAAGTAATTAAAAGAAACTAGCAGCATAAGAGCCAAATACATCATTCAAATGGTTTTAGCGCATTATTGCCAACTAGTGTGTAGATCGTCTATTTTTACAACTCCTATCATTTAGTGATTTACATCAGACACAACTTGCCAAGAATCCTTTAAGAGAAATAAAGCCGACAGTAATGATGACCTCATATTGAACGAGTGTGAGGAGAATAACGTAGTACTAATAGTAGTAATAGTAGTAATAGTAATGGCTTAAGTACTCACTTGGATGCAGCGTCGTATGATTTATTAGAATGAGGTAATACTAGCACAATGAAGTAATAAGGATATCCGGAAACCTCGTTGCCTGAGACGAAATAAGGAGATTGGCCTAATGTACAACCGAAATTGACTACTTGATCCCAAGTATCTTATGCTGTATCCATAATGTTGTTATGGCAACTTCAGGTACATGATTGATTTATTCCATAGAAATCAACTACTTGATAAAATAAGCTTCTTTCACTGTAAATGAAATGACATAGTTTGTATTTGAATCAATATGACGTAAATGAAATCAGAAAAAGTAGGTTATGTGGGTAACGAATTTTAGAAAATTACCAAAAAAGGCAAATTTATAAACTTGTCGTCATAGAGATCACTGCCTTGCAAAAAAACTATAAAAGCCATAAGCTTTCTAACAATCTTTTTCTTTACAACAAAACTTCAATTATTACAATTATTAATCAAATATGGGATCTATCTTTTCTTGCTTAAGCGGAATTGTCAGCTCTATTGCCTCTCTGATTTCAAGCGTGGTTAGTGCTATTGCCGGATTCTTCCAAACAATTATCTCTGGTATAACAAGCTGCATCGTTGGCATCTTCAACGCTATTGCCGCCTTATTGACATGCAGATGCTGTGGTGGAGGAAGGCGAAGAGGAAGGGTGTAACAGTTACAACCAATGACAAATAGTATTATTATCGACTTTTATCATTAATACTATATTACTGCCACTACTTTATTGTTATTTTTCTCCTTAAATATATGTATATATGTATTATTACCTCTTTTCTATATAATAAATACTTGATTCTTTATTATCTTAAACTGTCCTTTGTCAATCGCCCAAAGGGTGACCTATCGTTTCTGCTGATACCAACCAAAACACTAGCTTTCTCTACATGATTGGACGTTATAAATCAATTTTTGAAAAAGAAAAAAAAAAAAAGGATAAACTAAGGACTACACAGCATGAAGCAGAGCATATTTAAAGTTGACATCAAGCTTCAGCATGTCACGGTGTATGAGTAACTCAGGTACAGCGATCATGAATTCTTGTATCTATCTCTTGTCAAAATCATGCTTACGCTGCGAAATAACTCATTCATGTAGGTAGGACTATTAGGGTTATTAGGATCAATTACGAGGAACACTAAATCATAAAATTATATCAAAAGACGATTTGATAATCAAAATATAATAATAAAAGTGCTTTGCACTCACTGACATTCTCTAATGCCTTACATTTGTCCCGAAGCACAAGATGAAGCTTGAATCTTTTCATCAGGGAGACCAGTGGCTGTCATCGTTTTTCGGGCCATTGTCTGTACCAGAAAATACAAATTCTTTAGAGAAATCAGCCTATGGGCTCAAATAACAATCTTCCGCTTTGAAGATCTCATAACCATGTTCTGGACAACATGCCACCGAGTATTGCTGTTCTCGGAAGCAATGGCTGCTTTATTAATACAAATACGAATTTATCATAATTACACGTAATTGATCGAACTGACAATGTAAAATTAAAATAAAGCAATGGCAACATTTCTTTGTCTCTTTTTCTTCTTGAAAAGAAACGTAAACTAAGATGGTGACTTTATAAAGTCAAGTTTAGTTTGACGCACAGGTAATGAGTAGAGGTGTCGCCCGTAGGATTAGTCTAACTTCTGGTGTATTTTTTGGCGCATATAATGTTTCCCCGGCAAAAACGGTCATTAGACCAAACGATATTTTAAATGTGAGTTGTATGAAGCAGAAACTGCTGATCAAGGCAAGTGTCTGACAACAAAATGTAAAAAGGTAGCATTATAAATATTTTATATATATTCCCAGTTGGTACAAGCGACAAGAAAAAGAAGCAGGGTTATCAAATTAAGAGCGAGAAGAAAAAAGCCAGGATGCAAGAAATTGAAGATTCAAACCAAAATATTAGTTCTTGTACTAAGTGTAAGCAAGCAGGCCATACATCTGCAAGTTCACCTTTATGTCCCCAACATATTTTGCGAAAGACTGAGGTCTTTAAGCTTCATCTGGGTGAACATTATCAAGCATATATAAGAAACGTATCATTTGACAACTGTATCCTTGATCAGTATAAAACCAAACTAAAAATAAATGTGATTGAGACTTGCTCCAGCGTTCGATATTTGATTTTTAAAGCCAAACTGTTTATAAGTTATTACCTTTTAGAAAACTCTACTGCTGTCGCACCTAAATGTCTATATACCCAAAATTTTTGGTACTCTGTTATTCAGTTAATTAATGGGAAAGAAGAAATAAATTAACTATTCAGGGTTTCTGCCGGCATGGGAAGCAAAAGCTGAGGAGAAAAGTTATTTTGAAGAAGCTTTCTAGGGACCCAGGCTCTTTTGTCCCGTTTTTTTTTTTTTTTTTTTTTTTTTTGCTCAACGCTGAATTTGAACAAGAACACAATGATCACAAACCTTACGATGTAAGAAGACGCCCACTCTCAAGATTGTTCTCTGTGCTGCCGATCGCTTCTTGTCGATAGAGGTCTGTCACTATAAACGTTAACGCTTTGTTATGGTTTGTAAAACGGCCATTACTTCCTGGATATAAAAGCTAATTGGCATTACTTCACCATATCTTAAATTTCAAAAACTTCGATTTAAAGAGTAAGCATAGAGTAAAACGAAACTGTAGGGTATATATTGAATGCTTTTATCTGTAATATCTCAGAATTAACCCCAAATGAAAGCAATACGGTGTATTCTGTAAATATAATACAATCAGACGGCTTCTCGGTAGATTTTTTGTTTTACAAAAGACTTCAGGTTGGCTATGGCCCTTCCTTGAAAAAATTTGACCTGTCGCTGAGAGATTTCAATTTGACTGAAGTACAGGATACACACATGCCAATCGCGCTTAATCCTGGTAGGAGATCCGTGTTCACCGCTGTAATCGGCTTGGATTCTCAAAAACAAATAAGAACATGCTCAGTCAAGGAGTATTACCATATGATGGGCTCGACAAGATATTCCAAGAAATTGAATGAGAAGAAATAAACAGGAATAAAATTGATTGAAAGCAGGATCCCAACGACAAAAACTTCTTCTCTCTCTGTATATAACAGATATATCCTTTGTATGCTGACCAATTTGAATGCGTTGTTCAACTTTTATAATCAAGACACAGCAAAAGACCACTCTAATCTATATCAAGGTACACAACGTGCTACCGAAGATATATCAAACATGTTGACTCATGGAACAACTAAACACAAAAAAAAGAAGAAGAATAAAGAATACATACCAAAGTAAGTGAGTGTCTCGCTTTCACTAATAACTATCTAATATATACCTGATGCTTGCTAGGGCTGGCAAATGGAGGTCGTTGTTATTTGAAGACTCCTCAAAAGAGATGATTCCGCTCGTTGTCTTCGGTGCAGGAATGTTTGGAAAAGATAATGTGAAACTGAAAGGTCATAGGTGCGGTGTTGTAGGCAAATTGTTCAAAACGCTCAAGAAAAGAGGCGCTGAAGATCATTTGATTGTTGTAACAATTGACGAGTTTAAGATCTCTAAAATCTGTAGCTTCTGTTCCTCTGATGACGTGAATATTATTAGCACTTCTGGTTTCAAGGGCTGTAGCGTTCTTACTTGCAAACAATGCCGTAAGGTGTGGCAAAGAGACATGAATGCGGCAAATGACTGATGATGATTTCCGAAACAATTTGGTCAGGAAAAGAAAGATCAGATGTCTTTAAACCCGCTAAAGCACAATCGCCGTAACAAACACGGTTTTCCTTTTTTTTTTTGAGGATTCAGATCATTACAGGTAACAAATCTGAACAAACTTTCAAATTGTCTGAATTTTCTTGAATTTAAAGTAGAAATACTGTAGCTGGTACCTGTGAAATGAGGCCGTCTAATGTTATCTGCATTTCAAAATAAGAGTATTAAAGTTCAGACATTTTCTTTAAAGCATCTATTGCGTCTGTTGTCATTCTTCTCGTCTTGCATTAGTTCAAATATATCATTTAGTCGGTACTCTTTATATTTATTATCTTTTTGCTAACAAGGCTTATGTGTGTACTCAAACCAATAAAGAATACTCTTCAACTCATCCTAGGCACTCTTACATCCTGCTATCAATCTGAGCTTGAAATAGATTAGTTTTGTTATTGTTATTGGCCGATCGCATTACCTAAACCAAAAAATTCTTTTCTACTTCTATAAAAGTTTTATATCCCCCTTTTTTTTCTTTTCTTTTTTTTTTTTCTTTTTTCCCTTTATCCATTCTACAATGAGCGCTCCATCATTGATCCAAGGTAAATATAAAACCAATTGTTGGATACATGCTTGAGGGAAAAAAGAAAGGGGATAGAGAGAGAGAAAGAGGGCAGGATTGTAATTTAAAAAACGATTAAACATAGATGAATTATTCAATATTCAAGACAAGTAAATAGATAAAGTAATAATGTATTCGCATAGCACTTAACATTATTAGGCAAGAATCACCAAGAATTAAGAAAAAAAGGAGTGGGACCAGTAGTAATGTGATAACTCGGGGCATGGAGCTTGTACGCAAGATGAAATGGGATAATGAAGAAGTGGACGAACAAGTGTATCATAGACGACTATCACAACCCAATATGGAAGAGAATATTGGATTTATTCAACTAAAGAATAGTTTCAGTACAGATAAAAGAGCAAGTCTATTACATACGCCTACAAGATATTTACCACAGAACCAAGCTATTATAACAACAAATTCAGAAGGAATCACACTATTATTTAATGATATAGCTGCATTATGCTTTGGAATTGATAAATCATTTGTTGGAAAATCTTTTATAAAGAATTGTTTAGAGGAACCATTTAAACATCAGATCATGAATTTACTAAATAGTAGAAAGAAATATACAAACTGTGTACAAAAAGTGATCATTTGTGGATCTATTGTTAGTTAAACAAGAACCAAATATAAACTCGGAGAATTCTTGCTAATGAACTGGTTCAATAGGTGTTGATACATAAGAGAAATAATACAAAATCATATGCAACAGTATGGTTAAAGGAGAAAATAACTGAACATCGAGATAAAATTTATATTTGGATATTTGAAGAAATCTATGAGACGACCTTGTCTGTTTATGTGGATTCAGAATGTAAAATACAGAGGATCTTAGGTACATTGATTGAAGAGATGTATGGATACAAAGCAAATGAAATAGTCGGCAAACCAGTCAATTGTCTTGTACCAGCACTAGCAAAGGAAGAACGAGATGACAATTTGGAAAAGATTGATAGGCTAAAATTCTTTGGTAGTTTATCAAGCAAAGGGGTTTATTTTCCAGCTATTTTGAATTTAAATAGACATGTGGCCATTGGAAATGATGATTTAGCCAATTTTGTCGTAAAAATAACATCCTTACCTTCAATATCCGGTTCAATCACATTCAATCTGTCCACTGGATTAATACTTCAAATGAATACTCTACCTGCAAAATACCTGTTCGGTTACACTTCTGTAGATATGATTATCAACAAGCTCACTGTGAATGAACTGATACCTCAGCTACCCACTCTTATTGAAAATATGCTAAAGAATAATCTCATGACAGCAAACTATGAACAATGCAGGAAGCTCTCGTCCTCTGATAGCCTATTCTATGTTTATCACAGAGATAAAAGTAAATTCATTGTGGAGTTGGAGATCAAAATCATAGACAAGAATACTGTTCATGTCTGGATAACATTTGATAGAAGCGATGCAGTACTAAAGCATGACAACTTGAAACAGAGCTATCAAAAAAAAATTGTAAATTGTCCATTGAAGCTACAGCAACAGAATGATCAACCTAGTCCTGAAGCAAATAAGAAGCCAAAGAGACCTGTTGTTAGACCTTATAGAATAAGTTCCTTTGGCGCTGTAGATGAAGCAAAAAGGCTGTTTCCATCCAATTACTTTAAAACCAATAACAACACAGATACCACCAATAGCAATAATAATATTAATAATAATAATAATAATAATCATACCAAGAGTAATAATGAAAGCAAGTCATCTTCATCAGATCTTACCCAAAAGAAAAAACACCCTCTAGACGATTATGTTATCTTGGATGTATTGGGTCAGGGCACTTATGGTATGGCCAAATTAGCTTATAGAAAGGATGATCCTTCTCAAAAGAAATTGGTTATAAAATATATCATCAAGTCAAAGATCATTGTTGATTCATGGATAAGGTAAAAAATCGCCTATAGATCACACCATCCTTTTACTTACTGTCAAACTACAGAGATAGACAACTTGGTTCAATACCAATGGAAATACACATCTTACGAACCTTACAAAAATACCCCCATGTCAATTGCTGTAGATTAGTCACTAGCATGGAAGACGATGATTGTTACTTTGTTGTCATGGAATTACTTGGTGATGGCATGGATCTCTTTGATTATATCGAATTGAACAAAAAGATGTCAGAAAATGAAATTAGACACATCTTTTATCAAATTGCCAAGGCAGTCAAACACCTACACTCACATAAAATTGTTCATCGTGATATTAAAGATGAAAATGTCATCCTAGATCAAGATGGAACAGTTCATCTGATAGATTTTGGTTGTGCAACTTACTATAAAGAGGGCCGCAAATTTGATACATTCACAGGTACCCTCGAATATTGCGCTCCAGAGGTGCTTAAAGGAAAACCATACGCGGGCCCTCCACAGGATATTTGGGCAAGTGGTGTGTTACTGTTTACACTCATCTATCGAGAGAATCCATTCTATAATATTGATGAAATTTTGGAAAGCGAACTAAGGGTTCCCTTTGTTCTTTCTGAAGGTAACAACATATACAATTAATGTTTATATAGCTAATATTATTTCAATAGGCTCTCTTGATCTTATAAAGAAAATGTTGAATAGAGACGTCGAGAAAAGGATAAATATAGATCAAGTACTAGACCACCCTTGGTTTCATCCTTTGACTGAAAAGCAACAGCAGTAACAATGTATAAAAATAAAGAAAAAGAATAAATATTGTATATATGCGCTGTAAAAGCAAATTTCTGTTTTCTTTTATTTTTCTTTTTTAAATATAAAAGACCAACGATAATGAATCAAGATGCAACATGATAAAAGATAATGACGCTATTTAAATAATACGGATCTGTTATTAAAAAGAGTGACATACACTTTCAATGTATTTAATAGACACACATACACATACAAAATAAAACAAATGAATTTTTGAATAAGAGCGATGTTTTTACACTCTTAGCACGAGCATCTTCACTTACTTCTTACCTTTGGATGCGACTCTCTTGAGTACAATAGGCAGAGAATTTAACCTTTCTTCGTAACTCTGGTGTTCCTATGTCTTTCAGATAAAATGCATATCCATCGCATAATTCAACTAAAGATACATGATCTTTAGCAATAAGCTTAAAACCCTCGGTATTCTCAATGGTGCCATTTTCTGCCAAGTCTGCTAATTCTTCGCAACGTATACTGTTTTATTAAAAATAAATTTCAGGGGAATTGCTAGGGACACGCAAATTATGTAACCGTATACCAAGTTCTGGTCTCCGCTACTTCTTCGCACTGCTTGAGCTTTAAACTTTTGCGTGTCCCGTCAAGAAAGGAAATAAAATAGTGCATCCCCAAAAATAGGAAGGTGTTTTTTTGCGTGTCCCGCCTAAAAAGTTGAAATAAACGACTGTAATCTTTATTGATAGAATGAGTCCATACAAAAAAGATTATGTGACATAATAAATAAAAAACTATACAGGATTTACTTCAGATTCGATGAAGAATTGCATCATAAGGAATAAATACTGCCTTGCAAATGATAAATAAACCCTATAGCCTTTACATTAAAGCATTTATAATTGCTTTATTCGTGCTTCATGGATCAACTACTAATCACATATGGAACAATAACCGGTTAATTATTTGACTTCAGCTTGTTACTTTGAAACAACTGTGCGGATCATTATTTAAGCTGATTACCAGGAACTGAGTTGAAGATACGTATATCCAATGACTCTGATTTATCGTTGTTATTAGGGACCATCGTCTTATCTAAAGCATCTGATTTGTTCTAACTCTTCATTACCCTAGTTGTCATTCATAAGCCTCTATGAAAAGTTTTACGATTAACGCGTTTGATACGATAATCGTTATAGTAACTCGAGTATAATCTTACAGTAGAGCATACATTCTACTTTACATTCCTCTATCGCATCTGATAGGAATAACTTATAATAGCAATTGTAATAGCTACTTGTATAACAGTAATAATATAAGCACAAATAATGTCAGCGACGACAATAGTATAAATAGCAGTCATAGATTCTCTACCCAAGTAAACTCTCACACAAACTTAATACACTATTTCCAGAAAGTAGTGTCGTTCCAAGATGTCGTATTTTGTATATTTTGTATTATAAATTCTCGAATTATGCGACATTACTTGTAGAAAAAACTGTATAATAACATTCAGCTCTTCTTAATAAGGAATCTAATTCGCAAGTCATCGACTTAATAGCCTTTTTCAAAAACACTAAAGCTGAATACAACGGCTTTTCATCTTCTTCTGATAATCCAACGTACAAATCCAAACTTATATTCTCAATGGCCTCTATTTCTTTTTTCGTAAAAACCTTCTTCAGAATATCATAAGAATCGGGCTGGATGGTGTTGACAATGATAGATAGTGATAGCCTAACAAGAGACAGAATGTAAATTTGTTAGACCAGCACCCCAACGCTTTTAAAAAGATAATATTTACTTCAACATCATATCATCTTGAACGTCTGTATTTTTCTTTAATAACAACTTCGATGCCAATCCAAGTACTTTGCCCTTGATACACGATTTCCTCTTCACCATCTGCTTCAAAAAGGTGTTCTCCTCATCATCAAATTCTTGCTTGTTAAACTAAATACATGTAGACGGATATCAGTCAGCACGGTAGAGTGATAGAGAAATCTATAAACACGTATGTTACTTTTTTAAAATACAGCTTATAAAGCTGATCAACAACTGGCTCGGTTTCTTCTTCGCTATCAGCTTCTTCTTCTTTGTCCATGTTGGCTCCATCGTCGTTACCATTTGCATCTTTATTGTTGCTGTTGCCTTCTAAACTGCTACTCTCTAGCATTCTTAACGACCTATCTGCCGCGTTCTTTACGCTTTTATTTATTAACTTTTGGCCTTCTATCCTACTGCTGGTTTCTAAGTCCCTCTATATTATAATAACTGCTTTGTTAGATCATGTCACATCTGAAGATAACGCGTATTTAGACTTTATCAAGAGCGAAAGCTCTACAAAAAGATTGTTCCATCTGTCGGCTGCAAACTTCGTGTTTCTGTCACATGTTGCAAAATATAAGTTCCCAGGTCTTAAAACTGAACTACGTGCCAACTAAATTAATGAGCTTACTTTAAGGAGATATCTTTTCTGATTTATCTAACAGCAGTATTGTAACGAGTAACCCAAGCCCTGCGTAGACTTTGAGACGCTGATGCTTCAGTTTTTAGGGATCATTCCGCGATTTTTGCTTGAATTTGGCTATAAACCCACAGAACGTTGGCTTTTTTTCATTTTGCACGAATTGGTATAACTCTATACAAAAAATTTTAATACAACAACTGGTATTTTACTTGTTTTGTTTACCTTCTTTTCCAGGGAATCTAACCTTATAGCCACTTTGAAGCTTAAAAGAAACAAGTATTAGACTTGTGCAGATAACAAAACCCGAAAACGTTAATTTGCACAACTCCCTCAGTATGCGCAACTAGCTATGTCACTAAACGTATTTAAGGTCCACTGGTTATGCAGTTTTGGTTGTGCAAATAGCAAAACCCGAAGTTCTTGAGCTCTCCAACAAACATAAAATAAGAGCCAAGTCGGAGTTAATAAGGAGCCTATGATCTGGCAGAAAATAACTATACCAAAATGAAATAAACACTAATAAAGTTGTCTTTTACAGTCATTTCAGAAAGTAAAGTCGCTGATTTTGAGTTCAATGTCGTGCAAAAAACTGTGCGTTCAATAATGATGTCGATTGACCCAAAAATAAAGTCCTGCTCACGTGTCACGAACTTTGTTTATTTTTAATTGTCGCTTAGTAGTTATCCAATAAAATTCTTGGCATTAATTGTTATAAAAAAGGGGTTACGATTTTCTGTGTCCATTTTGCTCTCTTCTTTCTATTTACAATTTATTTTACAGATATTGAAGTTGAGTATGCAGTTTTTTTATGAAGATGGACAAGGGCATGTTGTTGATAAACATGGCGTTAAGCCGATAAATCTTGTTGCTGATGAGGAGTTGTATACTATTGAAACAATAAGTTCCCATACTCAATTCTTAATGAATAAACCTCCAGAAAGACCATCTAATCCCGTTATACTTCCAGTTGCAGATGAAAGAAACTATGATGTTGATATGGAGTTATGCAATAAGCGACGCTATACAGTTTACTCTGATGAAGACAAGACTAGATTTTTTCATTTATTTTTCAGCAAATGCTTGAATGCCTCTGCTGCTGCGAGACAACTGGGTATTCATATCTGGGTAATACTCCTATCCATAGCTTAACTGACATAGGAAAGTATATTCACTCTTGAGGATATCGATATGCGTATCTTCCTCCATATTCCCCTGAACTGAATCCAATTGAGCAGTTTTGGTCAGTCGTCAAAAGTAAAGTTAAACGAAACAAGTTTCTGGAAAAAGAATCGCTCATGACTAGGATCAGTGAGGCATGTGATAGCTTACATTTTAGCGATTTCAAAGGCTTCGTTTCTCATTCTGCTAAATGCTTTGATAAGTGCCTTAACAAAGAAAAATTATAAAAACGGGCACAGCAATCTGTAAGCCAATAGAAAACATGAGCAAAAAAAATATGAGCCAATAGAAAACATGAGCAAAAAAATATGAGCAAAAAAGCATAAGCCAATAGAAAACATGAGCAAAAAAAAATCACTTTCATAATTCGGTCCAAACATGGCTGAATCGTCTCATTTGTACAATAACAAAGGCGCCATCGTTTTGTTAAAAAAGCTATGTCCGGATTGTGAGGAACCATTCAGCAGATTTCAAGATATGAAAAGGCACATATTCACTAAACACGGCAAGGATCTCACATCACGTTCGAAGAAAGACCATGGCAGATCAACAGACGGAATTCCAGTGCATGTCTACAACAGAAGCAACATGAAGAAATACACACAAAAAGGCACAACAATCAGTATTAAATTCGCTTGCCCAAGTTGTCGCGACACATTTAACACTGTTTCAGAACTCGCGCATCACGTCGACAATAACCATGTAAAAAGAGCGCCATTGCTTGAAAACCTATCTCCTAAAGACAAACGATGGGTCCTGGATGGTCACGATATTTCAAACCAATTCCATGAATATCGCCGATCTTGTATTACTGCGTCGCGTACAGCTGAATTTGCCGTCGAAAGCCATTTCAACGAGCTTTTGCTATGTCTGGTATCCTTGTCTTGCAGCGACGGAGCAATTATGAAGATTTGCCAACCAACATTTTTCCACCCTCCTTATTGACAGCAGCGCGCACTGAAATACTGTCCAAGTACAAGCGCAACACATTCCAACCGCACGTTAGATCAGCAGTTCAATCGATTATTCAGCAGTTTGTGGATGAAAACATCACGGAAACACGAGCCAAAATCGAGCTTCTCTCACTTTGCGAGCCAGTTGTTACTCCCTTGCCACAAGATTCCATTGAACCAACAGAATATGAATGTGCAATTATCATGGCAATAGTGGCCTTACTCTCGTACCTATACGACTGTGACATGAAGCCACTCTCTGAAGCACACCTGAATTCCAGCTACGTCCATCCATTTATGCATGGTCTTCTGTCAGCAAAAAAGCCCGCAAAGGTTGCGCATTGCTCGAACATAATCCCAGAAGAGTTTGACGATGCTGTCGATCGACCAGATTACAAAATTGATGTGTATGCATCTTCTGGATACCGGTTCTCGTACACCAACGCCTATGGAGAGGTCAAAAAGAGCAGCAATGTTTCAGTTACACTGCTTGCCAAAGATTTCTATCGGTTGTGCATCTTTAGCAAAGAAGCAATTGATCAGTACAATTTGAGAAATGTCCTGTCCTTCCAAGTTACAGCCAACTCAGTCACGTTTTTTACGATGCAATTGGAATTTCCATTCTTATACACTGTCACAGAATTGGTTCGGTTGCGTATTCCAACGAAGAAATGTGATCTCCTGGATCTGATGGGACATATGGACAACTTGCTTTTTGTTGCGTCATTGTACCAAGACCATTGTGTGATTAGCGAAAATGATCTGTCGCCTTGGCGCTGTGATACACTGTCGAGCGCGTATTTGGACGTGATCAAAAACAAATTGGCACCAAGGAAACGAACCTGTAACTTGACTCTTGACGCTTGAATGTTGGCCGTATACCCACCCTATCAATCTTTGTATTTTCCCTATTCCCACCAGTGATTTTCCTTTGTTATCGTGTTTTACTTGCTCGCTCTTTGTTGGATTTACCCATCCTTCCCATTTCCCTTATCTACAATTTCCCTTTATACAGCATTTGTCTGCTATTGATATGAATACACAACAGTCTCAAAAAAAAATTGGCTTGCTCATGTTTTTTGCTCATGTTTTCTATTGGCTTACAGATTGCTGTGCCCGTTTTTATAATTTTTCTTTGTTAAGGCACTTATCAAAGCATTTAGCAGAATGAGAAACGAAGCCTTTGAAATCGCTAAAATGTAAGCTATCACATGCCTCACTGATCCTAGTCATGAGCGATTCTTTTTCCAGAAACTTGTTTCGTTTAACTTTACTTTTGACGACTGACCAAAACTGCTCAATTGGATTCAGTTCAGGGGAATATGGAGGAAGATACGCATATCGATATCCTCAAGAGTGAATATACTTTCCTATGTCAGTTAAGCTATGGATAGGAGTATTACCCAGATATGAATACCCAGTTGTCTCGCAGCAGCAGAGGCATTCAAGCATTTGCTGAAAAATAAATGAAAAAATCTAGTCTTGTCTTCATCAGAGTAAACTGTATAGCGTCGCTTATTGCATAACTCCATATCAACATCATAGTTTCTTTCATCTGCAACTGGAAGTATAACGGGATTAGATGGTCTTTCTGGAGGTTTATTCATTAAGAATTGAGTATGGGAACTTATTGTTTCAATAGTATACAACTCCTCATCAGCAACAAGATTTATCGGCTTAACGCCATGTTTATCAACAACATGCCCTTGTCCATCTTCATAAAAAAACTGCATACTCAACTTCAATATCTGTAAAATAAATTGTAAATAGAAAGAAGAGAGCAAAATGGACACAGAAAATCGTAACCCCTTTTTTATAACAATTAATGCCAAGAATTTTATTGGATAACTACTAAGCGACAATTAAAAATAAACAAAGTTCGTGACACGTGAGCAGGACTTTATTTTTGGGTCAATCGACATCATTATTGAACGCACAGTTTTTTGCACGACATTGAACTCAAAATCAGCGACTTTACTTTCTGAAATGATTGTACTCATTATTTCTCTCTCTCTTTTGACATGATGTCGTTTTATTTAAACATATTTTTCTTTGTCGTCTTTTTACGACAATATTTTATAAAAATACAGTAAATCTGCAGCTATGGAACAGCCCCGATCATGCGTTCGTATCATATCTCATTCGTATAATCTGACACAAACAACCATTCGTCCCTCTATAACGTGATTTTTAACATACTGTTAACAAAACTATAATTTTGACAAGATAATATAATATACAACCTGCAATATTATTTTCGTTGACTGAGTAATGCTCTACTCGCTTTCATGTTGATATTGAAGCCAGCTTCATCGATAAAAACGCAGTTTTTAGAAAAATCCATCTGAATTACTCCATGCGACGACCTAATCGTAATGTTTTTGGATGGTGTATGAGCTTGCTCTTGCCTCGGACCAAAAAGTAGCTTTCTTAAAAGTGAGGTTACAATTGTCTCTCATAGACTCATGTACTCTTGATTTCTTGATCTCAAGACCAGCAAACTTGTTGGTAAGCACCTCAACAGCGTCTTGAATATAGGCACATGTGTTATCATCGTAAAGCTCGATTAAACATTGCTTATGCTCTTCCTGTAGCTGTGATTTTGGCCGGTTTTGAGTATTGGTTTTCTTTTCATAATTTTTCCACCAGGCGCGAGCAGTACTTTCTTTGACACCTACTTTAAGAACTGCAGTCCTAACCAACATTAGGTATTGGACTTTGTACTGGAAAAATAGTTCTTTTGTGCCAGAGCCATGTGCCATATACTTAGTTGAGCGTTCTGCACTTATTTTCATAATTGTTCCTATTTCTTTTTCGCTTTGTTCAATGTGTTTATCGTTGGTGGGAGTCTTAGCGCTTTTTTCTAGATAAGAATCAAGATTAACTAATTATTTTAAAGCGTAAGGATCAGGCTTCTCATCAACAATGTCCTTTAAAAATACAGATGAATTCATTTTTTTTAAATTTGCGGATTGAACTTCGAACAATCATGCAGATTTTTTTGTTAGTCCCCCAATTTTTATTTTAAAAGTCCGAATTTTTTTTATAAAATCCTCAAATTTGCAGTGGAACCAGTGTATTCTCTCTTTTCTCTCTTCATATTTTAGTATAATAATGACTGTTGTAAAAGAATATTACAGAATATTAGAAATATCCAACAACGCAGACGAACAAGAAATAAAAAGAGCTTATAAGAAATTAGCCTTAAAGTACCATCCAGATAAAAACCCTTCAACCGAGGCAGAGGAAAAGGTAATATAAACCAGAGCGAATTTAAAAAACATTAAACTTACTTTTGTGTATAGTTCAAAGATATTAGGTAAGAACAATACGTATTATTTCTATATAAACTAAACACAATTCCCTCTTTAGCGAAGCATATGAAGTGTTATCTGATCGTAAAAGGATTTTATAACAGTAATGATAGACTTTTTGCTCATTTTCTTTTTGTCCTATAGCTCAGAAACGTTACATATATGACAACAGACTAAACAACATAAATGATGATAGAGACGATGCTTATTCACTTGACGATCTATTTGGTGGATTCACTGTAAATATATATCAAAAAAGAATGTGCAGATGTACTAATTTTGCATAATCTTGTAGTTTCATAGGCCAGAAGAAGTGTTTGCTCACTTTTTCGGTGGCATGGGTACACCTTTCTTTGACAGTAAGAATCAAATGTACTTTGAATCAGTGATACTAATCTCCCCCTTGTAGGTTTTCATCACTTTGGGCCGCCTATGCATGATCCCTTTCATTCGATGATGAGCCCCTTTTCTCATCCCTCACCATTTGATATGATGTACAACATGCGTGCACCTTCGCCGTTCATGCATCCCGGTTCTTCATCGATGAGATCATCCATGTTTGATACACATAGTCAGATGGGACAAGGAGGATACTCCAAATCAGTAACAACAACAACCAGAAACGTTAACGGAAGAATTGAAACAGTGACTATTACTAAAATTACAGATGAAAATGTAACCAGACACAACAACAAGCTTTATAAATAGTAACACTCATCATCATCATAGGGTACAAGGGTAACTGAAGAATACGGAAACGGCGCACATCAACAAGATAGAATAACGAGCGGTACAAATCTGTCGTCTTCGTCAGGACAAGAACAAAGGTTACTTACGCAGGATACTTATTTTAGGCAGCAACAGTTTCACCAGGATCAGGTGGTAAATGATACAATAGAAAGACCATATTTATTAAATCATTATTGTCAATTACCCTATTATCCACCGTTCCCTCACGCCTACTCTTCTTTCCCCCTTCCCCCTCCACCTTTCCCTCTACAACAACACTCACATTCACATTCAATGTTTTATCATTTATAAAGAGAGCAATTCTTTTTTATAGACGTTGACCAACTTTTCATCTTGATATTCTTCATTTGTAAAGTATGGTTCTATGGCTACCCTTGTTGTGGCGTCAAATAACTCTTGAATGATATGTTGTAACCGATGACCTGTTTGCTTAAAGTCAGGGAACTATATATATATATTATTAGCAAACCGTATCCATGTGGATACAAAGATATGGAACTCACCGCATTAGCTTCTAAAAAGTAAACGTTATAGTCTTGATCAATCAAAAAATCAATACCAAACAGTTCAAATGCATTGGGGATAGCTTGAAATGTTGTCATCTCACTGGTACAAGCATCAAAGATGTCTGCCAAAATATCCTTCATTTGCTTAAATATTTTTTCTTTGTCTTTGATTTCTTCCAACTCCCAAAATAATTTGACAGATTCATCTTCAATAAATTCTTTTTCTTCTGTTTGAATGCAAGTGTTTGTCAAGTGAATCAAGTTATCTTCTAATTGGCTCAAGTCATATTCCTTCAATGCAAATAGTGCTAGCATGTCTCGGTAAAGATAGACTTCAATGTTTGATTTGGCCAACACGTAGGCTCGAACATGAAACTTGCGCTTATTCACCAGCAATGGTTTGTCGATATATCTTTGTATGACCCATTCTCTTATCTGGCTGATATCCTCTTTATCGTCGTCTTCATCATAGTCCTCTTCTATCTCTTCAAACATGTTACGAAGCTGTTCCAGGGTATTGAACACCTTAATCCCTGCTGCTTTATTGGCAAGACTAGGCTTAATGATGAACGCATGCCCTCCTTCTTCTAAATCTCTTTCTACTTCAAATACTTCATTCATTGCTTCCTCAAAGTAATCCACATGATCCAACTCAAATTGCCAAGTTTCAGGGATCGCCTTTTTCAAGATACTGTCTGGGTTCTTGGAAAGATATTTTGTAACGTTATAAGATAATTGTGCTTTTCGAATAAAGCCCTTACGAATACAGTATGCATTCACTAAGCACTTGTTTTGGGCAACTAGATCCCAGTTGATCAGTTCATATTCTAACCACTGCAGCTGAATAGTTTCATCCTCTGGTGTTTCTTCAGTTTCTATGACATCAACGTCTATTTGCTTAGACTTCTTTAAGGCTTGAATAACTGCATTATGCGTGTATTCTTCGTCAAGGTGAACAGCTGCCTTGATCATGTTTCTATACAAAATGAAAAAGTTGCTGAATTTTTTTTTTTTTAAAAAGGTTATTCAAGCACCGCCAGAAAGGCAGGATGTGATCCTATACAAAGTCTAATATGAGCTTGCAAGCGCGCTATAATGTTTGATGCATTCAACAGACAAAAGACATATTTAAAATCGATTATTTTATAAGCTAAACTATTTATTCTTTCTTTTGTGAAGACATTAGTTTTTTCACTTTGACATCAAATGCTTCCTTATTGCTAACTTCTTTGCAGGCTCTATTGTACACTTGGTTTGCCTTTTGCAGTTTGTTTTGAGAGTAAAGGTAGGAAAGGTAAGCAATATAAGGTTCTTTATAAAAAGATATCAGTATCTTTCATCATCTGACTCCTTTTCTTTCTTTACCTTCTTTGTCTTCGTTCTTTAATGTCACAAGTCTTTCAAATAATGGTTCGACATGCATAGGCCCAGTCTCTGCATTTCCATACTTGTTTTCAATTTCTAAGCATTTCATGACAAACTCGTATGTAGGATACGAATTCTTCAATATATTCTTATATGTCCTTCTTGCAAAGTCAATACCCTCTGCTTCAGCAGCCCATTCAGCATAACCAGATTGTATCAGCACCTTGATAGCATTACGCTCTTCTGTTTCTATTGCCACTGAAGGTAGTAGCATGGTTGCCTTGTCGCACGCTTTAGAGAATATAGCATTCACTTCATCAACAGATAGAGTTTTCTTTTCCCATTGACTGTTAATCCAATCTTTATATGATGTCCACAATAAAAGTGATTCTGGGTTTGAGTCTAATCCTTGTGAATATATCACCAGTTGTGCATCTTTGTCGTCTTTACATAATTGGACCTTGTTTAACCAAAGTGGAACGGAGTGAGGGTATGCCTTGAGACCAGCTTTTATTAAATTGCCTGCCTTCTCCACATCTTGTTGATCCATGGCAAACTGTGTCCATTTTTCATACAACGTCTTTGAGAGCAAATCTTTCCTTTCACATGCTTTAAATGTTCTCTGTGCTAGTTTTTTGAGGTATAATTTCAAGTTCTCTTCAGAGACAATAGAGTACCAGCCTAATATAAAGTTTATATAAAGTTCCCACATATCAGATCCAGTCAAGTCATTCAGAGCTCCTTCAAATTCTTCAACACATCGTCTTAGTGCAGGAATAAATGCAGGATCTGATACTGAAATGTATTGGGTTTGTTCGTCTTTCTCCTGTTCAGGCTTTGGTACAAATAGGTGTCTCTTCGCTAAATAGGCACGAGCTGTTGGCACTTGGCTCATATCTCGACGGATAGTCTCGTAAACATACTCAATATGTTCTTCTGTGTTAGAAAATTCACGGTAGATGTCTATAAACTTTTCACGGAATTCAAGATGGTGGGGAATAGCTAATAAAAGCAAATATATAAGTTTGCATTTAAAAAAAGGGAAGGAGCAGTGTATAGTTTCTTCTTACCTTGTATAGCATTGTCATAAATAATTTTTGACAAGAGTCCCTTCAAGATAGGATTATTAGCTTCTTCTAACGATTTGGCTTCCTCTGCTGATAATTTGAACTTGGTTGATTCTCCACGGTCTTCTTTCCATGAATCAACGTCTTCTCCTGTTAGTGCTGGAAGCTGGATACTGTCCTCTTCCTTTGCATCCACTTCCATTGCCTCAATATCCTTTTGCTCGTCAGATTGTTCGGCTATACCCAAAATACGTCTTCTAAGCTTAATCTTTTCAATGTATATTAACTCTAAACGGAAATATTCGTGCCAAAGCAATTGATTCTCTGGCATTAGGCGAATAGCTCTCTGCATCAGGGTTCTGGCAGCTGCAATGTTTGAATTATGTTCGTGTTCCCAAGAGGCAGCCATGATCCATAGTGAGGGATTCATTGGATGGTATTGAATAGCTCTAAAACCAGATGAATAAATTTGATATACACAGATATACAAAACTTACTGGACAAATATACCAGAGAGAATATTGTTGGAATCATTCTTTTTAGCAAAGTCAATATATTGTAACCACAACTTGAGATCCCCAGTAAATCGAGTCGTGGCTCTCTTGAACAAACTATAAATACGCTTAATTCCAGAATACTGAAGGTTCTTTTCTTTAGGGTCAAAGTTGTAACCTGAATATAATAAGATAATGTTTCATACACAAACAAATAGTTCTTACCTAAACGCTTTATTCTCTTCTTACGAAGCTCTTCAAGGTTTATTTCATATTCTATGCTTCTCAAAAAATCAATTTTTTGTTTAATACGACGACTCATGGCGTATTCATGGTTGGTTCTTTTCTTGATGATTGATTTTATCTCTTCCTGAAAAAGGGGGAATAGATTAGCTTACATGTTGAATCAATTCATACAAAAAAACAATACATGTGTAAATATCTTTTTACGCTCTAGTGCTTCCAGTTCAGGAAGCATACGTTCCAGACGGTACTGTACTTGATCAGCCATGTCGCTTCAAAAATGTATATAATTGAAAAAGGGAAACAATTAAAGCAAGTTTACAATGAAATAGAGTAAAACGAGGACTGCGTTCTAAGCCACACATTTATTAAAAGGCAGCGTTCAAAAAATCAAGCAGCTGTGAACGGTTCTGATCATCTTTCTTGTCTTTTGCCGTCTTTTTTATCTTGAGTTTTAGCTTTAAAGATGTTAGATTGGTACATGATTAAATGTACTTTATACCTTTTTACCAGTAATCGCATTTCTACGTTCCTCCTATTATAACATAAGTTTTCTATATGTGTATGTTTATTATGGCTTTACTTTATGCTCTTTCTTTTGTTTCTTCTTGTGCTTTCTTTTATGCTTTCGTTTTTTCTCATCTAAATTGATAAGGCATGATGAATACTATTGATTATAAATGCATTCCTGTATAATAACCTTCAGATGAACTATCACTGCTATGGCTACTACTACTACTGTTATTTGCTCTATTTTTGGCGCTATACTCTTCTATATCACTTTCGCTATCACTACTGTCACTACTACTACTACTATCACTGCTACTACTATTGCTTCTGCTATCTCTGTCAGAAGAATAACGAGTTCTTCTCTTTTTATGCTTTCGCTTTACATCTTCTTTGTCAAGAGAAATATATTGATTTATATAGTGTGGATCGATGGTTTATATCCATAAAGAAATATGAATGAGGAACGTGTATAGTACAGCATGTAGCATATATATTTTACCACGACTGTGCTTGGAAGATGAGCGTCTGTGCCTAGTAGGTGATCTGCTTCTACTTTTGTAACGACGTCTATATGATTCTGGTGACCGATATCTGGAAGAAAGTGAAGTTTCTATGATTCAATTGAGTTTAGGAACATGGTGCATAGTCTCTTTTTTACTTTTTCTGTCTGCCATGGGTGAAAAAAAAAAAAAAAAAAAAAAAAAAAGAGCACGGATGTTACAGACACCCCTGTAGACACCCATTTACAATGAACGCCATTGTGCATTGAATATAATTAAAACAATCGTGTGCTTATTAAAGAAAGATGATCCATATAGAAAAGATGTTAATCATCTTTACATCAAGAATATCAGATAAGATCAAGGTAATAAAAGCATCCCCTTTTTTTTCGTGAGAACATTTTGTTTTTATTGAACAAAATATGATTCTATATTTTCATAATTATGAGTTTGGAAATGATAATCTGTAATTACTATTGTGATTATTGTTGTTATTATTTGACCCTAATGATCCAACACGAAACACACTTTGTTGGAGTTGTTGCTGCCTTAAGGATTGTGAGTCATTGTTGTCTTCAATAGAATGTCTTCGTTGACGTTTGTTTAATGTTTGAGTTCCCCATCTTGAAGGTGTAAAAGTAATGGGTCTTCCAGTAGGCGTCGCTGTCGTGGTAGTAGCAGTGTTAGTGGTAGTAGTAGTAGGATTACTTGATATACTCGTGTTCGTACTTGATGCACCTGATTGATGCTTGAATAATAATCCGCTGTTATTTGTCACTGTCGTATCATTAGTGATTCTATCGTTTGTATTTGGTAAAAGATTTGCAGACAAAATAGGCTTTTTCCCAAGAATGCCCGTTGTACTACTACTCTTTATACTACTACTGCTACTACTATTACTACTGCTACTGGTTAGTGTGCTGCTAGCTGATTTTTGTGCTGCAGTGGCCGAGCTACTGTTTCGATTACGCTTTTTGATAACGTCTGTTTTCAAGCTGAGAGGTCGAACAACACCATGTAGTTTAAGAAATAGACCACAAGCATTACATAGAGGCTGTCCTTCGGGATCACGGCGCCAAAGCGGTGTTGTTGTCGTACCACAATTTGTACATTTTGTGGTTGAGTTACTTCTTGATGAACCAGCACTAGAAGGCTTTGGCGTCGCTTCGTCATTCTTCTCTTGAATGATTTGCTTTGCACTTGAGTTAAGGGGTTCTGTGGTCTTTTGAGGGGGTGGATTTGAGGCTAACCTAGAAAGGGTAGCATAGGATTTTATAGGTGGTGTGTTATTAACAGGTGAATGTCCTGTAGGAGTTAATAAACCATCTAAAACAAACAAAAAAAAAAACAAGGTTAATAATTTATATATATATATTCCCTTTTGTCTTGTTTCACCTTGAGGAAGTGAAGAATAAGCAGGTGATAGATGGGGTAAGTCAGTAGTAAATGGGTTGAGAACAGAGTTATTGCTGTTATTATTATTGTTGTTATTATTATTAGTCAATGAAGGCTGAATCGTGCTGGGTGTGTTTGCACTTGATACGGCGACTGCTGCTGCTGCTGCTGCTGCTGCTGCTGCAACTTGAGGGTTATTTTGATTCACATAATACATTTTCAAAATGTCTTCAAAACTCAATGCGCCCGCATTCAATTCGCCATGACTTGGTGAATAACCAACAGGTGATGGAGATGATTCGTTAGGTGTTGTAGCAAAATAATGCTGTGGTTCAGACATGTTGGATCCTAATTGAGGGAATAGTCCAATGGGACTAGATACATTTGTATTTTGCTGTAGACGATGATGATAGCTTGGTACAGATTGACTAAAGTAATTGAGTCCATTTGATTCTATAGAAGACGAAGGTTGAAATAAAGATGTAGTTGAATTAGGTGAAAGAGGTTCATGATAATCATCCGACATGTCCATATCTGCAGGAATAGTGATACTGTTTGTATCATACATACTCGATAACATATATGGCTATTTTGAAATATAAACATATTAGCATCCATAATCATATGAAAATATTATTATTAACCCTTACAGAATTTAAATTTGTATGTACAGCAGGTGTAGTAGCCCTTGTAGAGCCATAGATCATCACATTTCGCTTCTGTTCTTGCTGTTGTAGTAGTTGCTGTTGTTGTTGGAAATTATTAGAAGACATAAAGTCAAGCATATAAGGAGGAGCAGAGGATGAGAGTAAGGTAGTGGTATCACCTGGTTGTGGTGGTGAATTCGTGGTATGCTCATCTTTAATTTGCTCTTTTTCGTCTTCCACTTGCATGTTATCGTCATCTTCCTTTTTTTCTTCGTCTGACTCAGTCAAGGGTTGTTCTGATGCCTTTTTCTTTTTATTCAACGTCATGGCCATCATTCGCCAAGTCAAGTTTTCTAATCTAGAACCATTAGGCAAAGTATCTTTTGCCTTTGTATATAACCTCCATACTTGTGTTGCCAATGGATCTTCTTTTTTACTCTTTTTTTCATCATCATCGCTACTATCATTATCATCATCATCGCTATCTTCAATCATCGCTTTTGGTTTTCTGGGTGGAAACAAGTTGTCCGACAGAATAGCAGCGGTCACAGCAGGAGGTGTCTTGGGTGATAAAGCAGCAACATGAAGGTTATTGTTCTTTTTTATATTTCCCAAATGAAGATCTGCTGTATGGTTATTCTTTGCTTTTGTTGATTCGAAATTAGTTTGCATTAGACAACTTCTTTTTCCAAGCTTCGTCAAGAGTGTAAATAATGTAAGCTTTTCTAGACTGGTTTTTTTTTTTGGCAGTAGTTTTTTTTTTTCCTTTTATAGAGTTAAATATTGAAACACGATAATATAAGATAGAGTAGAGAAGGGGGAAGAAGAAGAAGGAACAAGTACTGTGGACAGAAAGAGAAAAAAGAAAAAAAAGAAAAAAGAAAGAAAAAAATATAAGTGTATATGTGTGAGTGTGAGTGTGTGTTTTTTATATGGTAATAGAAATGAAGAGAAAAGACCAATCAGAGTACAGCGATGATTGAATTTAACATCTATTTTTTTTTTTAAACATTTTGATCAACTCAATGGTGCACCTACAAAATGGTTGACAATGTTTAAATAAATGGCGCTTACTAAAGACAAATATCACCTTATGTTTGAATATATCTCTTTTTGGATACTCATATACCCCTTGATTCTGTCATGAGTGCAAAAGCATAAACAAGTAAATGTAAAGAAAGGGACTGCATTTGTAAGCAAACAGTTTATTGATTATATCAAATGGTATATTTAGAGTCTGTTTTTGACTATATCCAATATCTATCTATTCGTATTATATTATTGTTTTTGAAGCATAACCATTGGCTACTTGCTTGCATACCTATTATTTCTATAAGTTGATTAATGAAGTTAATACATATTCACCATAAAAAATGATAGAGTATTCCGGATATCGGAAGATAGAAAGTAAGAGAAAGAGAATATGTTCAGCGGCGACTTTATTCCTGTTACAATTGACAAGGCAGCCTGTCAAGATATGCCACTTTTATTGTTTCTTTTCCCCTAGTACTTCACTCAAATAAGCCAAGACAAGCAATGTTTTTGTTAAGCTGAACTATTACAACATTGAATTGAACCAAATATGCATATATTTCTCGAATTGAAATCATAATTTCAAAAGGAGGCTCTCCCATATTCTGCAATAACACTTGTAAAAAGTTTTGAAAATCAAATAATGCCATGGTTGGTTAAAGAAAAATTAAAAAGCTTCAAAAAGTATAGTAGAAGCATATAAAACGAATACTCATAGAAGTAGATAATAGATAGAGAGAAACTGTATATCACATTTCAATATAGTTGGTGATTAACAAAGAGTCAACATTAGTGAGTAGAGACAATGAAAAGATAAAAAAGACTTGGAATCAACAAGCAAGCTAGTACCTTTTCCTAAAGTAGACGCATATAAAATGCATCATTACATCTAATAAAGTACAGTAGAGTCAACATACATAAAAGTAGGTAAAAGCAGTTGATTTTGTCCCTTTACGAACAACACGAAATCTGCTGTCAAATATTTTTTTTTTTTTGATAAAGATATATTGATTTATTTTGAAAAAAACAAAAAAAAACTTGCTTATGTTTATATATTCTGTTCTTTTTTTATATGTTTATATAAAGAGATCAACCAATCATAGTGAAATAATGATTCTATTTTTTGAACATTTTGATAGAGTTGATAGTGCACCTACAAATAAATGGCACTGTTTAGAAAAATAGTACTTTTATACATAAACTAGACCCTTACATCCAAATACGTGTCTTGTAAAGCTTAAATAGTTCTCTAACCAACTCTCGAAAGTCAACTCTTTTTTCTGCCACAAAGTAAAATGTAAGCTTTCGTCTGTCCCTGTAGAATGGATTAGATACATGAAATAATAAACAAAGGGCTTACCATTGATATTCTGCATCAACCACTTGCATATTGAGTTTCTTTTGCTTAATCTTGGATTGACAAACAATCAATGCCTTGGATTCATCTTGACCCTTGGCTAAAAGTAGTGTGATCTCGTCAGGTCTTGCATGACGAAAGATACGTTTGATGTAAATTTCTTGTTTCTTTTCTGATGGCTCATCTTCTATATTTCGATTGCTTCGATAAAAGCTTTCTATTTGTGATCGACTAATGTTTTCCATGCTTATCTTTCCAAGATCACGCCCTCTATCAGCTTCAACGATCACCAAGTCATCTTGTTTGAAATTAGGTAGAGGTGAATAGAATATGTCTGACCTTCCTCCTTTGAATTCAATAGCATAGAATATAACATTGCTCAATACCTCAGAGTCAAATTTAACACCTTTGCCCATATCATCTATGTTGATATCTTCTTCCATTTCATCTTCTTTCTTGTTATTTGCATGCGGCTGAATGGCCAAACTTTCAACAGTCTCGGTTAATGCATCCATGCTTGAGATGTGCGTTGGTCCAGCTAATGAATGACGTCTTTGAGCAAGTAATGCACTATTGGTATTATCATTGCTACTGCTATGGTTGCTACTTGTTGTGAATGGACTATATACAGAGTTAATTTATCAATTTTTTTTTCTTTTTCTGAGCTCCTTACTTGTGGGTATCTAATGTCAATGGAGTTAATGAAAATCTACGGATTCTTTCTCTATCGCCAGCAGACATCTGGGGTGTATACAAAGATGAAGTAGTTGGCAAAATAGGCGGAGGAGGAAGTGAGATGGGTGCCAATGATAAACGACGATGAAAGGCATGATTGTTTCTATTATCCTTCAATGGGCTCCATATATCCATTACGGCTGCTGATGACTTTGATCTAACCCTTGCCCTCAGCAAGTCCTCCTCCTCTCCTTCTTCCTCTTCTTCTTCATGCATTGTATCTAGTAGATTACTTGGAGCGCTACCACTATTGTTTGAAAATAATGGGGCGTTTTTATTGTTACTGATCATGTTGTAGTGCTGTTGTAGTTGATGATGCTGCTGCTGTTGAAAATGATGCTTCAGTTGCCACTGTTCTTCAAAACCAAAGGAGTATGACATCGACCTATGTTCTCTATAAAATGGCTCACCAGATACTTCAGGCAGCATAGGAACAGAGGCAATATCAGGGTACTCTGTCGGACTCGTCATGCTACCCGTATTTAATACAGACCATGGTGCAGCTGCATTATTTGTAGACCACTCATTATTTGATGCGGTATTTATGGCTGAGTTTCGTTGTACGGGTGGAAAGGCATAATCTTGAAGTCGACCGAGAGGATCATTTGTCATTAGGTCGTTCGAAGTAGTCATAGCAGGTGATATAAGACTTGGTCTTCTACTTCCAAATGGTTGCCAACCTGTGTTTGCATTGGTTTCTTCATTTTTTGATGATTCATTAAAAAACGCCTAATAAAAATACTTGTATTAAGCTATATTTTGTACTTTGGGTCTCTTTACACTTGAAACAGGCTTGGACATTTATATCAAGCAGCTATTTTCTAAGTTTTTATTTCTATAAGAAAAAAGAGAAAGAAAAAAAAAAAAGAATAAAGAAAAGAAAGAAAGAAAAGAAAAAAGAAAAGAAAGAAATAGAATTAAAAAAAAAAGGGAGAGGCTATTTTTTGTGTGTGTATGTGTGTGTGTCTGTGTCTGTACGAATATTGGTGTGTGCGTGTGTGCGTGTGTGTCTGTGTGTGAGCTCTTTTTTGAGTCAGGGGAAACGTCACAGTTAGGTTAAAACAAATTGGTCATAAAATTGATGCACACACTTTTCAAGATTTTAAAACAACTTTTTTTTTTCACTTTTTGTTTCGAAACTTAGCAATGACAAATACTTTACTTTATGAAGAACAAGAAATAAAAGTGCTCGATCTTATGTTCTAACGCAAATCAAAGATCCTAACATTGTTCTGGAAACCATCGTTTTACAAAACTTTTATTTAGAAGCCCACAAATCTGCTGAAGAAAAAATTGTGAAGAAAAGCGATGATATAGAATCAAAGACTGTTACTAAATTAAGATTAATGGGGGATGCTCACAATGATTTTAGTGATAAGACAAGAGAGGTGTTTATAGATCGAATGCTAGAAGGCGTTGAGGAAAGAGGAAGAATAGTCTGATTTGCAAAGGAGCTCGGCATTAAACCTCGTACTGCTTGAGGGTGGTGGGTGCGTAACCAAAAAAATAAATGAAGTGTCATATAAACTTTAAGAAAAGGACGCTAGTCATACGAGTTCCTTCATATTTGAACATAAGGTATACATTCAAAGCCTGCTTGATAAGAACCCTCAGCCTTATACTGAAGATATTATCGATGATTTGTCTAAACAGTTTATGGGCTTTTCTATTTCTAAAATTCATGAAATAGAATGGCACTGATTTATGTTTTACAAAAAAGCTGTATCTCTATTGATAAAGTTGGGTTTCATATCGATTTGAGGAATGATTGGGTCAGATCAGATATTGGAACATTCGCCATAGCAAAGAGAGCTGCAGTCCTATTGCATGCAATCATTGGCGCTATACATACATCTAGTATCATTCATGTTGCAATAAAAAAGCCACTACCGAAAAAAGAGAAGCTTCAAATAAAGAGAGGATGGCTACAAAAAAGAAAAAAGTGAAAAAAAGCAACAAGCGCACTACAGATGAGTTTATTATAGAGGAATCAGTAATAGAGTACACTGATGCAAATGAGAATAGTGATCAAGATAATCCCATACCAATATCAAGAGGTACAACAACTACACACTTTATTAAATTCATTAATTTTCTGCTTGACGTCATGGATCTTGATGAAAACTCAAAGTTATAGGGTGGTGTATCTGCCTCCATACTTGCCTGAATTAAATCCAATTGAACAGCCTTGCTTAATTGTAAAAGAAAAATTGAAGAGCCATAAGTTGTTGATTGAAGAAAATGTCTGGAAGAATTACTGAGACATGTATTGGCATACCTATTGAACCACTGTACTATGAAGTCTTGCTCAAATTTAAAAAGCAAAATGTTCGATACAATTATACTGTTTCGAGATGCCCAGCAACTCCTCCAGAGCTACAAAAATTTGTCAAAGATACCAAAATCATGTTTGTTTGGGCTCGAGATCTTGTCGCATTTGCTAAAACTATCGTTTAAAACCTGTTTTATCATTACCATTATACATATTTTTTTTTCTTGGTCTATTTTCTTTATTAACGTACATGCTTTAACATTGCTATGCCTTTTTTTTTTAATAAAAAAAAATAAATGTCAAACATGACAATAAACATTGAAGAAACAGAAGCCATTATACTAGAAGACAAGGTTGTCCACAAGAGGTTATTATTATTATTGTTGTGTATATTTAGTCCATTCACCTTTTATTAGGTACATTACTGTATGGGATCGTACAACTCAATTCAAAGACGGTCGCGTTATAAAATGGGATATTGTTGGACACGATACTTCTTATCCAACCTTTGTAGTCGTCTTTACCTTTGACACAACAAAGAAAACAACATGCATATTGAAAGAATACTGTCAAGGAACAAACGAGATGGTAACAAATAAAGTAATCTTAACGTATATGTGTGTAATAACTCTTTATTACAAAAGAAATACACTTGTGTAGCAGGTGCTTATGATAAAAGGAAGCATAAGAGGTAACATTATATTCTTTATCTTTTTTATACTAATAATAATAATAAAGTGCCTTAGAAGCAGCACAACATGAATTATCAGAAGAAGCTCATCTAAAGCAAGGTGAATGGATCAATTTACTACCACCAAGTCAACCTGCAGATGGTATCAGTGAATTAAAATGGGGTAAAAACCGATTTGTACCCTATATTTGTATAAACCCAATTCAAGATGATACACCCATGAATAGAGATTATGAAGAACATATTGAAATCATCAGAGATGTTCCCATAGATCAATTAAGAAAGTTTATTACAAGAGGAGAAATGATGTTGCCTTCTGTACAAACATGTTGGATGGCTATCGAATACTTAAAGGAAAATAACCTTTTATGATAGAATATCAGATGGCTTTGTGAATTTAACTAATTTTACTAGTTTTTCATTTTCCTAATAAAAAGTATTATTATTACTACAGATTCAACCTTTTTATTCTGTTACCTTTTTCAATTGAGTCAGTTCCTTTTTAAGACTGAATAATGACTTTTCACTCGAGTTTCTATTCTTGTCTAATCTTTGCATATAACTGTCCAAGTCCTCTTCTTCGTTATCTTTTTTCGCTTCTTCTTCCTTGGTCTTTTCATCAATTTTCTTTTCCAGCTGTTGAATCTGTAACATCACTTGTTTCTGCTTTGCTACTAATTCCTCGTGTGTCTGTGCCTTTTCTTCCTTCTTTTTCTTTTTGGATGTCCTATCATAAAACTCTTCATCACTGTCATCACCATACATCGTTTCTAGATCTTCTCGTCGTCGTTCTATATTTCGCAAACAACTAAATTAAACTGATGCACATATATACACCTATGTTGACTTACTTGCGTCTTCAAATGCCATCTTTTCTGCTTCTATATTCAATAAGCTAGCATCGCCTGATTTTTCTTGTTCTTCTTCCTCTTCATCTTCATCCTCTATTGCATCTTCTCCAAAACCCCTTTTTATATACATATGTAAATCAGTATATCTACATGTATAGATCTTCAGAAAAACTTACCATGTAGCGCCTTCATCTTCTGGTTCAATACCAGCTTCTTCTTTAGCCTTTGCAATACGCTGTTCGAGGGCAATTCTCCTTTTTTCCTCCAGCTCTGCCTCAGGATCATATGGCTTTTGTGATTCAAATATACAAATACGCGTGCTTTCACCAAATCTGAGTTGATCTCCTGGTTTCAATGGCATATATTCCCTTGGGTTTATTCGCTTCTTATTGAGTATGGTTCCGTGTGCACTTTCGAGATCATAAATGAACGCGTCTCCGTCTTGATTGAATTGGATCACGGCATGATAACGAGATATCGACTAATGTATCCATTAGTATACATGAAGAATATATATATATATATATATATAAATATATAAAAGAGAGAGAGGGATTCTCTTACTTGATGTTCCATTTGAATATCGCAAATCGGTAATCTTCCAATCGTGACAAATTCCTTCTTTGGTCCTTCAACAGTTTCTACACTCAATCCACCTTTAAGCATCTCAATCTTGTAGTCAAACATGGCTTCTGAAGACCAAGAAGGCTTTTCATACCTTAAAGGAGGAGCTGAAGGTTGATTGTTTGTAGTTGACTTGGGCTTTGCAGGTAAGCTTGGTACAGCAAATCCATCTTGGTCACTCATTTTATATACAATATTAAAATAAAAAGAGAAAATTTTAAAATGAGTAAGTTACACTGACCATCAAAAAACAAGGCAAAAAGGAAAAAAAAAAAAGGATAAGAGAGAGAGAGAGGGATATTTATATAGGTATCATCGCTCATCATTCAATCTGTCATCTTTTATACATGGTTAGTGATGACCATTGTTGCATTCTTTTATGAATGACAGCAATGAATGATAAAAGAGCCACGCTTTTTGTAATAACTTGGTTCAAGATGTATTTATATTGTATCAAGAGATATCTTCTATTCCTTTCTTTCTTTTTTCCTTGTCTTCTAATAACTTCATCATGCAAAGTTTTAAGAATAACAGACTCTTCTGTTATTTCTCCGCCGACGCATTGATCTTAAAAAGGACATTGCTTTTAAACCTCTTGTTTCCCTTTAAATATTTTGTTGTCCCCGATCTACTCTCATGCCCTCGAAATTACGAATGATTGCGCTCTATGACTGCACAGCAGACGATATAGGAGAACTTTCTTTCAAGGAAGGAGATATTTTAACTGACGTGACCAAATCCAATGACGAGGGCTGGTATGAAGGAAGGCTTGAGAACAGTACAGAAAGGGGCCTTTTTCCTTATAATTTCGTAAAGCCATTACCCGAATCCTTTACAGCTGATTCCATAACAACAGACAACGTGTCGTCCGGTAGCGGAAAAAGCACTGTATCTGATAGTGCATCAACAGCCTTTGACACGGTATTATCTAATGTATATAGTAAGAAAGACGTCAAATCAGCAAAAAAGACACATGTTTCAGCAGCAGATAAAGGCTTACCACAAGATTTACCTGAAGCGTCAACTAATTACAACAATAAGCTTGTTAATGGCACCAATCGTATATTGCCAATACCAGCTGACAAGACAAAGGATATACCAGGCCTCAAATTCTCAACACCTCCACCAACATTTGAAAAACTTTCCTACAAGAGTACAGAAAAACAAGAGTCACCAACGAGAACTCGGTCCTATTCGACTTCCTTCTTAAAGAGCACATCGGATAATCACGGCTTGGACAGAACACTACGTCCTTCACAATGGACGTCTGGGGGTAAAAGCGAGCTAGAAATAGCCCTCAGCCGACGCTCTCCAAGGTCAACCGCCAATTTACGATCTGAATTCCAAACAAAACATGGTGTATCAACAGGAACAGGCATTCAACTGGTTGGATTAGAGAACGCAAAGCTATCGACTGTATCTCGGGAAACAGAAGAAGAAGAGGAAGACGAAGGCTTTCAGCTGATCAAGCCATCTCAACTCCGTCAGAAACAACAACTTTCCGGTCCTGTTTTGCCAAAACCAGTTGTTCCAACGCAGTCAGCATCCTATGTCGCTAAGTCATCTACACCTAGTTGGAAAAAGACGGTAGATATCCCACAGCGACCGACAGAAAGTGTTGGTAAAAGTGCAATTGGCACTACTGAACCACTTGGAAATATACCTGCTCCAAGTAACCCTATGCCTCGCTTACCTTCCCGCCCTGTGTCTGCTGCAAGCAGGAAATCGCGCAACAACAGTCAGCTTTCGTCAGCAAGCACACCACCGGTATTGAATCAGCAGGCACTATCCTTTTCAAAGGAAGAGCGTCCAGAAAGTATACCCGAGAAAGCAAACCCACCGCCTATCTTGAAGCCAAAACCAGTGTTACCTCAACCCTGTCTTCCCCCACGGCCCAACAAGACTCGTAGTGCATCCAATCCACCACTCTTGCAGCCTAAGCCGAACCTTACGCTATTGGAAAACTCATCTGGTCAAGACACAAAGGAACTAAACAATACTACACAAACTACTTCATTGAGTCCACCTACTCCGCCTCGTGTAGGCGCAAAGCCTTCACCTGTTCTCTATCAACAGAAACTACAATCCTTCGTTTCACAAAAGGCCATCTCGCCACCCTTTTCACCGCCGACAAAGCCAACCACAATGACCCCACCTTCTCCACCACGTACAATGCTGAATGGTCAAAAGAATGGTATATCCAATCTAAAACCATCAGCTTACCTGAATAGAGCACGATCAGCTACAAACCCTCCTTATTTTGGCCAAAAGCCTACTATGGACTGTAATTCGCCCAAATTGACTAGTATTCCAAAATCGAGCGTAGAAACCAAAGTCAACCCTACTGAACTCAAAAAGAAAGTAGCACCACCACCTCCCCCATCGAGACCACCAAAAAGCAAATTAGCATTCATAAGCGATGAGGCCAAGGCACGATACGAGGCGTTATTTGATGCGATTCATGATGATGGTTATGTTGATAGTCAAACAGTCTATAAAATTTGGATAAAGAGCAAGATATCCAAGGACAAGTTAGCTCGTATATGGAAAGAGAGTCATCCTGATCAAAAAGGATTATTAGACAGACATGCATTTGTATACGGTATGGGAAAGATTGATGAGATATTAAAGCAGCATCAGTTTGAACAGTCTGTATGAGTTTTCCCCCTATCTATTCGTGTGTCTGATACCAGTAAATATATATAATAAAGATGTAACTAGTTTAATAAGTAAATATCATCATTCAAAGGTTTATTAAAATGAATACGCATGCATTGTTGTTGTTTTTTGGAAGGAATAAAGTAAATGCTTAATTTTAATTACAAATAGTTTACAATATAAAAAAAAGAGTCCTAAATCAAACCAGCAATAGGAGTCTTTCTTACTTTGGCCTGTATATTTAGTTTCACTGGCCTTCCAAATGCTCGACTGATCTTGTCCTTGGCATCTGCAATAACATTATTAATTATCTTGCCGTTTGATCCTACTATAATTTTCAATTGACTGTCTCTCTCAACATAGACATTCTGGTCAATCACCAGTGTCTTGTTTAACTCAGTCCATCCAACATTTTCCTGTTTAATCATATAGGGAATATAATGATGCAGGCGTTTAAAGAATTCTACTCTAATGATCTCCTCTACTCGCTTCAAATTGGGCATTTCTACTTTTTGTTCAGCTGGATATTCCCATGGTCTTGATAAAGACTTGCTAAAAAGTGTATTCTACATTCATACATGTCTTAATGACTTTGTTATTTTTCTATCTTTTATACAACAAACCTTGAGTGTACCGACATCCTTTCCTTCTGTAGCTGAAGTATACACAATTTGTTGTATACTTCCGTATCCTCTTTCATATCTATTTTTGACATCCTCTAACACTTTTATATCATGACCAACAAGATCCATCTAATCAACAAAGGAAGGTTAGAGGCAGATTGTGAAGTCATATGACTTACTTTATTAAAGACGAGTGTGGCAGGAATATGTATATCATGAAGTCGAGACAGTAAGAACTGCTCTGTCTTGAGTGACTGTGTGTTGAGTGACCAGTTTGCGTCGACAACGATCATGACTAAAAATCTAGATTAATCACACTTTTTCTATAAAAACTAGATCATTATATGTCACCGTACCATGATCTGCTTCATCCAAAGATCGCCATGAAGATGTAGCAAGTGTGCGATTCATTTGGGCATGATTACGATCTGGTATAATTCCAGGAGTGTCCAAAAAGACAATTTGATGTTGACCCTCTGTCAGCACGGCCAACACTCTTTCTCGTGTTGTATGAGCCTTGGGTGAAACTCCAGAAACCTTTTAATACAAGTTAGCAACATGATCTCCATCAGAAAATAGTATTTTTTTTTACCTCTTCTCCAATAAGCTTATTCACTAGAGTCGATTTTCCAGCATTAGCAGCTCCAATGACTGCTACTCTAAGCATATGTGGATCAGCAGGTTGTACTATATTTGTTGGGATCTGAACGATGCGTTCTGAAATTCCTAATGATCAATCGAAATTAATAAAGTATGTTGTGAGAATAATATTTTCTTTTGTGTACCTGCTGGCTTCTTTATCATAGCTACCTTTGCTGGTCGCTTCTTCGGTGTGTCTAGTGTTTTTTCTTTTCCAGTAGCATGGGTTGCATTGTAATTGACTACAGTAGAGGCTCCCTTATTTTCCGGATTATCTGATTTCCAGTCAATTTGTTTCTTTTTGATCGGTTTTGCTGGTTGAGGTGAGGTTACGGGGATTCCCGCTCGGTGTTTAGCTCTGGTCATAATCGCATAACATCGATGAGCTTGTCCTGTATATTATGTCAACCAAAAGAAATTGTTTGTAAAAAGTAGTATTTATTACTTGGGGTAAATAAGGTTCTATTTGGAAACAGCATTCAGGCCAAGTATGGAAACAGTAGAAAGAAAGGTACACTGTCAACTTGACAGGAACGCTAAATCCCTGAAAGAATTTAAAGTCCTAAAATTTAAAGTTCTAATAGCAATAAAAAAAAAGAACAGCAGTGCTCAACAGTCAATTCATCCGCAGGGATGTTGCTCAAAGTATTTCTTTAAGCCCGGATGATACCAGCCATTCATAAGTTTAACAAAATCAAAAGTATCTTCTTTTGCATTCTCACTGTCGTCATCATCAGGAGGGTTGGCATCAGTATCATCATCAACCACAGTGTATTTGCCTGTTTCTAGTAATTCATAATTTGCTTCTGAAAGTACACTTCTCTTTTGTTGCTTTCGAGGAGGCGTGTGCCATGTTTGACAGGATGGTTGCTGGGTGTGTGGAAGAGTGGTAAATCCCGAGCATGATATTTGGTGCCGATATTGGTATTTGACTTGTTTGCTTGCAAGATGCGTGCTTTGACCATTTGAGCAGAGTTCTCTACGTTATCGCCAAGTTGCAATGGCTCATTAAAGAATTCAAATGACTTTGCTTGGTCATTCAGCTCTCCAATACAGCTTGGAAATGCGATTGTATTTTGTAATACACCAACATATAAATCGTTTCCAGCATAATTTACCGTAGATATATAAGCCATTAATCTGGATATTTGCATGATCCAAGAATTTAAATGTCACTAGAAGTAGTTTTAAATAATGTATCTATATTATCCTTTCCTTCTCTTAGCAGCTCTGCGCTGTCATCAATAACTCTGCTGTTATCGACTTCTGGGAGACAGGCTTCTGCTACATCAATATCAAATTCGGAAGCCCCATGGTCATATATCAAACGGACATCAACTTTAAACTCAATCACATGGCTCTCAGTTTGATAAAAGACAGCTTTTTGTTCTATGGAATCTTTTATTACTGTCTCACCTTTCTTTACGCGTATTAGGTGTCCATTTGTTGCAAATAAGGATTTGAGTATAGGAAGCCAGACCTGATCGACATAATCGCCTTCGCTAATATTATCTGAGTGTTTCTGCTCCGTGATAAACGCATTATTTTGAAATACATCGAGAATCACAATAAAAAGCTTGATAAAGGAACGCTGCTTCTTTGAAATAGATGCAGCAAACTGTGAGGCAAAGTAAATTTGAGAATCTTCAATGTCATTTGAGAGCATGGCCAAGCCGGTAGCATAGTCTCATTTCGCCAGCATGTTTTTGTCACTTTCAGCTTTAGGAAGAACTAGATTGTTTTCAAAATTCGAAGCGATTTTATTCCAACCAATCATGAAGAAGAGACTCTTAAAAATATTACTTTCCGATTTATCGCTAATATCCAATATCAACGAAGAACCACAACTCATTAGTTTGCGTTATTTAGTACTAGTCTTTTGATTATTATGATACGTCGTGTGGATTTCATTTGCGTTTTTCATCAATACCTTTTTGATCGTAGAATGTGTCGAAGGTGTTTGTTCCATATGTCCAGAGTCAGTCAAATTTGAATCTTCGTCTTGAGAAATGAAAGCATCAGCGGGTTCACAACGTTCGTGAATGCTTGGACCAGGTGATTCGTTAATTAAGTTATCAGTCTCCAGTTCAATAGTATCAATATCAATTACAGCTGACATAGATGAGGATGATTTTTCATCATTTTCAACCACATCATCAAGAGGCTTTTTTAGTCTATCACTAGCAACGCAAGCCAACCTATTAGCATTAACGTCAGCAATAAGATGGTGAACACTACGCGCACGAGGATATCCACGAGAAGGCTAATGCTATAGGCACTACCTGTAACATCGTCAACGAACCTTTTCAATGTGCAGCGTCACGTTAAGCTTGATCAGGAACAGATGTCCTTCCATGTTCCTTGATCTAGGATACGTATTTATCTTGTTTCAAGAAGAAAGAGATAAAAAAGAAATGTGGTTATTGCTGTATTTTAATTTTCTTATCTTGTCAGTTTGATCAACAAAGAACAAATATCATTTACGTGTAATTATGATGAGACTCCATAAAGATTATTTCATTGGAAAGCGTTAAGTTAGATAGCCACTTTGGCTGTGTGAAATTGTATAGTGACAACGTAGGTAGCACCTAGAAAAAGTGTCCGTAGCATTAACCTTCTCGTGGATTTCCTCGTACGCGTAGTGTATACCTTTTTTTTTCGACGTTTCATTTTCTTTTTCGAGTTTTATATCACTGAAGATATTGAATGCGGTGAAGCTACATTCAACGACTTGTTGGTCTTTCCTTTTCTTAAGGCAGCTGCCATTACAGTTGGAGAAGAAACAAACTCTGGGGCACAGTTCAAGATGGGAGAGGCGGCCTTAACAGCGATGAAAAGGCAGATAAAAGGCGACGGCGATGCTAGCATATATCTGGCAGATGACATCATAAAACTCTATGGACTTTGCGAGCTGGAAGTTCCTCTTTTGGAGACTTCGTCTCATTTTGGACGTGAAGACAAGGCGAAGTCTTCATTCGATCATCATAAGGGTCTTTTCGGTGGGCTTTCTATGCTAAAAATTATCGCAGATAAATTTTCTTATGGCTTGATTGAGGCGTTCTCAAAGTTAAAAGTGCTGTTCGTGCACGCTTCAGGTACTTTACGCAATTCATACACTAATATGTAACAAAGATTGATTTTGATACCTTTTTTTGCATTGAAACAGGCACCAGGATATTGCTATGGAGCCTGAAATATATCAAGGATGTTCCAGCATACGAGCTGTGGTTAGAGAAAGCCCTTGATATTAATCCCAAGTTTGGCAAAGGGGTTGAGCAGCTTCCTCAAGCGCTGAGTTTTTATTGGAAACTGGAGGTACACAGCAGGCATGAAACAATAAACCAACCAAAATAACCATTTTTGCTCGATAGTGTCTCTCGAGGTAGACTGCAGGTGCCGTGGAGAAGCTCATATCTGAGCATAAGAAAGTACTGAAGCAGCGTCGCTTCACTTCCCTTCCCTTCCGGTTGACAACTTGTCCTCTGTTGTCAACCCAAGCATCACAAAGCCTACTGAAGCAGAGGATAAAACAGGCTTAAGCGAAATGGGGGGCATTTTATGCCCAATATAAATAGTTGGTAAGCAACAATCATGTAACAATTCTTTATTTTATTATGTTACTACGAATAAAGCGCAGATAGAAAGATTATAACCATATCCTTAGTCTTCGTTTCGACAACATAGTCATTATTGACCAAAAGGCTTTTCAAAAAAGTGGCCAAATATTTTTCTAAATTTGATCCTTAATATAAAAGCGAAGGTCAAGCAAAGTTAGTTTAGTGATGCTAAAGACTTGAGATCTAGAGTAAGTCCCTGTATCAACCCTTTCAAACATTTTCCAACCCTCTTTGATAACTCTTCAGAAGCGCTTAGAAGATAAAGCCCATTTAAACAATATCGCTTTTATTGATATGCAACAAAAACACCACCGATTGAGCTGGTGCAAATCCGTAAAAGGTAACCCTGCTTTCACTTTAAACTCACTTGAAAGAGAGACAGAGAGAGTACAAAATTGGTATTCCTGGGTCACGAGTTTACTTTATTTGGTAAAAGCGTATCTTGTAGGACAATGCACATACACTTATCACAGACTAATATCTATAAAATGCTTATTCCACGCTTGAATCTGAATTTCATTTGTTTTTGCTCCTACTTTTATTACTAAATACATTCTTTGATTATGCCTCCCAAGCTAACTGCAGCCGAGATAGAAGCTAGAGATGCAGCAAGACTAAATGAGTTAGGATATAAACAGGTATAGAAAGAGAATTTCAGATCGACCTTGCATATTTTGATTTACACAAATAAATAATAGGAACTAAAAAGAGAATTAACAGTATGTATTAGGCTCAGGTACACGATTCAGTAGTAAACCATCGTAGTCACTAGGAAACTATGGTGTTGCATTAAGTGTTGTCTGCATTTCATCAGGGTTGACAAGTTTATATGAATATGGATTAACAACGGGAGGACCCGTACGTATATTTTGTTCACACGCACATGATTGTTATAAAGATCTCTGAATATAGGTAGTTATGGTATGGGGATGGGTTATAGTAGCATTCTTTACTATGGCAGTGGCTTTAGCTATGGCCGGTAAGATCACGATAAAAGCAAGTTTGTTATTCTTACAGTGTATTTTGTAGAAATTTCTTCCGCTTACCCTACTTCAGGAGGACTCTACTGGTGGGCAGCCAGATTAAGCACAAAGAAGTATGCACCGTTTGCATCATGGATGACTGGGTGGTTCAATCTTATCGGGCAGTTTGCTGTCACCGCAGGTATCAATTATGGCATAGCATCTATGCTTGCTGCTGTCATCAGTGTAGGAACAAATGGAACTTGGGTTCCAACCGCTGGTGCAACAGTCGGACTTCACATTGCGATGTGTTTTACTCAAGGGATTGCAAATTCTTTGGGGCCAAAAGTTACATCGGCCATAAATGGTAAGTAGCTAACGAGAAATCAAATGGCTGTTATCCTTGCTTATCTATTGTACAAAGCCTTTAGCACATGGTGGCAAGTCATTGCACCTGCTGTTATCATGATCACGATGGCCGTCAAGGCACCAACACACCAGCCTGCAAGTTTTGTGTTTACACAGTTTAATAACAATACAGGATGGAGCAGTACAGCCTACGTAGCAGTTATAGGTATTCTGCAGGCACAGTTCACCCTAACTGGCTATGACTCAAGTGCACACATGTCTGAAGAAACAAAAAATGCAGAAGTTAGTGGACCTGTAGGCATGGTCATGGCTGTCCTTGGTAAGCCAAGATGCAGTTCGATTTTTATCATATTGACAATCACGTTTTCATTTCAGTAAGCTCCATCATGGGATTTTGCTTTATAATAGCGTTTTTATTTTGCATTCAAGATTTAAACGCTACTATCAATACAGATACAGGTTTTCCTGTAATGCAAATCATGTTTGATTCAGTAGGAAACGCAGGCGCCGTTTGCTTGATGGTGATGCTTATCATTGCCTGTTGGCAGTGTGGATTTGCCAGTGTTACAGCTAATTCCAGAATGATATACGCCTTTTCGCGTGATGGTGCTATTCCCGGCCATAAATATTGGCATAAGATTGATCTTAAAAGACAGGTAATTTAGCAAGACGCGCGTTTGGGCAAATACTAATGTATATAAATAGACACCATTGAATGCAGTCTGGCTTTCAGTCATCGTTGCCTCTTTGCTTGGCTTACCTTCTCTTGGTAACAGTACAGCCTTTTCTGCCATCACTTCAGTGGCCACAATTGGCCTTTACATATCTTATGCAGTACCTATTTTCGCAAAATTATTGAACCGTGGTCATTTTGTTAGGGGACCACTCCATCTAGGTCGATTTTCAGACATCATTGGCATGTAAGTGTAAAAGTGTATATATTAGCTTACAATGGCTGACCCCCTTTTATAGCATTTCTATCTTTTGGATTTCACTAATTACCATCCTGTTTGTGCTTCCTCCTAAATGTAAGCCTTTAAAAAAACAGAAATGTGTATAAAGCTTACTTTTTTTTGATCTAGATCCTGTTGATGCGGTCAATATGAATTGTACAGTTTGTTTTGCTCATGTGTGATAACATAGCTAATTCTTTTCTGATCTTTAGATGCATGTTTAGCTGTTGGTATGGTGCTGCTTGGCGCAGGGGGTAAGCAAGGCGTATTCATTTGATATCTTTGGATAACATTCTAATAAGCACTATTCTAGGTCGATTTGCAATAGACGCTCGAAAATGGTTTACGGGACCCAAGATTAACCTACCACAAGATAAGCTTGATAAAGTCAACCTTGAACAAGATAAGAAGGATATCCGAGGCTTATCTTCTAATGATATCGAGATAGGTGACTCCAAGGAAGATTCAAGGACGTCATCAGAGAAAAGTGGTATTGAAAAAGAGCAAAAGAAAGAAGATGGCGACATTAGAGTTGCAGAAATAGAAAAGATTGAATAATTTTGTTTATATGCTAGTCTCTTATGTATACACAATAAAATGAATTCAACAACCAAGTTGTGCAATTTATAATAGTATAAAGAAATACAATTAAATACATTAAAAAGTCTATTTACGTCTATCGTTTGTACAAAGTAATTGCTGTCATATGTTTTTACTGCTTGCTTCTTCTGCTTTCCATCTCTAATGCGTTTAACAAATCACGCTTAGCCATTCCATTGAAATCAACTTGTTCAAGGCCTGCTGAAGATGCAATAATCTCTTTCACTCTATCACTGTATTCTATTGAATTTTCATCTTCTTTAGGTGATTGTGGTTCACAATAAATTACGTCAACAGTTGTTATCCATCTGGTCATTCTATAATAAGCGTAATGCATAAATCCTTTACGTGTGTCCCAATAAGGGTCACCAAAAGTTCTATGATATCTAATAAAAATGGTTAAAGCAAAAGTATAGAAAATGATTAGCTTTACTAACTTTATACCAACAGGACAGACGTTTACTCCCAGATCAAAAGCACCTTTCTGAAAGCGGATGATGTATTTGTTATTCACGCATGTACCTTCCGGAAAGATGATCATTGGATTTTTCAAGTTCTCTTTTACTTCAACATGCTTCTTTAGACTTGCAGATAATTCCTTTCGTTCAGTTATATTAGACCGGTCGAATGTCATTGAGTGTAAATAATTTAATCCGTTATTTTGTAAAAAGCCTATAAGCGTATAAGTCATTTCACCATTGGATGATATTAACAAAAAGATTACCTAGTGCTCCAGTATGTTTTGCCATAACAACAGCATGGGGGAATCGATCAGCACTAAGAAGGATATAGTCTAAATAAGAGGTATGATTGGCCTAAATATATTAGTGAGATGATGCTATGTGTTGAATGTTCCTAGAAACTTACCACAAAGACATGGGGCTTATTAAGTGTTGGCTTATTTCCGATATAGTTGACTTTTACACCAAGTGAAAATAATATGCCTTTGCAATAATATTTAACGGACGTAGACTAAGATTAATGCATCAATACGGGGGATTCCTTTTTTAGATGAGGATCGACTTACGACAAGCCTGTCACTTTTGAGTGTCACAGCAATAGGCAAGGCTGTAAAGAATGCTACGGTTGATACACCTAAGCTTATGAATCGAAGTGGAAATATGATGCCGTAACGAACTAATGCGCTGGGGATTGAAGTAATGATATCGAGTAACTCTAACCATTTTGAAGAGCGTTTGGAGACATTGGTAGTGAAACACTTAGCATAAGATAACTGTTTGTTTTTTAAAAGAATGATTAGATAAGCACAAGGAACACAAGCAAGTAGTTTTACCAGTTGTTCATGAGTGTACTCAGTCGTCCGTGATCTATTCATAATGTATTAGATGAATATTGTTCTACAAGGTTGCTTTGACAAGTTCAGCTTTTACTTTTTATTAGTGCCTTGGATATAATCGCTTCTCATCATATCCAGTGACTCACTGGAGCTCCCTCTTTCTAATAATGATGATGGAGAGTATAATGGTTCCTGAGGTGGCATAGTCCCTTGTTTGTGATAACTGAAACAATAAAAGAGTAAAAAAGAAAGGGAAGAAATCATGGATGGCTTGTACTTGAATTCGGACGATTGTATTTTTTTTCGGATAATCTCAAATTAAACCTCAGACTATTTCTTTATTTGGATAAAAAGACCTTACCATTCTATACTTTAATGATAAACCCTTAAAAACGATGTTTATTATTAAAATAAAACATCTTGTTATAGAGAGATTGACGACGTCAGAATATACGCCATTTGCTTCAGCTTATTATTTAAATTTGAATTTCCAAGGACTATATTGTATTATACGGAGAAGCGCAGCACCAGGCTGGTTTATTGTCTGCGAATAGTCGGAAAGCACTCTCTTTGTGTGGGAGGGATCATAAAAATCTGACTCCTTCTTCTTTGCTTGGATATAAATTTCACTCGAGGCATCAGAGAGCAAAGGTTTGATGTTACATATCTCAATGCACTCAAATCTGTTGTTTTTGCATCGGTATAACAGATATACCTTATTCCAGTCTAGGAAGGTCTTTTTTGCATACTTTAACATATAATAAATAAAATGTGTTACAATTGTAAAAAGATAATGATATGTTTATTGGTTCAATATGTATAAAATATCTTTTCACGTCTCTCTTCAAAAAGAAAGAGAAAAAGAAGGGAATAAACAAGAAAAAGAAAAAAGATTAATGAATGTTGTATATATAAGTAAGTGCGTAGTAATAATCATCAATAAAGAGAATGCTAATAAATATTAAAGCTTGAAAATAACTCTATTTTTTGAAGGATGAGTTGTCTTGCGTTTGACTGCCCAGTCACGAGCAATCCACAGAATGCAAATACGTTCCCAAATGATGGTGCAGGCGCAATTTGCCAAAACGTAGCCCCATAATTGCCAACGGAACCAGACAGGTAGGACATTATGTTTAAGCGGGAAATTATAATCGTCAATATACCAGGTAGGTGCTGGGTAACCAAGGGAAACAAGCGCATCTGGTGAACCACAGTTGATACGGAAGATGCAGCCGTATGGGTTAGGATCGGCTAGTGTGATGTAACTTGTGCTAATGAAGAAGGCGCACCAGACAAACACAAGTGCATAGTTCCTCCACCATGATTGACGGAACTGTGATCCAAAATTGACAATAGCACCATTGTTGAAGAATTGGAAGAGAATGACAATCGACATGACCTCAGCTTCATAATTATCACCCAATAACCACCATTTGGCAGAGTCAATAGCGGAACTGTCGAATTGATTACAGATGAACCAGTCTTGTTGGAAGAGCCAGACGATGCTGCAGACGAGGAACCAAAAGTTGATAAAGATGACACCGAGCAAAGAGGCTAGGGTATACGCACCCAAAGGTTTGGCCGTTGGGCGACAAGGGCTTAATTTCTTTGCAGGTAAAGCTTGAGTAATAGCCAACGTCATGGTCGTCGTGATAAAACCATCAATGGTAATCCATACAGGCTGTGGAGAAATAACCGTAAAGTAAAACATACATAATTCCCAAAAGGCCATGCATTCACCATATAAGATCAAGAACTTGTAATTGGCAAAACTTGTAGCAATGGCAGAGCGACCTTGTCTCAGAAGTTCAACGCATTGCATAATGGAGCGATTGCTGGTGCTAAATGGTGAAACGATGGAAGCTTCAGCTTCTGATAAAGCAAGGCCAACATGAGCAGCACGAAGAGCGCCACAGTCGTTACCACCATCTCCGCACATGGCGGTAATACCCTTTTCCATATGTAACTGGATACACATGACCTTATCATTAGGCGTCATACGAGCAAATACACGAGTCATCAAAAGGTACTTGCGCATCTTGCCCTGGGAAATCAATGCCTCAAATGCACGTCCAGTAATAGCTAATTCAACGCGCTTCTCGTGTTCTTCATGTGTATCAGCTTGAATAACTTCATCCACATCAACTTGTTCTCCAGAATCAACATCGTGCCAAACGACACTACCTGAGACCAAGTCACCCAAAAGGACACGTTGATGAGATTCGATCATGCCACATTGACGAGCGATATAGATACCAGTGAGAGCAGTATCACCTGTGATCATAACCACACGCGTGTCGCCACTCTTCAATTCGGCAATTGCATCTGTAGTATCATGTTTGAGCATATTACGGAAAAGAACAAATCCAGTAAAATTACAGCCCTGTTCAAGTTCGTCACGCGTCATGGACTTGATCTGCTCCATTGTGACATCGACGTTTAAGGTGCCAAGAGTACGATGGGCCAAAGCAAGAACGTAGCAACCTACTTGAGCATGTTTGGCTGCTTCTTGATCATAGTCAGTAGGAAGCGAATCAGCATTAGATAAGTGCTTGATGCGCTCAAAGGAGCCTTTCAAGAATACATGAACTTGATTTGTTTCAGGGTCGAGGACAGCCACTGATTGAGAAGCACGGGCGTGTACAAATTCGAAACGGCGAATGACATGCACTTGTTTACCTTCTTTTTCTGGAGAAGCAGATGGAGCCACAAGGGTATCAAGGTACTCGGGTTCAGCGGGTGGTAGTAGCTTCCATTTCATAGAATTGAAAGATTCAATGTCAACAGGGTTACCAATAAATTGGTCCTTCACTTGAGTTACAGCGTGGCAAGTAGCGATACCCATGGCTAAGAGGGGCTCCATTGTTAAAGGATCTTCTTGGCGATCACCAAATGAAGTAGCCTTTTCTACAGGACTAGGAACACCACCATAGAATTCCAAACCTTCGCGAGTAAGAGTACCAGTCTTGTCAAAGCAGAAGATACGAACTTTACCAGACAGATTGATACGAGGAAGATCAATACAGAGAATTTTCTTGCTACGAAGACGAGCAGCACATACGGATTGGTTAATTGTGAATGCGGCAGGTAAGAGAGGTGAGAAGATTTCAGACATTACAAAGACACCGTAGAACCAACTAGTGATGTTACCACGGCCCATCAAGTAAAGCGATAGACAAAAGGCAACAAGACCCCAGACCAAGAGAATGGAGATAGCAACCTTAATGTGCTCATTAAAGATAAAGGACACAGGTGCTGGGAATAAAATCTTGTGAATGAGCATGCCTTTCTCGGTAGCAATACCAGTACGAAGTGTCAATGCAAAAACACGATTTTTTTCTTCGGAGGTGTTGATTGCAGGCGTTGCTTGAGATACGATGGTACCTGCAAACAAAGTGTTTACTTTGCCGGAGCCGTTCATTTCGTAGATATTGTCGTCACTGGGTATCGCAAACTTTCTAATGGGCATAGCTTCACCAGTAAGAGAAGATTCGTTCACTACGACTGTACCAGAAAGAATGACAGCATCGGTAGGAACAAGAGTGTTTTCCTTGACTTCAAAGATATCTCCAGGGACAAGATTGGCGCTGGAAGTATCTATCCATTGACCATCACGTAGTACGGTAACATCAGTTACGTGTTCAGCCATATCTTTGATACGGTGGTCTGCTCTCAAACGTAAGAAAATACGAATAAAAGCAGAAAAGAGAATGATACAGGTCTGCACTAGACCCATCTTGTAGTATTGGAAGTAATACCAAACCCACATACACATCATTTGATAAAGGTATAAAAATGAGGAGAATCTATAGATGTACAATATTAGTTTATACATACAATTAATTTCAACGTTTCACACTTACTCTTGAATGATGGCCATAAGGATTGAAGGTACATACACTTGAATGATATTGGGGCCAAGCATAGAGAGTCTGTTTTCCGCTTCTTGAGAACTGATCCCGTTAGACCATGACTGAAGTTTCTTGTTGGTAGAGCCAAGGTCATATTCATAGGGCTCAAATCGGGATTTTTCAGAGTTGTAAATATATCTCATACATTGGTATTCAAAATAACGCAAGCTATTTTTTGTTCTAATAGTACAGGTAGTGACCAAAATGTCCAAACTATGCAAAAATAAATGGTTAGAAAAAGTTTATGCAGGATGGACATGCTTTCCCTTACCCAAAATGTTTATAGACTTTTTGTTCAATGCTTCGTAATTTGGCAAGCCATTTGCTACCATCGTCCAAAAAGATAAGTTCTTCCTGCTTGCGCTCAACTTGAACATAAGGGCATTTATGAGGGTATGATTCGATTCTAAAGTAATTTCTAATAGTTTTTCTACTAAACATGATAACACAGAACCATGCTGCAGAAATATGCCATACAGCAGCAAAGATCTTGGATGAAAGATCAGACGATAAAAACACTTGAAGGGCAACACCAGTGACAGTGCCATCTAATTTGTGAAACAGGTTAGTAAAGGAATATAGGATGAGGTAACACACGAATGACTTACAATAGTCACCGACAAGAACACCCAAAAAGACAAAGAATAGTAGAGTCGTAATCACAACAGATCCAAAAGCAAAATAACCAAAGAAATCATTCTTGTATCCTCTAAACTTTAGCTTTTCTGATTCTTTAAGGGAATCAGCATCAGATGTACTGGCGGCAGATGCAGGCTTTTTCTCGTCTACTTTCATAATTTCCTTTTTGAAATCAGTTTCATCTACTTCATCCTCTTGATTGTTGGAGGCTATCTTTTCTGACTTCATTCTAGCTGCCATAGCATTACGGAACTTCATTTCTCTCAAGTACTTGTAAATAGCCCACAAGATCAGTATGGCTGCTTCAGCACCCATAAGAGACCAAACGGAGATCCACATTGGTTCCTTATAAGTAAAGGCAGGATCTATTACCGGACAGGAGAGCCAGATGGAATTTGTATTGAAGACACCCCAAGCACCAATGTCGCCTGCTGTTATATTTGCTGCTGCAGCGCAGGTGTTTTGTATCTGGGTAACTTGATTTTGAGGATCAAAATGGGTAATATTCACCAGCTGTCCAGCAGCACATGGAAAGTACTGTATAGTATCATCACCGCACTGACAAATATTAGCAATGTTTTCACAAGATTCATGGCAGCTGCCGTCACCGCAGAATGACAGTCCAGGAGGACAAGTGGGTGATAATGCTGAAGGACAACTTTTCTGGTCTTTTACACAGAGAGTAGGACAGGGTACGTTATAATGAGGAAGTAAAGGGCACTTGTTTCCATGTCTGTCATACTGGTTAGCTAAAGAAAAAGTGTGTTAATAAAAATCTTTTTGTATCAGAGAACCTACTTACCAACTTCAAACAAGGGTAAAGCGTTTACTCCACACAAAATTGCGGATAAACCACAAAGGATTTTATTAATCTTCATTTGTAGTTTCAGTATTGTTTTCCCTTCCTGAGTCTCTCTTTTGGTTCTATTGACTTGTCAAGAATAACTGAAAGAAAAAAGAAAAATATGGAAAAGTCTAAAATAGAGAAAATCGGTCACAAAGATTGGTAGGTACACTGATTGTACCCTAGCACGGTATCCTCCGGTCCGGATACCATTTTCGTTTTATAAAAATTAATCTCCGTAGGTTAGTTCTCTTATGCTTTATCCAGTCATTCTGATTGCATTTGAAGTAGATGTAGCCATGTGAGATCTTTCCTTCCCCTCTTTAAGAATGAGCATTATCTAGACTGGAATGATAAAAGATGTAGAGAATAAAGTCAAGATGTTATCAATAATTCACTAAAAAAAAAAAGAGCATATGATGCTATAAGCTTTAAGGTTAAACAAGATCTATATATCAATCTACATTCAGTTACACGGACCTTTGTATCCCTAATTAATGTCATATGAGCCACTTTACCTTTTTAAAAAAGAAAAACCTCTTTAAAGACTGGAGTAGGACAAGAGGCAAAAGAAAATGACTCAGTCACGGCGATCTGTTACGACCCAGATTACAATAACAATGAGCTGTAAGTATAAATGAGATGATGGTGCTATCGAGTGGACATCCTTTCCTTAGTTCATACCTTTCATGTCAACAAGATTGATAATTACATCCAGCATAGGCGGCGATATTTTATGATGCAGAGCTATGATGTCAAAGCTTACTATAATAGAAAAGTTCGATAGAAACTGTAAGAAATGAAGAACGTAGACATCTGCTTTCTGAAATAAGCAACCACTTGTTTCTTTTCTATTTCTTCTAAGCGCTATATCAAATTCAATTGTTCTTGTATACATCTTTATCAACGTGCTTAGGTCTCATCTGCCCCTTCTAACCTCACTTGATACTTTGATACATTCTATGACCTCCGCTTTTACCATAAAACTTTCTTATACAGTATATGTGTGCTTGAATAAAAGGGTATGTTTACTTTCTTTAGCTAAATATCTGGTTCTTTAACGAGTTTGCTGCATTGAAATGGAGTAAAGAAACTGAGGGGATAAAATGATTATACCGCGCTATTAAGTTAAATCTCAGCATGATCGTAAAAGATGAAAAGAAGCAAGAAAAAGCACGAATTGACATTTGTTACTGTGTTCTTTTATATTTAAGCAGCCTTAATAAAATGGTGATATGTGCATTATGAAGGAAACATGCTTTATAAAGAAAATACAAGATTGTCAAATGGGTCCATTGTAAAGATGAAGAAAAAAAAACTTGTTCCATTCCTATTCGTCGGGTCGTTGTACAAACTCGTTACTGTCAATGGGTTCATTTTGTGATACGTATCTTGATGTGTTACTGTCACTCCTGTCGCCTTTTTAAATAAAACAATCAGTAACCCAAACTCCAGGATTTTATAATGTTTTATTGGAAGTACCCTGATGCCATTGACTACAGCGATTAGAGAACTATGCTTCATCATTTTGGCTTATAGTAGATATACGTTGAATTGTTGAATTCAGTTACCGCTATGAAAACAAAAAAAGGAACTCGGTAACTGTCTACTGAAATATCCTGAAATTAACCTATCTACATACAGACCAATTACAGTCACTTTGTAAACTTCATTGAAATAAAGTAAGTAGAGTGGCCTGAAGCGGAAGGATACGCCTACAAGTGAATTACAGTTAAAAACTGAAACAATTAGGACGACTCAGCAAATATGTATGGTACGACCAGAACAACTTCATACTTTAAAGCTTCTTTCAAACTGCAGTTTCATCATGTATTCTAGGCTATTGAAATGAAAACAGCCTAATTTAGAGATGCTCAGTTTTAGTTATCGGTCAAGAAAATGTATTATTTCTAGAAAGTACTATCGTATTAAAAGGTTTATAATACAATTTATACACCAAAAGTTCTGAATTCTAGAAATAAATAAACTCAACAATGACTATATTTTTTCTCTATGCCCTTATTTAATGAACGAATCACTGTTGTTTATCATGTGCTCTTTAGAGAAAACAGTCAAATGCATACCAGCATCAATATCAATTCATGTAATACATAGCACATAATCAAGCATATACGATTATTTTAGGATAATACTAGGGTCACTGCAAAATCCAAAAAAAGTAATACTTCCCCAAACTGCAGAACAAAAGTTTGTCAAGGCTATTTGTGGTTTAATTCAGAAACTACTTAAGGCTGCTATACAAGAGGGTGTCAACGAGGATGAGCCCTGCTCACGGTTAATTGAGCCGTTCTTGTCTGGTCTCTTTGACCATCCTGACCAGGGACACTATTTGCGTTGGATGAATACTAGTATTCTTGAAGCTAAGAAAATTCTACCAATCCATCCGTGCAACGTCCTGATCTCTGTATAACGGAGTCTATTGGCCACAGGTAGCATCATTTGTTGTATTTCTACGTTTATATCAAAGAAGATTATGCCCTTTGACGTAATATAGTCAATATATATTTCATACACAAGCCAAGGTCACCTTAAATATTAACATAATACTTCATATTAATCTCACTACGCTGATCCATGGCATCTCTAGTCTGTAGTAGTTGATGACGCATCATATAATATAACCCACTAGATGCTGACAACATTTATTCTTGTAAAATAATACACATGTTGCATTAACTTCATCTTCTTTGTCTTAAACTAATATGTAATGTAATGAAAATAATTCGACCTTTATGTTTCTTTGATTACTTTATAATTCCAATATCATATTGATATAGTTGTATATGCATGTTTCAGTATTAAACTACATAAAATATAATCTCTTCTATGATTATCGAGATGGACAGAGCATCACGCTGATCCCCCGTAAGGCATAGAAACTCTGGTAGGTGGATCAGAAGTTGGTCTAGAACTAGTCCATCTACTAGATCAGGTCAGTACAACTGGGTGTAGAAATATTCAGCGGCGATCTGTCTGCTTGATTGACAGAGGCGTGGATCACTGCTCTCAGGATGATACAGGACAGGAATATAGCGTTGAGATTCCCGTGTTTTGATCAAATGTTTAATAAATCCGGGCGAATTCTCACTTTGTTTCAACCAAATTCTTTCTGCTTTGAGGCTCTCGATTTCAACGATTTCGTCTTGGAGGTTACCTATTTATGTTTCAATGCTCGGCAACAGCGAAGATAAAATGCTGTACTGCTTGCATTGGAGAAGTACGTGATTCCGCCTATCTTGTCGTTTTTACAACTGACATGTTTTCCAAGTATTCTGGCGAAGCAGGAAGCGTTTGACAGAGAGTTCTTTGCTACAACGTCAGTCGTAAGGAAATCATAGAGAGATAAAGTTAAATCTCAGTAAGAGAAGCCATATGAAACTGTGCTTGTGTTTAATAGGCATGGATTCCTACAAATAAACAGAATCAATCATTTCACCACTTTCAGCAATCAGACACTGCTGACACTTGCAAAGTAATACATCACATTAACAGCATAACGTGAATACCAGAAAATATGGATGAACAAGATACCGTCATTGTGATCATCTACCTCATCAGACGATGCGAGCCTGCGAAAGGCCAAAGACTGTTATGTACCTTGTGGGGTTCATGCAATGAACTATCTATAAACAAGATACTTATTAATAGATCTAGAGACGTCATGATGATGGGTACGAGAACGGATGAATCACATATAACAATATGTATTGCAATATTTAGAATATCTAGAAGCCATTGTTTCATCTGCTATGATCTATTTGAGGGCGCATAGCGTATACCCTTACCTTCTCCTGATGTCTGCGTCTAGACTTGTTCAAAATAAAGTTATTATTTTTTTCATGGGTTAGCAGGGTTTCGGAGCGTATCTATCATTTGTTATTACCATTTTTGGTGACGACGTTCTTTTGATTTATGCATAACTTGCTTCATTTCTTTATACAAGATTATTATTCCATATAATAGCAACTACTAAAAAATAATATTTATTTAGTCTTTACTTGCAAAAAGTCAAAGGAAAAAAAAAAAGGGTTTGACAGAGTAATACACATAGTGTGTGTGAGACCAAAACTAAGAAATAAGCCCAAAGACGCGTGGTATAAACAAAGCACGCATGAAAGTTATTGTCTTTTAGTCTTCTTACTATATAAAAATAGAGATGAGCAACTTCATTAAAGTATATATTCAAGTGATAATCTGAGTGGATATAAAAAGTATAAAAAAGATAGGCCAAGCTTTTAAATGTCATGAAACACTTGCGAAATAAACAAAAGTGTGAGTGTAAACCTTACCTTCTTGTAAGGAGTAAAGCCTTATTCAAATAATGATTATCGATAAGATAGAAAACAATAACTTCACACAGCTAAAAAAGAGATATAAAAAGAGAGAGATTTGCTCTCATCCCTTTTTTTCTCTCTTTTCTCTTTACCCTTTTTGTTTCCTTCTGGTGGCTCTTTTGGTGACCCTTTTGGTTGTTTTCTTTGGTCAATGTAGGTTTTTTTTTTAAAAGTTTACTCATCAAGGCGATGATTGTGTGTTCAAAGATTTCTATGCAACCTCTTTCTATGATGCTCAACATGTGTCCTGGACCGATAACGGTTATTCGTTTTATCACCCAACTGGAGACTTTCAGGCAGCCAAAAGGAGAGCTATGAACATTCGATTGGTATATTTACAGGGAGTTAGCAGTTAGTTGGCAGCTGGCTATCTGAGATCACAGCTGTGACAGATTGCTGACGACGCTTTCTGCTGTCTGACTGGAGCAAAGAGGCACATAAGCTAATTGACAATTGACAAGGCTCAGCTAATGCATATCCCAACGGTACATCTGCTACTGCAAGTCTTTGTAGGCTGCTTGGTCCCTTGTTCTGATGGTCAATGGCCGCCCTGAAGAATGTCGTCACAGCAGCAATCAGAACCTTTAGAAGTCTTTTGGCATCGTTACTATCCTTTTTTCTTCTTCTCTTTTAGGCTTTCTTTGGTTCAAAACATTGGCTTCTGAGAATAATCTTTAATAAATAAATATTTTTTTTGAAATGACTTTTACTATTGTCTTTATTTACATTGAAAATAAATGCTTTTTTCTAAGTCACTTCATGTTACTACATTAAAAATATGCACAGCATCAGAACTATATACCAATGTGCAATAGATACAGCCACAATCTTATTACGCATTGTTGATCAACTTAGCACTGAGAAGCTCACAAGAATACAAGCTACAGTGGAATTATTGAAAATGGAATTAATGAGTGCAAAAACATTTAAACACAACAGCTATTGTAAATAGATTGAGTGTAAAATTAGAATATACCAAGGCCTTTTTTATGATACAAGATGTAATACTATGAGTGAGTAGTACGATTCTATTGATTTGGTAGAAAATATCCAAAAGTTGTCAGGCAAAAAGAAATTATATTTAGATGTTATACGGCCAAAGATTCTACTTGAAAGGTAAATCCAACAACCTTACTTCCTAAAGGCAAAACAGTCAACATTTTGCTTTATTTCAAGAGCATCAAATGCTTTTATACTCCACATTGGTGCTGTCGAGTCGCCAAAGGAGAGATACAAAGAATATCCTTTCGTCGAATATGTATGTTTGATAAGAATCATTATAATATCTTATAACCATATAGTAAAGTACGTGTTCTTCTTTCTGTTACTTCTGGTATGCTGTACATGTGGGAGAAGATAACCAAGCAGAGGATCGGCCGGCTCATATAAAGGGCGAAAGAAGAGTTGAGCCCGTAGAGTACGTATTTTTTAGTTCATAGTAGGGAAGTTTGCCAAGCGTAGCATTACCTTGGCAGAAAAGCGACTGTGAGCATCATGGATTATCTGCTTGCACCTATTTTGCGTTTCTCTGAGCTGTTGCAACTGGGGAATTGGGCAGTAGGTTGTTAGCCGAGTCATATTTCATTTGTGATCGAACAGTTTGAACATAGGATCTAGAGGATAACAGCTTAGAAATCAGTAAGATTAACTCTATTCGAAGTGACGACATTCTCAACAGCAAATGATTCTGCGGGTTGGTGTTCACCAAAGCTTTAGAACCAACAATGTCACCAGGTCTGAGCGAGGCATCGAAATAAGAAAAAGAAAATTGATGAAGAGGGCCTGATTGTAAAGCTTTCAGTCAAGCTGCCCGCTTTTGGGGACCTTGCCATCAAAGCCTCGCTGAAATTCAATGATAAAATTGAGCTTTTAGTTTAAGCCAGTAAGTAATTAAAATTCTGCTACAACAAACCTTGTGAGCCAGACCGCTCTCATGGCTCTCTGTGTAGATTCGAAAAGCCGTTTATAAGAAAACAGTATTTAAAGTTTGCAGGTCCAAGTAAAAGAAGGCTTTGTTAATCTTTTTGTTTGTGCTTTATTTCATGAGAACGTAATCAATTGAAGTAACCAATTGAGACTAGGAGCATTGTATGAAGGCAATCATGCATTTGGCGCATGGGCTGTATTTTTTTTTTTTCCTTTTGAAGAACGTGCGTTAGCCAATGAGAAGCCTTAAGCGTTTATCCCAAAAAGAGAGTCAATCTGCCAATCACTTTGTGACGTCGAAGAGCTCTTTCTCTTTCTCTTTCTTTCTCTTTTTAAAGGGCTTTTTTTATTCCTTTATTACTTATATCTTGCTGAGCAAGCGTTAAAACTGAGTTGGTTATATACATGTCTTCTAACGGAAATCATAAGAAACATACACATGCCAGAGGTTAATTGTAGTCATTTTTATAAACAACTTTATATAAATCAACCACAATAGATCTTTTAACTGAAGAACAACAACACACTTTGAGAAGCAAAGTGAATAAAATAGAAAAACTTCGATCAGGTAGTTTAGTAACTGCTATTTTCTTTTTTTTTTCTGTCTGTGTGTATTTGTGTTTAGTATTATAAGCTTATCTTTGGTGTGTATTTAGAAATAGTCTCGCTATCAAAACCTCTTTTACAATCAGGGGCGAATTGGCCTAAACATGTCACAACGGGTACTTTGGCGATTTTTCAAGACGAAGAGAGTTGGAATAGCATCAATAGAATCCATAAAAGACCAAAGATAATGGGAGGTATCAAAGGATCATCATGGAGTTCGATAAAGGATACACTCAATTTAAATTCAGAAGGTAAAATGAACAATGAAAACAACAATGAAGATTGGTGTCTCACAACAGATTTATAAAAAGATGAAAGTCATTCAGAAAGTGAATTGTCAACAGATACAGTCAAGTTTAATACAGATGATATGGTAACACTAGGCTCAATGCCAATGGAAGAAGAAACGATTGTGGTGAAGTGTAGTCATTGTCAAAGGCCTGTCCTGCCAAGCAAATTTAGGAAACACGCAGGTAAAGCGATAAATAAGGATGTAGATCATGTGCAAACGGAATTTCTTTTTAGAAACATGCTTAGGTGATAGATTGATGCCTAGTGCTTTATCAAATCAAGAGTATGTGTTGAACTCATCTGATAAAAAGAGGAGGCTGCGTCCTGGTAGTATCGAAGGTAGCCTTATATATATATATTAAAATAAGCTCTTTCCCTTGATTACTCACCCCATCACAGATACAGATACAGATACAGAATCAAATGGAAAACCAATACCTGAAAAGAAAAAAAGTAAAAAACTAAGGAGAGGAAAAGGTAAATCTGGTAGTTCTATCATAGACTATATTCTTATGTTCCAACTAAAAGATTAAATAAACCATAACTAAAGCACCCTTGGACTTGGATAAGCAATGTGGAGTGATATATGGTCCAGATGGCCTTCCTTGTACAAGATCAATAAAATGTAAAACTCACTCGATGAGTGCCAAACGCGCAGTAGAAGGCAGATCTCAGCCATATAATGTGCTCTTGGCAGCATACCAAAAGAAGCCTATTATAAAGTCCATTGGTGAGAAAAATCAAAAAGAAGAATGAATGATTCCGTCTCTGTTCAAACATTAACCCCGAGTCATAGGAAATGATATTGTGCTTAATGACTCAGAACAGCTATTGAAGCATCATAAAAAACTGCAAGAAAAATCATTGTTATTTCACTCTAAGCCCTCAAAAAGCGAACCACCGGTTAGACAAGGCAAGGAAGAAGAGTTTTATATTGATTCTGACGAAGAGTTAGAAAGTGTGATGCAAGCTCTTCAATCTAGCCAACCTAGACCATTAGCAGAAAAACACTACTCTTACACTAAACGTAAACGCCAATGCATCCGGTTGAGGACTATTTTATTAGATGCCATAACACCTAAAATAGGAATAGAAAATGATGGATTTCGGCATAGTTAAAGACAAGGAAGCACAAAAAATGTTTTTAGCTTCAAAAAGTATAATTATATTGTACATACATTGCATAAATAAACTTGGATTAAAAAGTATTGAATATAACCCCGGTACCTGGATTATGGGGTAAAGAAGGAAAGGAGAAAGTGAGGGGAAGGAGTGATGTTGCACATGCCATGTGAATGCCCAGAGTAAATGTGTATTATTGATCTTCTCTCTCGAAATTTTCATTTCTAGATGGGAATTGAATTGTCACATTGACATCAAAGCCCTCTTTTTTAAGTTTAAAAGAAAAAGAAACATCGACACTCTTTCTTTCTTTCTCTCTCTCTCTCTTTTTCTTTCTTCCTTTCTTTCTTTATATTTTGCTTACCTTATTCTTAATAGCAATGATGTTTAGAGAAAGGTAAAACATGATATAAAAGGAAAAGAAAAGCGCCTAATATAAACATTAGAGATGGGATCGCAGATAAACGATATGGAAATGATAAGGACAACAATAATAGTTTACCATCTATCAATACACTATTATCTATGAACAGCGTAAGCCTATCTACATCAACTCAACCAAAATACCACAATGCCACTCCATCCACTCATACTACGCAATATGAACCTATTTCAACTCATGCCAATCAAAGCCCATTCTCTGTTCTACATCAACCTCAAAACTTACGAAATGAACCCACATCCCTGTTACCCGTCTTTGTGAAAGATAAGCAACATACGTCTCCAGTAGAAATGATTTTGACACCTTCATCCTTTTCAACACAAACCGCAGAGCATGATGTCAATGAGGTAACTATGAATACACATATTGAAGAAGGCTCAAAGTAATGTTTAAGATTATATGTCATTGCTCAATCCTTGGAAAACTTGTAAGAGAAAAATCAAGTACTGACCTCAACGATATATATACAATAAAGCCTTGGTTGGATGAGATGATCAATAAAGCAAACCAGCTATTGAATGCTTTACTTCGATTAAGAAAGCAGCAGATGGCTGCGGAGCAGATGCTAAATGCACACCAAACATCTGCTAATTTAGATGAGAGGGTACTTATTTTTAATTCGAATGACTCATTTTATATAAAAAAAAGGATCTCACATCTATCTTTTGTTAGTATGCTGTGTCTTTGAGAAAGCGTAAAAGACGGGTAATTTGAAGAAGAACCAATACAGTCTGAATGCTAAAGTTTATGCAATAGAGGTTAAGCTTTCAAGGTCAATGCCATTCATGCAATACCTCCGAAACGCCTGAGTGGAGAAGAGGTCCAAACGGTGCTCGCACATTATGCAATGCCTGTGGTCTTCGTAAGTTGGAAAGAGTATTGATAGAATTGCGCAACTACTAATAAATCGAGTAGATTATGCCAAGCTTTCAAAGAAGAACAAGCACAGCGATGACACGAGTATGAAGTGACTTGTGCGTTTGTGATGTCAAAATTAGGTTAAACTTCCCTCGGAACAATGGATAAAAAGAAGAAAAAAAAAACGTGTAAATCATTTATGCCATCGGTATCCAGGGTGTAACATCTTAGCATTGCTTCCCTCCTTCTTTTAATAAGTCTAGAAATGCCCTTTCGTTTCATTCTATCTATTTATATGCCCTGACTCTCCTTCCCTTTCTTTTTTTTGTGTACATATTTTTAACATAGCGCTTAAACTTTTATTACCACCTTTGTCATCATCAACCCTTTTTTATGTTTATTTTCTATTAAAAGCTTGTCGGTGTCTTCTTTTTTATTCCCTATTAAAAGCCATTTTGTGCCAATATCCGAAATAGCGGAGAGACGTCGCTGGTAGAACCAATGAATGTGTTTTATACTAACATCTCTAAATGCACTCGATCCCTCAAAGCAAGCTGTGAAAAGGTAAACTTGCTTTGATTTTTCTTGTTTTCCTTTTTTAGGTTCTCACTTTTTCCGTCTAAAAACTTCTTTATATCCTTTGATTACGTGGTATATATCTCTTCTTTTACGCTATCGTTTCTTTAAGATTAGCTTTAGCACAAGATCTGAAGAGCAATGTCATAAAGCTTATGTGAAATTGTAATGTTTTGATTTATAAAAATCGTGAGATACAGGATCAATCAAACGAGTGATAAAGCCAATAGAAATATGGGGAATAGAACGCCAAGTAGACATATGGACGTCCCTTGTGAGCTATCACATTTAAGTTTCGTGCGATGGAATTTATGAGCTTCTGAAACCGATGTCATACGATGTGTATCAATATATCAGTCATGCCTTTCCCTCCTCTTTTTTTTTGTTTTGCTCTGATTTGTCCATGTCCAAATAGCTACAAGCTTATATTGATGTAAGACAAAGTTAGAATAAGATATCCATTAAAATACTTTACATGAAGACAAGGCTTCCTCCTTAAACAAGCAGCCTCTTTATTCAACTAAAGGAAGAGTTAGTATTGCTTTGCTTTTATATGGGCGTGTTTACTATTTTATTAAAAGCAATATACCTTGCTTTGTTACAGGCTCTAAAACCTGACCATTATGTACACAATGCCAACAGCTCCTATTTCACTATACAGACCTGATTTATTTGCAAACCTAGCCCTCCAATATCATCAATAACTTCATTGCATGGATTCAGTAAGAGCGGTCTTTTCAACCTCTTGGTACGACAAGTGAGTATACCTTGACAGAGCACCATTTGTTCAATGCTACACAACCGATTGACAGCATCGTTATTTTCTTCGTAAAGCCCTGTACATTATGCTTTTCTGGGGCTTTGAGATGATTTCGATAGTGGAAATGGGAAAATTGGTTCGCTTTACACTTTAAAGAGCTGTGTATGCCATTTCCTGACTTCGTATTTATTCTCCTCGGTGTGCTCTTTACATATATGTATAAATGCCAGGTAGGCTCTACGCCAGCTTGGTGATGTCTTTGGCATGTGTCAAACCCTCCACCAAAAGGTACTTCTTTGAAGTTGATAGTGTGCAAGAATGTTTACGTTGGCACTGGAAAGGGGGGTAAATCATTCGCTGTTTGTGCAAGAAGAATAAGCATCTTTGTTGTACCTGTACGCACAAAACATATATGAATACCGTGTCTTACCAAATAAATGAACCAATCTCACCAAAACTTTAAAATGCTTAAAGTATCCATATAACATATTCTCAAGAGGTGTTTTGATTATTTAGTGATGCTATGCAAGAAAGTCTCGGTCAATTAGCATAATAAATAGAAATAAATACTTGGAAACAATCCAAACTCTTACTGCGCCAAAGCCAAGCTACTTTATATTTTTAAACTCGACGCTTACAGTTTCGTAAATAGGTACTGCTGTAAAGGATCAAAGGACAATGATCTTCTTTATGAATCCATCTTTTTTCGTATTTTCTTCGTATTATTGCGCGAACAGTGCCTGTGGAGCTTCATCAGAAATTGGGCTGATATCAGTGTAAAATATACTATTGGTATTCATGGCACTGGTTAGATATGATGCATGTTTTATTCGTCAAGCTTGAAGGGAGTAAACTCTATTGGCAAGATATTAGACATTATCGTAAATATGTATAGCCGACAGATTAAAACCATTAAAGTTTCTCATTAGGAAACATGTTGCTTTTCCATATTCTGTTGCTATATTAGATCACTCATCATGGATATCGTTTTGATTCTTGATTCGCGTGTCTAGTAACGATTGATGGGAAATAAAACAAGATCAGTAATTGTATCGCAGATTGGATGAAGCAGTAACTGTTTATCACGAGAAAAAAAAGCTATTGAAGCACTTCTTGATGCATGTGAAGAAAGTGGTCACAGTATCTTGACATTTCTTAATCTATCATATCATCACAATAAGATCTTCAAACATACGGAGATTTCATTATAGATTGTCTAACATTACTACGATTATAAATTGAGCCCTCCCTTGTGATGATTTACTGTGGCAAAAACTATTGCCGTGAAAGGAAAAAAAAGAAAACTATGTGATCATTGTGTCACATTATCTACAAAAATCAAATGGTATATTTTTTCACAATGCGGCTGGTACAGTCTTTTCAGAAAGTAAAGTCGCATTTTTGCAGCTTTTATAGTACAATTTATACGAAAAAGCGACAAGTCAGCGCGATATATCTTTCTGGAAATGGTCCTTATTGAAAAAATAAATGGCGCTGCCTAAAAAATGATTGGCCAGCTTTTTTTTCCGCTTTTCACCACTTTCGATACTTTTTACTTGAATTGGAAAGTACATCCGTACTATGCCAACGTCGAAGCAACTACAAGCAGAACTTTCTGCTGCCAAAGCTGAAATAGCTCGACTACAGCAGCAAAGCGTCTCTCTCCATGAGCGTCTAGCTCAGGTTTTCCTTGCCACTGAACTGCCCGCCACCAAACCTTCCGCTCCTACCCGTCCTCCTCAGTCACCATGGCAACGTCAACTCTCCCAAAAACGACCTTCCCTTCCAGACTCTGAGCTCTCTCCGCCAACTAAGATTGCAAGACCAGCTGCCACGAAACCTCTTCCAAGCCAAGCTGCTGCTGCTCGTACATTCAGTCCTCCTTCTGCAAATCAAAATTTCAAATATCTCTATGTTCCTGCCCAGCACCCTATTCCTATCAGCCAACTACGTAGCCAACTACGACGCTTGCAAATCAATAGCAGCCGTGTTCTCGATATACACTATCCAGACCACCACCTTGTTGTCCTACTTATTCATAATGACTATGAGTCTGACCTCTGTTCACAACCAAATAAGTTTACAATTACCGTTCGCAATGAATACGATCCCCTTGATCCCGCAAACTTGCGTGATACAGCGTGCTCCAAGTGGAGTTACCAAGGCAGGGTCGACTATGCCTTTGGTGCTTTTACAAATCGTCTGATTTGCGCTATTCGTCGGATTAGGGCCCCTGTTGAACGTGCTGTCGCACGCTTCTTGAGAAAGGCTTTTTTGGCACCGATGCGTTTCCTGAAATTTTCCATCACAATTGATTGTATCCTGAACCTTTTCGCCAGTACATTTTTTACCCTTGATCACAAAAGGGTGCTTTTAGTCTCCATTACTGACCTTTTGATCTCGCCCGGGTGGTCTTTTATTGCGCTCAACAGGACGTTTAATTAACCAAGATGATTGGCCGTTTGTTGGCAAATGACTGTCTTTTTGGGCAAGTCAAATTGGCGTTACTGAGAGATTATTGCCGGCTAAAAGCCTTATTTCGCTCTAACAACTAATTGTCATCACACTGCACCCGCCCGTCCAGCACTACATGTACTAGAAAATAAGCTAATACTATTCAGTTCACTCCCTCTGATATAAAATACGATGTCCTCATAACTGCACTTGATTGACCTTGGTTCTTTGTTGATCAAACTGACAACATAAAATTAGAGTAAAGAAATAGCAACATTTCTTTTTTATTTCTTCTTAAAAAGAAATAACCCAAGATGGTGTCTTTATAAAGTTATGTTTAGTGTGACACTGCAGATTGAAAAGCTTTGTTGGGCGATATCATAGGTAGTAGGTAGAGGTAGCACCCGTAGTATTGGTCTAACTTCTAGTGCATTTTCTGGTGCATGTAGTGTTTCTCTTTGCTCTTTCCAGCACGTCCATTACAATGTCATCAAATTCAGATGTTGTACTTGCTCATTCTCAAGCGACCAGTGTCTTCTATGGACAAGGCATTACCCCCAGAGAATGAATTATTGAGTGAAACTGAGCTATGTTATATAAACAATATCCCTTCTGAACCATTCTTAGTGTCGGCTGGGCGAATAAGTTTCTCGGGTCTATTACCTCGCTACACCGAGAAAACATTTCTTTTTTACTTTTTCCGGTGTCTCGGCATCATTCATAAAAGTACTCACGCACACACACACTCACACAAGAAAAAAAAGAACTAATGTTTGTAATCTCTTTTACTATAATAACCATAGAATTATTTACAAAAGCAAAGAACAAAATAAAAGAGTCTATTTTTCATTTATATATTATAACATTAAATTATATCTTCCGTTTAGTCAGATCGCTAACATCACGCTGTAAATAGGTGATATGTTTGACCCCAGCGTGTGTCGTCAGTTCTCCAAGAAGAGAGGATAAAATCCCCACAAACAAGGAGGTTGATCGTTACTGAGTCAGAAAGCTATCATCATACTTTCCATTGTCAGGAAGATTTGTCTAAAGAAACAAGAAAAAAAATTTTTTATGCCTATTTATACATTTTTGCTTTGTGCGCTCATTGAAAAAAATTTTTCATTTAGATTGTAGTCACTTTTTCAAACACAAAAAGACATTGTCACAACAGTGTAACTGACTTGTATTCAACTGTTGAAGAAGAGCGTAATGAGTCTAAGCTCGTATTGAGTATTAATTTTATTATTTGATAATGGGTAATGCATTTTTACTCATACATCTGCCGTAAAGACTCTTATTGAGAAGAGGGGAAGGCTTCATACGTCGCAGTTTCCTCCTTGCTTGTCTGGTGCTCACCGAGTTTGCAAGTGGAATTAGGCTCATCTCACGTATTTAAAGAAAAACTGTGATAATTAAAAAAGATGAAACATACCAAAAGCGTTATGGATGACAACACGTTTATGCAAGGAATGAGCCAGCAAAGTTTTATTGCGTTCTGTGTCATGGTAAGTAGTGCTAGCATAAGGTCTAGTTTTGAAATCGCAAACTTGGCTATCACCTTGAGCGTCCTGATAGCGGCTAAAGACATATACTTCAAGAAAAACTTTGTTAGAGGTTTGATATTTATGTTGATGCCCAGATATGACAATTACTCAATTAAGTCTGAAATAGATGACACTTCCCACAAGTCGAGCCGCAAGGACTCACTAGCAAACTGGACTTACTTTTACAGTGGTATGAGATATTAGTTGCAGAAGTCATTGAAGATTTGATTATTTTTTATTACAAATAACTAAGGTTGCTTAAACGCCTCTTCATGTCTATTCACTTCTTGAAAATAGGCAAGAGTAGACTCTTGTTTAGTCCACATGCCTTTATAAACACTGTCGTCTATCAATAATAGTTCTTCATGTCTGCCAAATTCTACCACTTTTCCATTTTGAAGTACATAGATTATATCTAATCAAGGGATTAGTATTCTTTGAGAGCCTAAAAGATCTTTTTATAGTTACCAGCATCAGCAATTGTTCGTAATCTGTGGGCAATATGTAAGCTTGTCATGCCTGTTTCTCGCAAAATACTTCTAAAATTAGCCAATAAAGATTGTTCAGTATGTGTATCTAAAGCAGAAGTTGCTTCATCAAGGAATAAAATATGTGGCTTCTTCAAAATGGTTCTTGCTAGTGATATTCTCTGTTTTTCTCCTCCAGACAGCATCAGTCCTCGCTCGCCCACCTTGGACTCATATTTATCAGGCAATTCCATGATTGTGTCATGAATACGAGCACGCTTGGCCGCATCATACACCTCTTCTTCTGTAGCATCAATTCTTCCATAGTTTATGTTATAATAGATCGTATTGTTAAATAAGGTTGTGTCTTGAGGAACGACGCCAATCGCCTTACGTAAACTATCCATGGTAACACTTTTAATGTTTTGTCCGTCCACATAAATATTGCCTGATTGTGGTTCATAAAAGCGGAACAGGAGTCTTAATATTGTTGACTTGCCGCATCCACTAGGTCCTACAAAGGCTGCCTTTGAACCAGCAGGAATAGTGAATGAAACACCGTTCAGAATAGGTCGATCGGGATGATAACCAAAGACGACGTTTTCAAACTTGATCTCCCCGCCCTTAAATACAAATTCTTTAGCATCTGGTGCGTCAACAACCAAAGGTGTCCTGTTTTCTAAGTTGAACAATGTATCCATATCAATAAGTGACTGTCGAAGTTCTCTATAGACAGAACCTAAAAAGTTCAAAGGCATAGAGAGTTGAAATACCAATTGATTGACCATGACAACATCGCCCACTGTCATCGTTCCATGAATAACACCATGTGCAGACAAAAACATCATGATAGTAAGAGCTGTACTGAAAATCGCATTCTGCCCAGCGTTCAAGAGAGCCAAGCTTGATGCAACTTTGAGAGAGGCCGTTTCGTACTTTTGAAGTGGTTTATCATATTGATCAGCTTCGAACTTTTCATTGTTGAAATACTAATTGGAGCATGTTCCTTTTAGATAAAATAATTCATGGCTTATTTTAGTGTTCTTTATACCTTGACAGCTTCAAAATTGATAAGAGAATCCACAGCTTTTGATGCGGCTACGTTATCAGCAGCATTTGCTTCCTTTCTAAACTTTGTTCTCCAAGCTGTCGTTGTTACCGTAAATGCGGTATAGGCGAGGATGGTGCTGAAAGTGACGAGAGCGAAAGGTGTGCCAAATTTATATGCCTATAATCATATATAGCTGATTATGATTACTCAAATCTTGCACTCTATCTCATTAAACTTACCAGAATACCACAAACCATACTGATTTCAAGTGCAGTAGGTAGTACGTGAAATACCATAGAGCTTACCATAAAGCTTATTCCCCTAGATTTTTTGTGTTATGTCGCTTATTCATGGATGAACAATAAAACTTACTTTGTGCCACGGTCGATCGCCCGATTGAGCCCGCCTGTTTGACGAGTCAAATGGAAGCCCAAGTCGAGTTTGTGAAGATGAGAAAATACATTAAGAGCAACCCGACGTATAGCCTTTTGGGCCACAGCAGCAAAGACAGCATTACGCAGTTCCTGGAAAGCACTTGCGCCTAATCTAGCAAGACCATCTGTATAAAGAAATCAAAGCTTACACTTTAGCAAAAAATAAAGTATGCATCAAACGATTAAAACTCTTTACATCCGATAATGGCTGCTCCACACACTGTCCATAAAGTAGCATCATCAGGTATTGTCACGTTTAATGAATCTACAACGTTTTTGAAGAAAAAGGGTACTTGTACATTTAAAAGCTAACATGAGAATAGTCAATAAATTGTCATTGATTTTACTTGTATACTTACTTTGCCTCCAATCAGTAAAGATAGTGCAATGACCACACGCGTCTTGACTCCAATATCGTTTTTCGGCCAAATATACTTCATCAATTGCTTTATGATAGCCCAATCAGTTGCATTTCTATCTTTTATATCCGATGCTGCGTCCTTGAGCTGCTTTGCCTTTACTGCAGCTGTTTCTGTTGCAGTTTTCTCTGTAGGTTTGGACGTAAATACTCGTTTGGGAATGTATGATGTGATCGAATTTGACAATCCACTATTTCCATTGTTGCTTGTATATAACTCTGGTTTGTTAACTATGTGCCTATTCGTGCGTAGGCATCTGCTTAAGATAGGTGAATGATTTATACTAGTCGGTAGTCTTTTTATCCGTGAGCAGCCAAGGCTATTCCGAAAAGCCGCCCTTGAGCATTGTGCGCTTAGCCTTAGAGGTAGCATTTCATGTGCTTTCTACGTAAAAAGTGGTATTGAGCTCACTCGCGATCTAGTTCTCTATGACAAAAGAAAGAAGAGAGATATCGCAATTTAAGAAGTACTGCTTTTTTGTAATCCTTGCCTCAATATTAAATCGCCGACCAAATAAACACCTTAAGTCCCCCTTGTTCTAAAGACAGTAACGGGAGATAAACACTGAGCATCTTCCGTAAAAAAATCTTATATTGTTCTTGTATTTCTGATTATGCAAATAAAGCTTTTCTAGTCATTTATTTTCTATTATCACGTGTACAAAACTAAAATCTAAGAACTAATATCATCTTTGGTAGCCCCTTAAGCTTTTATGTAATATAACTCATTCCACCATACTTTTATTTACTAATCATGTCTCTTTCCTTATAAAATCTTGATAATTAAGAAAAAACCAATAGATGCCTTCAATTTTATTAAAGAAGCAATTAGTTTGCTTTTAGCTTTTTGTCTAATGCCATCCTTGGGACGGATACCGTGTTGAAAGCCATGCGATACAGCACAAAGGCAAAACGATAGATGCCATAGGCAAATGCGATCACGGAAACCAATACAAACGAATATATATCCAAGTTGTATGCTTTGAAGAACAAAAATCTCGACAAATATCTCTCCTATGCTCCAACTTTCCATTCACGTGTGTAAAGATGACTTCTACAAGATCAGCTCCGCACTGCTTACAGTGAGCGTTTCTGATCTGAACCAGGGCCTTGAATCGACCAATATTATGCCTGTATTTGCCTGCGGTATCATCGATAATCTCTTTGATTAAATCAGTTGCCTGATCTTGACTCAGCGTTCGCTTGAACCATCGCCCAGTACCATGCTCTTCAGCGCTTATGGCTGTAGCAGGTTGATCACTGAAGTAGGGAAATACAGCAATAGGCACAGCAGCATGCATCGATTCGTATAGGGTGCCAGCGCCACCATGTGTGAGGAACAGGCAAGTGGAGGGATGATGAAGAATGGCGACTTGAGGTGCCCAGTTGACAAAGGCAATATTAGAGTTATCAGCAGGGTTCGTGAAAAAGCTGTTGATATCGTAGGTTGTATTGGTTCTAGTGTTGATTATATCTGGGAAGTGTTCCTGAATGCCAAGAGTAGACCAGATAATGCCATCGATATGCTTGGTTTCCATGTTTTCGAGTAAGGCTGTTAAGATGAGCTTAATTTCGCTTGGTTTAGGCACAATTAACTGACCAAACGCGACGTAAACGACCTTGCGGCGGTGGTCGAGGAAGGTCTGAAGTTTGTCGTTTAAAATTGAGTAGGTCTGAGGGACAATAGGATCTATGAGTTCAACCAAGGGACCCATAGGACGCGGAAATTCGAAGCCAAAGGCGAAATTCACCATCTTGATATTGTCTTCCTATCTCTCCAAAACCGAGAGCTTGGGTTCACTGCCAAGTGACGTCTGCTCCTGGATAAATTGTTTGACAAATAACAGAGCACCAATGTAGTAGCGCAAAGGATTGATGACCCTGTCAACAAGTCTTTCGTGAAATGGAACGCCTTTGCTTATAGGGTGATGTACATTAAAAAATCAGTGTTTATATATGGTGCAGAAACGTCTAAATAAAAGCATAAGCATAAAATAAAGGAAACACAAAGTATATGGTGGCTTACCAGGGCCCATAACCATTGTTGCTGTTATAATGCTAGGTATCTTGGCTGACTTGGTTTCAACGCAAGCCATGTTAAGGTAATCGCACATCACTACGACTATCTTCTTTTGGTCAATTGTTTTGTGAAACTTGTAGTATTCTATGTATCGTTCTTAGTAATAATGCTTAATAAGAATGACAATGTCTATGCCATCTGTGAGTTTCGCCAAAATGAGCTGTTCTTTTTCAAGAATTCCCTTTACCACTTCCTTAGAGATGAGCCTTTCAAGTAAAACGCGAGCCTCTTCTGGTTGAAATAAAGCAGGGCCATTCAGAACAAGTTCAACAGAAGGATAATTTTTAATAAACTTTGCTTGATCTTCCTATAAAATCATCAACATTCAACGCTGCTTACTTTTTACGCTTACTCTTGTATAAAAGCTAACGTAATGCCCTCTAACAGCTAGTTCTTCAAGGATCTCTAATACCCAAACAATGTGGGATGATCCACCTACGTTACAGGCAAACAGATTATTCTTTAGTTCTCGAAAGTTAGCAATCAGATCAAATATTCCTTGGGTTGATCCAATGGACAATTGGCTTGCTGCAGTAAACAAAGCAAGAGTAAGGGCAAATAACTTCATTAAACCGGACAAATGAAAACGGTAAAAAGAAGCTCAATTTTTGTTTTCTTTGCTTTTTATATTTAAAGTTATGTCGATCTTCTTACACAGCTCATGCAAGCAGGTATATATCTTGCATAAATAACAAAGCAAATAAGTACTATTGAATTGCAGCAGGCATTACTCAAAAGTAATATACACATATGACAACGAAAGGATGATTTATGCAAAAGACATCCTTTCATCCAGATAAATGAAGGAAGCAATATGAATCGCGTAATGAATTAAGATCATTAATCAGAACTCTTGGCTCATTCATCGTCGTGTCCTTAGCAATACCCAAATATTTATAAAGAAATATAAAGTTATTGAGGAAAACTAAAGATAGGCAACATAAAAAGACATTCATCACTAATCGAGAGAGATGTATTCAAAATGTTTCACCCCCTTTTTTGCGATTTTCTTGACAACTAAGTAGTATATTTCTACAAGAGTGGTAACGATAACGGAAGCAACTGGCCAATCACTTTTCAAAATATTTTTCGTGATTCCCCTTTTGGCTATTAGACGGAGTTGAAATAGCCATGTCGCGATTAAACATAATAAAAGCATCTGAACGGGTGAAGATGAGGTCCGTAGGGACTTGCTTACCCAAAGGAGGCAAAAACTGGAACTTAAAAAAAAAGTAAAAATCTCAAACTTTAAACCATCCTTTGCGCTTCAGATTGCTGAAAGAGTAAAACATTGAAGCAAGAGTGTATAGATTAACCTTTGGTTGCTCATCCAATACCTACTCTTCGAAGAAAAAGTACCAATTACTCTTATAGTGTAGCTTCTTTAAAGCCCAAACATTTGCAGTGAGCTTTGTTTGGCGACGTATGGTCTAGCTAAATATAGGCCATGATTCAAGCCAAAAATCTTACAAGTTGGACAACTCTCCGGGAAACGCGTTTTTTTTCGACCTTCGCTACGCTCCGTTAAAAAAAAAAGTGGTCAGAGAGGCAAGTCTAATAGTCTTGAAAAAAATAGGGCGTCCCTTCAGGACGCTTTCCCCATTTTTTTTTTTCTTTTTTTTTTACCTTTCGTTTTGCTTTCACTTACAGCAATGACAATCTTTACGTGTGACAATACTTTATACAATGCCCTTGATACTGAAGACCTGTATACGTTGTCCTTACCAGTCACCAGGAAGCAATTCTTGCAGTAAAGTATTGCTCCCTACAGATGACATAAAAGATATTGTAATTAGCTCTGTTGTTGGTGTTGATATTTGCAGTTCTGCATATTATAACGGACCAACAGAACAAAACGACAACAAAAGGACTGACATAACGTACTATCCTCAAGATAACACCAAGGATCTTGTACCTGTCATAGTGGAGATTCAGAAAAAGATGTCACACGAGTTTATTGCACGATTAATGCGATATTCGTTGAATGTGTTTGATTAAACAAAAATTCTTTCAATTGTTTTGGTCATCAATATTGATGGGTCCTCAAGCAAACGCTTTTGTGAGAAAAACTTTGCCAAACGCGATAATGAACCGTACCATATACTTTCCAGCTCGCTTTGGGTAAAGCAAGTTCATATATACAATGCTGATTCGATCGCATCACTAATACAAGTACCAATGCCAAAAATGATAGCGTTAGTTCACTTTCTAACACAGCAAGAAAAACACATTGTTGCCTTGGATGAATACACGGATTCAACGCTTCAAAGAATTTACAGAATAGCTTTCCAAATCTTTACCAATGAATCGAACAGCTGCTGTATTTTGGTTTGGATAGATTTAAAACAAAGTAGAAAATACGATGAGACTGTGTTGTATCTTTATTCAAAATAAAGTGAAGAGAAAAGAGATGATAGCACAATCTATAATTATATATTAAGAAGCCGAGGTATTTAAACTGTGTTGACTATATTTGATTAAGGTGTAGCAGATCTTATAGCAACATTAGGTTCAACTCTAGACATTGTATTTAAGCACTGAATAGTAGCGTGGATACTACAACAGCAAAGTAATTCGGGATATCGAGATCGAATCTTTTTGTGATACTGTTGCATCTCAATTTAAAAAAGTCATTCATAATAACAGTTTGAGCGATAAAACCTCTTGGAAACGCATTGAAAAATACGCAGAGGATGGTATCAATTTTGCAGAAAACTTTAAACGACACTGTATAGGGGAAGGATAGTCCGTCTGTGTAACACCAATTCAAATCACTGAATCCGAAGATCTTATATTTGTAAAGGAGTTCATAAAACAAAGCAAAGGCAAAATGAAATGGTCACTTTGTTATGATGAGGGAATCGATAAAGGTCTATTCGATAGATTTGCATCCTATACAACACTAAAAATGACCTTTCATCGCCGCACGCTTTGAGTTAACATTGTGAAACTAATACCCTCCTTTATTATTGTCAACCAACGTTTATCTATGAACAAAAATAAACAGCTTTAGTGAAAAATGATTGGCCAGCTGCTTTCGTTACTTCCGTTACTTTCGTTACTTCCGTTACTTTCGTTACTTCCGTTACTTTCGTTACTTCCGTTACTTTCGTTACTTCCGTTACTTTCGTTACTTTCGTTACTTTAGTGTTTGCTTTCAAAGGTATATTGAAGCGTTTATAGAAACTATTGATTGAGTGTCGGGCGATATGACGAAGAGCTTTTCTGCTAATGCTTTCGCTATCTTCAGTAACTCTAGTTTTTTAGCCCTTCAGTTAACAGTACCTTTGACAATTGATCAAAAGTTTTCAAGTTCTTCTATGTTCCTTTGTAGGAAAACGAATTGGAAAAGCTCGGTAAGTACTGTGATAAAGTCAACAAAATACCAAGATTGTAAGAATTGACTTCTTCCTCGTTTCCCTGCTCATCTATGGAATCCTATTTTATCCGTCTTTGCAAAAAAAAAAGAAAAAGAAGCTGCTATTCATTTAGTTGCTATATGAAAATAAAAGTTAAAGAAAACACAACAATTGAGTAATGTCAAAGCGAACACTGAGTCCTTACTAAAACGAATTTTGGATAGTAGAAAAGTGGAAATTGGGTTTTATAGTAACGAAGACTGGTTGAAGACCAAGGTTGGTAATCTTATTGTAAAAAGTGGGCAATTTATCCTCACACAAGTGTCCAAAATAATTCAAAAAAGTGGCCAGAGTTTTTAAACATTCGGTAAATTGAGAGTGGAAGCACTGTGCTTGGTTTAAAGGAACAGAAAGTAGAAGGCGAAAAAGAACAAACTGGGTTTAAAAACCTTGATATGTCATCAAAGGGCTAACCCTGGCGGACTTTTGAAGTAGCTGGGGGCTTCATATTCAAATCACCTAGAAAAAAAAACCACCACACCTCATTCACTCCTCCACTCTACGTACATTAAAACCTAGAGACAAAATGGCTTCTTTAGCTCGTACTTTTGCCTCTTCTCTCGTTCGCCGTAGCCACAGCACCATCCCTGCCTCTGGTTCAGCCTTAAGACATGTTTCTATTGGTTTCAGCAAAGACGATCAAAAGGATGAAGCTAAGCGATCTAATGGTAAATTGAATTTTATACAACATGCTACACACATACAGCAAAAAAGAAGAAGATTGTATTAAACATTTTTTCATACTAGCCTTCACCCAAGTACGCCACAACTCCACCACTACCATTCCTGATTTTTCCAAATATAAAAAGACAAAGCACAGCGGTGAAGCCAGCCGTAACTATGCTTACATGATGGTCGGTGCTACCGGTTTAGTTTCTGCTGCTGGTGCTCAAGCCACTGTTTCTGACTTCTTGGCCAACATGTCTGCTTCTGCTGATGTTTTGGCTTTGGCTAAGGCTGAAGTTGACTTGGCCTCTATTCCTGAAGGAAAGAATGTGACAATCAAGTGGAGAGGAAAGCCTGTTTTCATTCGTCACCGTACCGAAGCTGAAATTGCTGAAGCCAACCAAGTCAACATTACTGAATTGCGTGATCCTCAACAAGATGCCGAGCGTGTCAAGGACCCCAAATGGCTCGTCATGTTGGGTGTCTGTACCCACTTGTAAGTTAGTTTTATCTAGTAGCAATAAGTAACTGACATATTCTTCAGGGGTTGTGTCCCTATTGGTGAAGCTGGTGACTATGGAGGATGGTACTGTCCATGCCACGGTTCTCACTATGATATTTCTGGACGTATTCGTAAGGGACCTGCTCCTCTCAACCTTGAAATCCCAGGTAACATTGGCTTTTAGACGTAAAGAATGTTAAGCTAAACTGATTTTATTATAGAATATAACTTCCAAGACGGTAAACTTATCGTTGGTTAGAAAACTTCAACTCGTTATTTTTCGTTTCTTTTGTAATATTTATTTTTGTGAGAAAGGAAGAATAAAGAAAGGCAATAGAGCTTTTGTGTACACTATTCAACAGAGAAAGAGAGTACATAAAAAACCCTTGTGTAATTAGTGTCACAAGTTCACCTGGATTTTCACTTAAAAGGGTGAGCTGTCAACCTTTTTTTTCTTATAGTTATTATATTCTTTTCTCCCCCCACTCTTTCCCCATTTTGAAAATGCCCTCAGTCGACAACAACAAAAAGCCTGTTACATTAACACGCATCTATGGCACCTTGACAACCATTCAGTCCGCCTCTGCACTTGCCTTTTCTACATTTGTTTTGATGCATGGCGCGCAAGTCATATCAGCTAATGTTGGTGGTGCGCAATTAGCAAATCGTACATTACTTTTAACAAGACCAATATATCAAGATAAAGGCATAGAAACCACGCTTGTTGTTGGTTCAGCACTTGTCCATGTCGCCTCTGGACTGGCAAAGTTTAGTATCAGACTTTATTGGAAACAATTAGGCCACAACACAGCACATCCTGCGCTACTGCCTTATCATCGACTCGTTGGTCACCTTCAAATCCCAGTCGTCATCCTTCATTACTATTTGACACGTCTGTTGCCTATAGAAAGATATGGTGATTCTTCATTTATTGATTTTGGATATATCGCTTGGGGTCTTCAGAATAGACCCGTATTCACCTATGGACTACACATCACATTGATCCTTGGTAGTATGTATCATGCAGTCAGTGGTGTCAATTTTGTCTTTGAAAAATTATTTGGCAAGAAGAAAGTGGTCGTTGACAAGACTAGCAAAGTATCTCAACATAGTAAATCAGTAGAGCAACAAAGTATCAATAACAGAATCAATCGTCAACGTCTGTTGAAGAAGGGCGCCTTTGCTGCACTTAGCTTAGGTCTAGTCTCTGGATTAGTGATCATTAGTAGAGACACGACCAAGATCCCATTAAGGTTTGATTTTGAAAGCATGTATTCAAAAATCATTGGCGTTTAAAGCCTTCTTCTCTTTTATAATAAATTTACAAAGTTTATATTTATTGTTGATCATTGATGCTTTCATTTTTTTTTATAAAGCGATTGTGTATAAATGTATATAAATGTGTGTGTGTGTTTGTGTGTATTTGTGGTATGTGTCTTTTTCTTTTCTTTATTCTACCATCATCGCTTCCAAATTCAATCCTCCACCTTCTCCTTGTTCTTTAGCAAACATTTCAAAATACTGGAAAATGATGGTAACGCACAACAAGATACCAGTACCAGAACCAATAGCGCCAACCATATCAGCAATAACAGAGACAGCACCAAGACAAGCACCACCAAAGGAAGCGGCTACAGGAATAACTCTCTTCAATTCCTTGTACATTGATGTATCACGGTAACCGGCAATGACAAGTTGTTGATCCTTTAATTGGCGAGCAACGTCACGAGGAGAAGCACCAGAGATTTCAATCCATGTCTTGGAGAGAAGAGCACATGTGGTAAGCATGATACTGACATAGATAACAGTGTGGAAGGGATCCATCAAAGCAGCAGAGAAACTGCGAGGAGCAGAAAGATAATAGGCAATACCACCCACAGCATTCAATTGGGATGTACCTTCGGCAGTATCCCAGGTACCGAGGAGGCGAACCAAAAAGTTATCAGTAAAACGCTTGTAAAGCATTTGGGAAATCATGAAAACGTTGGAGGTCAAGGTAGACTGAAGCATGATGGGCATGTTGGAAGTGTAAAAGAGTTTGACAGGGTAGGATCCACGTTGACCACGAAGACGGTTGGACTTGACAGGTAATTCGACGCGGAAGCCTTGTAAGTAAATGACAAGTAAAAAGATAGCAGCAGTTGAAAGCAAACTCATCACATTTGGCATGTTTGCTCTGTAGAAAGCTTCCTTTAATGCACGTGTCTTGTCCTTGCGAGTCATTAAAAGATGGATCAAAGCGATAAGTGCACCTTCGAATTCATCACCACGTCCGCTGTCCATGGTGGTTGGTGAAAGAGCCTTCCAGAAAATAGTCTCACAAATGTTGGTAGCAATGAAAAGGTTGATACCTGAACCTAAGCCATAACCCTTTTGTAGCAACTCATCCAACAACATGGTGATAAGAGATGCGACGACAAGTTGAATAATCAAAATCAAGCAGACACCAGCACCAATATGCTTTGGATCACCGTAAAGACCGGTCAATACGGAGACAGTTGCATGACCAAAGGCGATAATCATTGCAAATACTGCAAGGAAACAATGAGCATTTTTTCACACAAAAAATAAATAGCTTAAACTTACATTTTTGAGCTCCACTGAATAATGCTCTATCTTCCTTTAAACTGTAATCAACTTCAATGATATTTGCACCAGAAAGTAGTTGCATGATCATGCCTGAGGTAATAATAGGTGTAATACCCAATTCCATAAGAGTACCACGATTAGAAGCAAGAATGACTCTCATCCAGAAGAGAGGGTCAGCAGAGTCTGAAGACATGATGCCATAAAGAGGGACTTGTGACATTACCAAGAAAATAAATAAAGTTACTGCTGTCCACATTACTTTTTGATTAAAAGGAATCTATCACACGTTTAATACTCTTTACACTTCTTATTGATGCTTTTTTTACCTTTCGATCGGGTGTTGCAATTTCAGGAAGAATAGCCATGAATGGCCTAACCAGATGTAAGACCCTGACTGATAGACGTGTTAATAATAATAATATAAGATATGTATTTAAAGTACTTACAGCCCATTCTATTATTATATAATTATTTGAAAGAAAGAGAAGAAAGAAGGGGAGGGGGGAAATGCTAAACGTGTAATTATAAAAATTATCACTGAGTTGATGAGGTTAAGCCAATCAATAAATTAAACACAAACTGCCCAATCAAATTAATACACCTTGAATTGAGTTTTAATCATTTATATGGTGCCTTCACTGTGGTATTGGTTTTATACTTACCCGAGGCGTTAAGGAATGCACAGCCGTTATAGACAGCGCATTAAATCCAGGATTACCATTAGCCTTTTGAAGGGCTTTCATTGCCATGCTTTGATTTGTAAACAAAGATATTATATATATTTAATGCACTGTTCACATCACGATACCACACCGTACCACAAGATTCACACTTGAGGATAGTTTGTACTCTTCGCTTTAATCCAGCAATAGAAATATTATTCAATTATTTGGGTTTACGCTTGTTAAATAATCCGTCAACATAAACAAGCTCGGTTTCCCTGTTAGGTTCCTTGCATTTTCGTTTGATTTCTTCAGTGATACGTCTTGTATCTTGGAATGAAAAGCTCCTTCTGCTTTAGACACATTGCACACCTTATTGTCGTCCATCTTTATTGAAAAACTGACAATCAAAGTAGCTATCTTTATAAAGTGATAGATAAGGATACTGAAATAGCACAAAATGGCCGCGGATCAACATCTAAACGCCAGGAACAGTGATTGAAGAAGTAACAGTAACGAGAGAAAGGGAGGAATACAAACTCTAATGCCACCCATATGCTCCATAAGGAAATAGCAGTACATAATACACATATATGCAGCATGCGTTTGGTCGATGAGTTGAAGATGATGCACAAAATAATGTCCTTGACGAATATTATCATTTATATTGTTGCTTCTCAAGGTAAGGACGATATCACGGAAGCTTCTATCGCTATACTCAATAGGAATAGTCACGGTAACTTCTTCCATTGTTGACAAATGTGAGTACGTCTACCGCCTTTTTCAAATAGCCTCATTCTCATAAAAAGATTGACGATAATGTACGATGAGCCGCTTTCGGTAGAGTCATCGTTGCTAGATCTATCCTCGCTGCTAGTGCTGGAGCTCTCATAGTTGCTCAATGCCTCATACGTATGATGGTAAATACGTACAATGGGCAAGCAGGACTGAAAGGCTCCTTATAATCTCGTGGTACAAACTTTCAATCCATTCTGATCGTCTCTGAGTAGCATATGAAGGACATAAATGTGCAATTGAGTATATGAAGATGTGTTCTCTCAACTGGAAGTAGAGGTCCTTAATAACGGCAAAGGGTACCGTGAATCTGAAATGCGTCTAGTCCATCTCTGCTGTTGGGGCTGCTGGTGCGTTCCTCATGGGACGCAATATCACAGCACAAGGAAGTAAACGCAAAGGTAGCGTTGTATTGGCGAAGACTGTTCTTGAATTACTTTCCTTAGATACGATGGCGCGAATCTGTTGGTAATGCTGCAACGCAGGAGGAACATGTGGTTGTTCTAGAAATATTATTTTCCATTGTTCTAATGAGCGACAATGTTAGCAGACACATTCGAATCAAAAGAAAGATCACAAACCAAATTCTTTTAAAAGGTTAAAAAGCAATAAGAGAAAAAGAGAGAAGCGTTCAATGCGATGAGAAAGGAAAGAAAGCTCATGTACTTTCAAGAATAAACACTTGTATGTACTCATCTGATCTGATAAAATGAAGATAAAAAAATAATCCGTGCTAGCTGGAAGTAGGTTGATTCTTACATCAACTTGATCCCATCCGCTCTCTTTCTTGCTCTTCTCTTCCTCCAGTTCAGTTATCGCTGGCCCTACTCAAGATACACTTTTGGTAAGATGCTAATGCTCTCTTTTATTTATTACGTCTAATATATATTACAACATCCCTACTCTTTTTCCAAATAGAATACAGCCAGCACAGTAAAGTGCCATTCCACCCAAGATCCAAAAGAAGTATATGAGATCCCCATAATCTTTACCAGGCACCTTTACATTCATTCCCCATAAACCACTTATGAGGGATAAAGGGACAAAGACAGTAGTCAGGAACGTCAATCTGTTCATCACATTATTGGTCAAATTATACGTTTGAGTCAATTCCAAATTTACTTGAGCCAAATAATTTGTATGAGCTCTATGAAGAATGCGATCATAATGAGTGATATTTTGAAGCATTGTGACAATATGATCTATAATAGTATAAGTCATGGCTTCTTTCTCTTTTAAAGCTCTTTACCTTGAATATCTCCCAAGTATAGCAATACATCATTAAAAGCCTTCTTTTCTTCAACTAGATTATTGATTGTACCCGGTAATGGTATAACTATAGCTGGTGGATTCGCAGAATCATCTGTTGCTTGCTTTTGTTGTGGTATATACTTTGTAGCATGTTGTTGTTCAAGTAATAAAAATTCTCGAGATTTATCCTCGTACCTTTTCATTAGGCTTTTGATAAAATCAAGCTTGGAAGTAAGCAATCTAGACAGTTGCGTTGATCGTTTTCTACATCGACTAATACGTCTCAACATATCTGCTTGTTCTGATTTCTTTAGCATCAAGGATAGTTCATCAATTGATACTGCTTCCATCTCTACTTGAAGGATAATCGGGGCAAAACTGTCAGTGACTGCGTCAACAAGTGCATAGTTTAGCCAATCTGGTGTGATCGACATGTATTCTCTCAGTTGATCTGATCTTTTTATCACTGTGTCATAATGGCCACTTTCTCTATAATGAAACTAATTGAACAGTGTTATCAGTTTAAATATCATGCCAGAGAATCAAATCCTTACAGTAAGCAAGCCCTCTTTAAATATAAGAGAATAAAAGTTATAAGGTATGATCTTCTCTGTTTCCGCATCTATATCAAACGCTCTGAAGCAAACCAGTGTATAGTTTGGAAAAAGTTCAACCTTTTCACGAGGCTCTTGTGCTTGAATATCTTCGGCTGTTAAAGGATGAATGTGGAACGTCTATAATTAAATATAAATTAATATACGCCCATATACATATCTTCTGCACACACACACCTTGCTAATGATAGTCATTTCTTCTGTTGTCGGACATAAAACATCCAGCCACCAACCTTTGGTGTTTACAACTAATCGTAAGGCATTTTGACCTTCTTCTGATAATAATTGATCTAAATTTGTCGATGTATGGGTATCCTTCTTGGAGGAATATATCTTAAATCTTGTTCCTGAGGGTGGAATATGAATATCTGTATATCTTGATGGTCCATAGAGCTGATTCTGTTTACTAAGAGTCCTCGATAGCTGTAAAGTTCCACTGGATAACTTTCTATTATGTTGTTGAACCATGCGATTGAATGCTTCTATATCAACATTATCATCTTTACTGGCCCTGTATTGAGGATATAAGACGTCTGATTCCACGTTTTCTTCTTCATCCTCATTAACAATAGATGACGCTTTACTCAAGAAACTTGGACAGGTGCTTTGTCTACGAACATCTATATGACTCGATAGATAATGTGGGTGTTCTTTCTTTGATGATCCTGTGGTTCTTCTTCTTAGGCTCGACATTGTACACACAGATTACATTGAAAAACAAAAAGAAATAAAAAAAATGAAATCAAAAAATTGGTATCACTGTGACTTTTATTAAGGGCAAAACGGAAAGAGTAAACATTTGTTTTTTTTGTACATTCATTATGCTTGATGAAGTAAAGCAATATGTATAAAAATGGAGCATACAATAACCATATCTTGTAGACGCCGACAAAGAGAAAAAGAGTTACGACAGACATATTAGAGTATTCTACTTCTTTGAATTCATTATCAACTTCGGATCTTGCAAATGGTTGGTTACAACAAATATTGACAGCATTGGACATTTATTAATTATATATAGGCAAGCTCATAAGCCAAGATATTGAAAAGTTAAAACATGAAAATTTCACACTTCGCACCAAGTTGGAAAACTTGAAAAGTGTACATGAACTGGACATTCAAAATAAGGGAGCCTTGATTAAGCAATTGACAGAAAAGAAAGCAGTATGTTGAAAAGAAAAAGAAAACAGTTTATAACCTTTTGAATTTAGGATGCAGAAGCAAGGGCTATGTATCATTTAAAGAAGAGTCAAGAAGCTAATGAATTGTTATTTACAGCAACAAAAGATCATGAAGAAGAGAGAGTAAATAGATAAACAAAAAGAATGACCTCAGCTAATCATTTAATAGAACAAGCTGAAAGACGAAATTGATCTGCTGAAAGCAAAACTATCGGAACTAACAGCATCAAAGCGAGCAATAGAACGTGAAAATGAACGACTAGTGGCAGAAAAAGAGCTTGACAAAAGCCAGAGTGATAACACGATCAATAGTCTCACGTCAAGTGTCAATTCATTAAAGAATATGGTATTTATATATAAATATATTGGTTGTTGCTTACTAACTTGTATATAGCTTAAAGAAAGATCAGATACAATACAACAAATGTCTGAAAAGATGACGACACTCACATCCACTATCAGTGAACTGAATCAAAAGGTAGAAGATGCGTCTAAATATCCTGGCGATCCTAAAGAATATAAAAAGCTGGAAGAACAGTATTTGCGTAAGTTATTTGCCTTTTTTGTCAGTCAGCATCCAACTAATAACTTGGCCAACAGGCGTCTGTGAGCAAAATCAGGAACTTGTATCTGAAACCAAAAAGATGACAAATAAATTGTCATACTATGAAGACATTGTGAACGAACTGGCCAAATTCAAAGACGATAACATGACAATAAAGGAAAGCCTCGAAGAAATAAGCAAGATACGCAAAGAAAATGCGCGCTTGACTCTTGAAATAGCCAAGCACAAAGCAGAGAGAGAAGAATGGACTTGTTACTTGGATACTCATCCCGAATTGGGAAAACGACCACCACAAAGTGTTATCAGAGAGCTAATGCAAAAGGTTTTAGAAGATAAATACTTGCGACAAGAAAACGAAGCACTTCAGCAGAGGATTAGTGATACAGTCAAGCTCACTTTTGAATTGGAAAATCATGTATGATATTTAAACAAAAAGAAAAGGATAATATCTAATGATATTTGTATTAGATTGATGAATTAAAAAAGAAAGTATTAGAGTACAAAACACAGTATCAGCTCGTACTCGTTGCAAAGGACACTATAGCCAGAGACAAAGAAACCCTTCATTTACATATCAAGTTATTACAAGATCAATTGAAGATGTATGATCAAGAAGAAAAGACATACATGACCGCCACCTATGATGAAAAGAAGTCTGCAAGAATTGAAGAATTAGAAGTGTTATTAAAACAGATGCAGGAAAGAATTGAGGAACAAAGCTTGGAACTTGCCAATACAAAGTTAAATACTTCTCCAAACATCGAAGTTCCAAAGGGCCCTTCAGATGAAGTAAGCTCTGGTGCGTCCATTAAAGAGATGTTGGCCAATATAGTGGAAAATAGTAAAACCCACTTTGAAAGTAAGATTCCTCTCTTGTTGTAAATAGGCAATCTCACCATAAAATAGGTATTTCGAAACTTATCGTGGAAAATGATATACTCATAAAGAAAGTACAAGGTGCAGATAAAAGATGTGAAATACTAGGTGAAGCCATGAGTCAACAGCAGAATATGGGAGCGAAAGATAAGCCAGATACCCCTTCAGGCCAGCGTATTCTCCAACTCACCGACAATCCAGATAATATAATCCGAGCTGTTCGAAGTGATATCTTGAAACGATTACAGGAAGAAAATCGTTTGTTCATGGAAGAAAAGTTAAATGCTACTACAGACAGCACTGATTATATTCCTGTGCCCAAAACTAGTATTCTTAACTTTCGAAAGGAGATTGAGAGCAAGGATAAGCGCATAAGTAGACTGTTGACTGTCTGGGAGAATAAATTGCGCTCATTGCACGAGACAATACAGGGTTTATTGGGTTATAAGGTCACACTTCGAAACGATGGCATAGCAAGTCTAGAAAGCAGTTTTGTGGATAAAGAGCATCTCATGTTCCTTGTGAATATTAATCCTGATACGGATGAAGCAAGGATAAGAATCACTGGCTCTGATAAGGACTATTATATGGATACGCTACTTCAAGATGCGTATCATACGTATATCGAGCAAGGCAAGAGTATACCAGCGTTTTTAAATGCTGCTAATCAAGAACTGTACGTTCAATATAAACAAAAACAAGAAGAAAACGATTCAGATCAACGAACCGTAATGGAAGATGATGAAATGTATTATGAGGATATGGAATAAATAAAAGATCTATTTATTACTTTACCAACCACCTGGGGCTGTAGAGTTATGAAAGATATATCTATTCCCTTCTCCATTTCCATTATACTGTTCTCTTTTCAGCTCTAGTTGTAAGAAATGCCCATCCTTTATCATACAACAACCACGGCACTGGTTCACATCGATCATGATGACGCCAGGTAACTTTTTTTCTCTTCCTAAAAAGATGGTACTAGTCTGTCCCTTTGAAATCTTTCGATTGATGAGTTTCTGATTTGCGATGCTAAAGGATTCAAAGTGGAACTGTGCTGGCATCTGTGCGGTTCCTTCTTGATTTTGTGGCGGCAATATCCTCCAGCACCAAAAGGTACCGAGCTTTTCATACTCTTGAGCCTTTTTGAGTTCTTTCTTGCTATTAGATCTCGTTAGAGCTTGTGCTGGAGTTGTAAATCCTCCTGGATGAACAAAAGGCATGGGATCATCTCCTGAAAATGGTCTGAAGGATGGCTCCTTACGTCCTGTGCCATTGCCAAAGAGACCACTAATGAACGACAAGCCTCTCCGAAGCATTGGTTCGGGGACGACAGGAGGCTGCATACTTCTTGGTTCTGGTGCAGGTGGTACGATCGTAGATTCTGGTTTGGCTTGAAGTACCTCTTCTTCATTCTTTACTTCTTGGTTTGGTTGACTTGATGGCGGTGACGGACCTTGGCCTAAACCAGGATCGCCCGTGACCGGGAACGGAAACTCTGCAGCACCGGGCCAGGTATCATGTCCTGGTGATAAAAAATTCCATAGTGGAGGAGGAGGGCCTTGCATGACAGGATTAAACATTGGTAAGCCCATCATGGGCATAGGAGGGTGATGTGCAAAGTTACCGTTCGAAGGAGAGCCTGGAAAGCCTGGGCCCAAAGGTGGCCAAGGCATTGGGCGTGGCATCCTACTGTGTTGGTCACCAGGTGTCATTGGACTAGGATTTCTTTCTTGTGGAGGCGGATGTGTATCGTAAAAGTCTCCAGGTTTGGGCGCCATGGCAGCAGCAGCGGCGGCGGCAGCGGCGGCGGCGTTATACATTGGGTTGTTTTGATCCATTGCCGGATGTGGCATAGGTTGAGGAAAGATCATGGAAGGATGAGGTGGTAATGGTGGAGGAGGTGGTAGTGGCATGTTTTGATTATTTGAAGGAAATCCTTGAAATGACAGACTTCTACCCATCTTTGGCCTTGGCGGTGGTGCCATAGTATCGCTCCCGCGACGTGAAAGACTGGGACGTCTTCTGCTGGGAACATTTGGGATATCATCCTCTTCTTCATCAGATGACTCTAGAGGACTAGTTGGAACACTGTGAACAGACTGATGCAGGTATCCAGGCGAATTGTATGGACGTAATCCAGGAGAATGTATGAAGCGATTTGGAGGAGGAAGAGGTGGCATTGATGATACAGAATTTGCTCTTCTGCGTCCGTAAGGGCCCCTTGATGATGTGCTTGCGGTACTATTTTGCCTTGATAGGCTAGGTCGTCTTTGTTGCTGTTGTTGTTGTTCGTCTTCATCCGAGCTATCCTCGTCATGAGGTAAAAGCAGTTCTTGTTGCAATCGAACAGGTCTCTGTTGATTGGGCCAATTTCGACTGCGTAACCTTGCTGATGCTGGCCTATGCAGAAAGGGTAAATCCAGATACCGCAAGTGTTGTGATCTTCTACTGCGTGGGATATCATCCATCATGGGATACCATGAATGAGGATGTCTTTCTCTGCTTGGTGGAGGAGGGGGTGGTGGTACAAGATGATGGGGATATTGATAATCTTCGTCAGCCATGAATCGAGATGATCGATGAGGTATAAAGTATTCAGGGCCATGTGGTCCATTGTGAGGGTCAAGGTCTTCCAGGCGAATATCGCGCATGGTTCTTTGTAGCTCTTCATCATCTTCATCGCCGTCATCGTCTTCACTTGAAGAATACTGCTCATAAATAGGATATCGTCTTATCGGTCGAAAGGGTTTATTTACAGGACGATTTTTCGCAAAAGTTGCTCTTTTTTGTTGAGCAGGAGAAGGACTTTGATTATATGGTTCGTCATCAGAATAATAATCCTCTACTCTCGTCCTTCTAGTGAATCTGCTATTTTGGGCAGACATTTAGAAAAGAATAAAGAATAAAAAGAATAAATAAAAAAGTAGATTGTTATTGTTTTTACACAAGTTTCGTTTGCATAAGCGGTAGTAATTACCATAATTAGATAAGCCATTCAAAAAGATAGTGCGTTCTGTGTATTACTTAATCGTTATTTTATTTTTTGTTTTCGCAATGAAGTTAGAATGAAGTAAGCCCCTCTCTTTTGCTTATAATTGTATATATGAGTTCACCGGTAGAATGTTGTCATGTCTCTTTTGTAAGGCATATCAACATGGAACTACTTTATCAGAGCATAGTGAAGAGTTATTCTTAATATGTACATCAAGGAACACATAAAGACACATACCCAAAGAAAGAAAAGGAGAGGAACATGAAAAGGGTATGTTTGGATACAGGAAACGGCTCATCTGTTAAAGTTGATCAGGACAAAAGGCTTGAGCCATTCAAATAGAAACACCGACAAAAAGTGCCTATAAGCCACTTTTTGCCAGGTTTTTTTTTCCTCTTCGCCGCTATCAGCTCTGTTTCTTTTTTTGTTATAGAATAAGACACCATGTCTACTGCTAGTAATATCTTTGTACAGGGCAGTGTTGAAGCACAGGTATATAATTTGAAGACATGCTTCCTCCTCTACTTGAGGCCTTTTTATATTTCCAATATACAGCATTCAACCATATGTATGTGTGTGCACCTTAGTTCAACAACATCAGCATTAAATAGAAAGCTTAAAGAGAATGGACACACATGCGGGGAAAAAAAAGAGAGAGAGGAAGCAGGTCAATGTGTTTGACATTTGGATTACTAATTAATTTGTCTTTAGATTACCGATTTAGCTCTTTATATTTCCAAATTAAAGGGTGAAGAAGGGGAGAATGAAGCACCTTATGTTCAACATATCAAGGCTATTTTAGCCTCTGACAAAAAGGATACTGTATTCACCGAGATTGCTAAAGAAGCTTCTATATTTTTAACTGAAAATGACAGAGGTGAGATATTTGATATTTATCGAACAAGTACTCATTACTGTGACAGATGTCGAAGGTGCCTTCAACTTACTCTTAGTCATCATCTTGGGTTCAGCTCAAGGACAATTGTCTACAGCAGTTCAAACATTAGTTGATACTTTAACAAAGACAGAGAGCAACAAGACTGGCTTAAAGCAAAAAATGTAAGAAAGACAACATAGTGGAATATAGAGAATGCTTATCGTTATTAGCTTACTCAACTTATACAATGCTCTTCCTGGCAACTCACCTCTTCGTTACCATGCCTTCGTTGGCCTTGTCGAAGTAACTGCCCAGGCTGACGAATTAGACTCACTTTATGATCAATTAGAATATATTGATGCTTGGTCTACCAAGTGGGGCCTTGATCAATCCACTCAGCGTGAATTGTATAGTTATCTTTTTGAAGTCTTGACAAAAGCTGGTGAAGAGTAAATACGCAATATATTTAAAAAAGAAAAGAGAATGTCTAATACATTATTTATAGCAAATTAGCCTTCAACTTTTTGTTAAAGAAACTCACAACCTTTGCCGAAAACGACAAGGAATCTACTGTTTTAGCCAAAGATATCGTTTTGCGTGCTGTTTCCATGGAAAATTACTATGCCTTTGAAGATCTTCTTCAGTACAAAGCTATCCAGAATTTGAAGGGCACAGAAGAATATGAGCTTCTTGATGTCTTTTTAAATGGCACACTTGCTTCTTATCAAAGCTTTGCATCCAGTCACAGCAATTTGATTCAACACTCTGAAAACAACATTCACAAGATGCGTTTACTATCTCTTGCCTCTCTTGGATCAGAAAACCTTTCACGCGAATTGAAATACGCTGATATTGCCAATAGTCTTCAAATCCCTGAAGAAGAAGTCGAAATGTGGGTGATTGATGTTATTCGAGCAGGATTAGTTGAAGCCAAGCTGGATCAATTGAACAAGACAGTGATTGTTCACAGAAGTATCTATCGAGTCTTTGGACCAGAGCAATGGAAGAAATTGAGCACAACTTTAAGTACTTGGAAAGAAAACTTGAATGAAATCCTGACTGTCGTCGGTAATGCTAAATTGATTGCTGGTGGAGCGTTACAAGGAGGAGCAGCTTCTGCTATCATTGTAGAAGGTGATGCCAAGGTTACCAATTAAACAAAAAGTTTATTAATTAAAAAAGGAAAAGAAGCGTCTTGATGTGTGTATGTTTGTATTTACAAAAAAGAAAGAATTGTTTTATACATGGGAATCCTTCCTTTTCTTCATTTTCTTTGTCAGTGGTTGAGTCAATTGACTTTGTTTACGTCTTTGTCTCATTAATCTTGCAGAACAATCTGGACAGTACCATGCTCCCTTGGGTGGTTCCTCTAGACCGACACATTCCATATGGAACCATTCATAAGGACAATTCTAGATACATGTTAAAACATATATGCATTTATATAACAATAACTTACTGCTCCGTCACAGGCTACCATATCACCATAAGACACTTGTTGGCAAAAGCAATATGGCCTGTCATCATTATCTGCATCACCATTATCTCTTCTCATTCTCTTTTGATTTATTGGTAATCTATATTCTGTCTCTTCCTCTGACTCATTCTCCTCATCGACGTCATCCTCTAGTTGATTATCTGAATCCATATCTAAATCCATTACCATGGAATCTATAAATAATATGAATAAAAATATAGTCTATGTATAATCACAACAATACCTTGTCTTCCGTGTGGTATTGTGTAACTGTGTATGGGTTGAGATAGTGGCATTGCATCTGGATGATCACGATCATGTTTTTCAAGATCCTGTTTTAGTTTATTTAAATGGCGATCTACCTGTTTGTGGATGAGTTGATTGATATACAAGGAGTGTAAATAAGATAATTACAAGTTTAAGGGCTTCCTCAGCCAAAGAGACTCTTTCATTTGCTAAATCTTCAAGTTTATTGTAATCATTTCTCACACGTTGAATCAGTTCAGGTTGTTCTTTTAGTATTTTCTCTCTCTTTTCAATCTCTTGAGTGAACCATTGTTTATGGATCTTGGCTAAATCATGCTGGGCACTCTTTATCCGCTTCTCAGGTGCTTCAATAAGAGAGATTATTAGTCTTTTTATTAGTCGCTATCAATTTGATAAAACCTCTTGCTTGATCGTATCTATTTCTTATTTCTGCCCAGTGATATTGTATTTCACTCGGGAGGTTTTCCATACCTAACACAAAATTGTTATTAGTCATTCTTTTAATGCTTATACTATTTTACTTGAAATAAACTCTTGCAAGTATCGACCAGAGTCTTCATGAATGTCAATTGGTTCGTCCATAAAATATATTTTTACTTGTTAAAGTGCGTTAAAGTGAACTTGAGTTTTATCAACACTTTTAAAGATAGTCACTCTTGACTTTTTTTATTATCTTTTTTATGGGCAAGTTTTTGAAGGCTACATAGATTGACGTTTTAAAATAAGAGTTCTTTAAAAAGGACAAACATAGACCAGATGGATAACGTATGTCATTGATTGGCAGTTGCAGCAGATGATTTTTATAGTATGTATGTTCATGTCTGTACACCCATAACCAAAAAAGTCATGATGTACATTCATCAACTAATTATTGATGCTTTATTTTTAATAAACCAAATCTTTTGGTAATAACAACATCTTTCAAGCCCAAGACATTAATGTCTACACTTGAACCAATGTCTATCGTCTTTAAGAACTGGCCTGATTCAATATCCATTATGATTAATTGACCCGTATTAGTTAACAGATATAAAGATGTCTGTAATATGTTGTATGCTGTATATTCTACTTTTCTATCCAATCTATGTACACATAATACACTTGCATTGCTGTCGTATGGCAATATATTGTCTAGCACAATTCGTCTTAATCCTTCTGTATGCTTATGATTCCACCAACTGTAGAGATAGGGCATATCCTGTTGCTCATCCACTTGCTCATATTGATCACGTCTAAATGGATCCCAATCTACTTTTAATAGATGTGATATATCCAATAGCCTGATCTCAAATGAATTATCTTGCTGAATATCACCCACAGCTACCAGCCGTAGACCATACATTGATAAATCTTGACAATGGTCAGCTTGAGGCAGAACAACCCAAGTGGACTCGAACCCCCAAGGTTGAGCATGATTAGCCCAGGGCACTGATCCTACTTTGACACCAAATCGCCAATCGTATATATTGAGTTCATTCGAATCAAAGTGTCCGGTACAGACGAGATGATTGAGTTGTGAATAATGTCGAAAATGAATCATACAGCTCACTCGTACTCCTAAGCGCACCGTGTATAGTAATACTGCTGTATTTGTTTGAGTTGTCATTGTCATTGATGATGAAAACAAGGGATCTTGAATGGGTTCATCCAAGTTGAACTGTATAATATGTCCATAGCCAACATTGAGACGCAAGCTAGGACCAAATGCAAGCATATATATATTGTCTGAGTGATGTGGTTTATTTAAAACATCTAACCACTTGTCCACTTGAATATTGGTATCAGACGCTGAAAAAAAGAATATGTCTCTTCCCATGAATTGATATTCGTCAAGATTATCTACGTTTGCTAGACATTCGATATGACCATTATCATGGAGTGTATAAATGATGACAGATTGCCATATATTCAATCTATCGATATCATCGTCATCTTCTTCAAATACAGCTGATCTACTAATTACCACACAAAATAATCTCACGCTCTGTTGCTTGTAGCGTATAGTCTGCATGCCCATGAGTTGATAGGATAATAAATTGTGATGTTGATGATGATGCTGTATCTTGTACTCTCTTATTAGTTCATAAGAAGGATAATTAAAAAATAGTATTTTATATTCATCTACTGTATGTATTGATAATCCAATAATACCTTCATGAGTCATTGGGTTTACGTCGAAAACGAAAGGCTCTTGTAATTGATGACCTTTAAAGGACATTGGTTCTATATTGATATCTCTGCTCTGTTTACTTAGTTGAATCAAATATTTCTTCCAATCAATCAATGGTTGTTTATTATATCCAAACCCAATATTGTATGACCAGTTTGGATACATTTCTTTAAACAAGTAATACCACAGATACAAGTTATTGGCTATCCTATCAATGATGTATGACATCTTTTTTTCTCTTTCTTGTTGCTGTTATTCTTACCTTTGAAACTTTTTACAGACTTTCTCAAGTATCAACAAATCTTTTACGTTTTCTATAGAATATTGAAATATGATAATCACCAACTCTTCTGGAAGAGTCTCCATTGCACCCATTTGTAAAAGAAAATAAAAGAAAAAAGTGTTGCAAGTTACCACTGCGGGGTTTCTCAATGCTTTTGTAGCGCGGCGTATTAAATTCTGCTTGAATGCCGTTCCTGGTCCTTGGTTGGCTCCATTCCGAGCTTCCGAATCAACCAGCCGAACCTCATAGTCGCACACACGTACAACTAGTGTTTTCTCCCTGCATAAAAAAAAGCCTACAAGCATATCAGAAGTATTCTTATATAGAATGAAAAGGCAATTGAATGGAAATGTAGAATAACAAATGACAAAGTTTATTTTAAAAAAGGAAAAGTAGCAAAACACAGTGCGACTTCTAAAGAATACGTTTCAACAGATACAAATAAACCTTTTTATTTATTTATTGGACTGCTTGCTTCTTTAAAAAATCAATAGTATATTCAACTATAAAACTTGCCTCAGCCATTGCTCCTATACCTAAGAGATCATAAGTATTTACTGCTAATTGATATATTTCTCATCAAACCTGTATCGCCACATGCTAGTTTTTTACTAATAGGCTGTACAATTTGAAACTTCAAGACCGTCGTAAGTACATCCAAATGTCTTGCAGTAAAAGGATGAGTCCACATGCTTGTGTTCATTGCAGGGCATGCAATTACTGGCTTCATAACGTTCCAAGCTCGTAGTATGCATGTCTATCCGAATACTTGGTATTTTAGTTTCCAATGTTTTGTTTTCTATTCTTTACCAGTAAATTATCACATAAACCATTGGCTATTTTTCCCATTGTATTAGCATCTAGGGGAGCAATGACCATAATGTCTGCCCAATCTCTCAGCTAGAAATAAACACCATGAGATTATTTGTGAATATTATTTTTTATACGCCCCTACTTGAATATGCAAAATTGGATCCGAGATTTTTTTCCAACTCTTTGTGTATAATGTTAATTGAAAACACCCAAGCTTTTTATCTCAACTTACTCCCCATTCATCTTTATCAGTATAGACTTCACAGTCAATTTCTACGTCTTTTACAAAAAAAGAGGCAGCTTCAGTGAATACTACTTTGACATTCACATGAGGATACTTTAAGATTATGCTTAGTTTAATGTCATTCACAACTGAAATACTTTACTTGTTTCAATAAGTTAACAATTAAGGGTACTTTTATTGTGGCAACACTGCCAGTGGCTCCAATCAGAATGTTTGTCATTAAGAGAAAATAAATTATTAATAACAGACAGCAATAATACACACTTTTTTCCGAAATTATTTGCACACTGATAAAAAAAAAAAAATGGCAATTTCAGACTAAAATAATAATAAAAGAGACAGCAAATAATGGTAAAAGAGAGCCCATCAAAAGCAAAAGAATGAATAAAAAAATGATTAGTAGATCAGTTATTTACATTGATATTAAATACTTACATTATAAAGAAGAGAATTTATAAGAGACAAAAAGAGAAGTCAAGATCAGACTATTTATATGAAGACTCTAACAACTTTACATTTTATTATGAAGCGCTGACCACATTTATCTTCTCTCAGAAAGACAAAATTCACTGCCTTTTTAATAATAAAGGATTGATAGCCAACTAAAGTATAATTGCTATTGGTTTTGAATTGTGTGCTGAAGTATTTATTATTAAACAAAAAAAAAGTTTATACACATGCAAATTGAAGAAAAAAATGCTTAAAATCTATTTAAATCGTGCTCTTCTTTTCTTTCTTTTCCTTTTTCTCCTTCTTTTCTTTCTTGTCCTTCTTCTCCTTCTTGTCCTTCTTTTCCTTCTTCTCCTTCTTGGACTTTTTAGCAGGTTGATCTTCATCTTCAATTTCTGAACGAGTTCTCTTGACACCAGCAGGCTTTTCAGTTTCTTCAATTTCTTCATCAATGTCTAATTCAGACATAACCTTCTTCATGACAGAGACATTCTTCTCGGGAAGAGCACCGCTGTCATAGAATGCAAGACGATCTTCTACTTGCTTCTTTAAGGCCTTACCAAACTTATCAGTGGGTGTTTCAGTAAAGCAATCGATACGAGCAGCAATGGTACATTTGTTGGCAAGGTAACGAGAGATACGGCCCTTGTTCTTTTGACCAGCACGACCAATGAAGGAAGAGTGATAGATCAAACCATACTTGGGAGTGTTACCCTTTGTCTTTAATGCTCTAAAGAGAGCTTTTTCAGCGCCCAAGATTTGAAGAGTAGAAGCAGGATATTTAGACAAATTGGTCAAAGAACCAGCTTGAGAGATTAATCGAGCACCAACCATTTCACCAATCAAAGCGGCAAGGTTAGGAGCAACATAGTTCATCTTGGTAATCAAGTAGTTGTGAAGGTTCTTACGGTATTCAGCAAGACTGACAACACGGTCGGCAAAGTTTTGAATGTTAATCATGTCAACGGGTGAAATGTCTGTACCCATGGATGAACGAGCAGCGTCGAGGATTTGCTTGGCGGTGGATTCATCTCCCTCGAGAAGTTCGGCAATAGACTCCAATTTTTCTTCGTTAAGTTCACCTTTGTTCTTGACAATCTTGACAAGCTTGGCATATTTATAATTGTCATTGACAATCTTGATCATTTCAGGAAAGTGCCATGAATACCATTCCTTGACACGCATAGCGAATGTGTTGATATCTTTGTCCAATTGATCCAATAAAGCAATGGCTTGAATAATCATGTTATCAGCACGATTCACATTGAACTTGACCTTGGCACGAGAATAACTGTGACCGAGACCGAGTTGAGCCTTTTCCAGATCACCAGTCTTTAACTGACTCAATAACTTTTCTGACCAGAAACGGATACCACGAACAAGCTCTTGAACAAGCTCATCAGAGGCACATTCAACATTAACTTCAGCCTTAATGGCACCAGCCAAGTTCTTTTCAGCAACACCTAAAACAACCTTGTTCTTCTTGCCGGCCTTGGGAAGGTTGATTTCCAAGAAAGCTTTCAAGGAAGGGTTGACGATACCTACACAGAAAACGTTTAGTCTACATTAGCAAGTCTTTATTTTCATTTACCTTCAGAAACATCGTTAGCATTTTCCAAAGCATCAGCAGCGTTCTTGAAAGGAGCAAAAGACTTGAGCTTAACCATTTTGCTAAACTTGGGAAGATCTAAAATGGACTTTTGAACTGATTCCAACTTGGAACCAATTTCTTCTGATTGAAGACGTTCAAATAAAGCGTAACCTGAGGCTGTTTCAAATAAAACGTAATTGACCATGGGCTACAACACAAAAAAAGGACGGAGGAGAAGAAATAGCTGAAAGAATATTTTTTTTTTTTTCTAAAACTTTTTTTCAAAAAAAAAACGTCAAACCTCTTTCCTCTCCTGTTCATGTTACACTAAAATTAGCCAATCATATTGATTTGTTGCCTTTTCTTCAATGGCATCTCACATCATCAAGCCAGCCATCTTGAGGTCATACTGTTGTCTAAGGCAACAATAACACGTTTATTTTGATTTATAAATGATTCAAAGTTTTGGCTTTAGTGTTTGGATAAACCAAAAGGTTAATTCTTATTGGAATTGAACGACATTAAGCAGTACCTCTTGACCCAAAAAGCCACACATCCATTGTCCCAGCAGTGCCTTAGAGGTGGAATTCGTGTTGACTGTAATTAATCTTTTTTAACCTAAATGACAACGTTTATGATGCTATTAAAAGCCATATTATGGAAAAGATAAAGGTTTACGTCTCGTTTCTCTTTTAATACACACATATGCACATATAGTTGTGATCTAAGCGTAGTGAATAATTACTTTAAAGAGAGCCATATAGTAAACTAAAGATACTGACTTCTGAGCTTGTACATACATATGTGTAAATATGGCTCATTACTAATTATGTTCTTTATGATCAATAAGAAGGCGGACATTGTTCCGATATGAGATAATGATGATACAGCTATTTAACCTAAAACGAGACGTCAATCATCTTGTTAATACCTTTTAACCGTCTAATTTTTTTTATTTTTAACTTGTCTCGTGTTTTATGCTAAAAACCTGTAGACAATCATTATGGGAGGTACTTGGTAATATATGCTTTGTTTATTACAAAAGCACTAATTACTCTTGTAGATACACTTGATAGACCCGCCTCGAGATGCAGTCACTGCAACCATCAGATAGAGACAGGAACAGCAGAACGACTCAAACCAGGCTGCAGTAATAGCAATACATCGATTCTTTATACTCTAGTTCAACTGTGTCTCCTACCCTTTTCATGCTGCTTTAATAAACAGAAAACAGATATACAGCGTACTAGTCCCTGTGTGCCTTGTAAAAATGAGCAATCAACACCTAAAAGCAAGCAACCTATTCAGATGGAATTAGTTCCCTTGCCATGGATGCCGCGCAAAGGTAAAGAAAAAGAGAAAGAGATGAGAAAAGACGGAATATTGAAGTTCCATGTCTGGATAATTTAGCAGAATCGAACAACGATAGTAACCAACAACAGCATTGGATATTCAGAACAGGATGGACGCCTGGGCCTGAGCAACCGGAAAAAACATGGTGCTCAAGTTGTGGTGCCTACGCTCGAAAGGATCTTGATCGATGTATTTATTGTGGAATTGAATTGATAAATAGATGATAGAATATCCTATTCAGTTCACGACTTCTATGTACATATATACTTTTTTTTTGAGATATATCAAAGAATAATATAGACTGTTTTCTTGTACTTTGCTGTTTGAGCCATCATGCCATTAGCCTGACTATTCAGTATAACGCTAGATACTTTAATAAAATCTGTAGCCGTACCAGTATTTGTATCTTCAGAACTCAACTCTGACTCAAAAAGCCTTTGAAAAAGTATTTTTTTAGTCTGTCTGCCTAAAAAACACCTTAAAAATTACCGTAGTAATAACCTACATCTTCTGTTGTCTTTTTGGCAGCACTGATATTACATATTCCTTAGCACATTTGACTCCTTTTCTACTTTTATAGATCCGCGCGTAGCTACGAACTTCGGCGCCTTCCACAGTGCCCCACCAGTTCCACGACTCAAAAAAACGCTATAAAAATAGACTTTTTTTTACAGTATTGGATAATCCATCATCAGATTAGTAAAGCAAGACGCATTAGTCTCCTCGTGTTTCTGTTGTACTAATTGAGTTATATAAGGTTTTGTTCTCATCCTGCGATGAATCAAATAAAAAAACGGAAATTAAAAAACGTGGCTCGTGCGGCTGGAAACTATATATAAAGTTGCTCGTTATAGTCGCTTCATTCTCCTATATATATATATATTATTACAACAAGCACAATGTTCAGAGCAAACGACGACAATAAGCCCTTTAAAGTACTGATCGTTGGTGGTGGCCCTGCAGGTCTCGTTTTAACCAGTGGTTTAAAAAACAAGGATATCTCCTGTGAAGTATATGAACGCGACGTCGATCCAGATTTCCGTACTCAAGGATGGTTTCTCTCGATGCATATGACTCTTCAAACTCTGAATGACTGCATTCCCAAACATCGATTTGAGTATTTTAGCAGAGAAGTTTGGGGTTAATAACGAAAAGAATGAAGGAGAAATGACCTTTACAAACTTTAATGGTCTGACCGGTGAAATCGAGACAATGCTCACAGCCCCTCCTTGTAAGGTCTATCGTGTGAATTGAAAGCGTTTTAGAAAATGACTTTTGCAAGACGTGCAAGATTTGGTGCACTGGAACAAGAAAGTAAGTCGTTATGAAGAGCATGCAGATGGTGTAAAAGTCTTTTTCGCGGATGAAATACATGCCGAATGTGATCTACTCGTGGCTACAGATGGTGGCATGTCAACTTTAACGTATCTGCCTATTGGTTATATGACAAGCAAGACGAAGCAACGCAGTTCGAAGCCATAAGTATTGCAAAACGAAAACAACATCCATTGAGTTTCAATCAAAGTGGATAGAAAACTCCAGAAGCAGCAGCCACATTGTTCTATCGTTTTTTTTTTTTCTTTTTTTTTTGCTCTTCCTCGTTGCATAGAAGAATTCCATACTTGCTGGAACAAGGAGAAGATGTTCACCGATTGTGTTGAAAAAAACAATCATTCTCTTCCAGGGCTCTCTGGTGATATTGTTACGTCGGATAGCTGAAGGAGTATCGTCGTATAAACTAGTTAAACCATTAACTCCATTGTTCCTATTAGCGACAGATTGCTGTACACGCTTAACTTAAAAATATATACTCTAAGAATGAATAATGCAAATATACTGACAACAATACATGTTATTAACATATGACGCGACATGCCCAACTATTATTGGACATAATTAAATTGGTTCCTTAATAATTCTGTCTTCATGTAAAATGACGCTGTTTGTAATAATGAGCTCTCTCTCGTCTTAACATACAATAAAGAGACTATATAGAGACTTATCGACACACATTTCCCTTATTACTTCTTTATATACTCGAGACATATCACACTAAACTACAAAAACACCAGAGATTCCGAGTCATCTCTATCTGCATTTCACATAAGAAATCATCTTATCAATGCCTTGTTAATTGAATTCGATGAAGATAAAAGAACAACTAATGTTATATTTGTATGAAATAATTATAATAAACCGCATTTACTCCTAAATCAAGTCGGAGAACAATGAAACACTCTACAAGAGGATGCTGCTTGGGAAGAATCTTTCCCATTTTGAAAGGATAGCCCACTCTGAGCATAGTCCCTAAAGACATCGCTCCAACATACCTATTATTTTAAGATGAGTCCAGCTATTCGGGATGTGGTCTCTAAGAACAAACAGAGGGTAAAGCCTTTTGATTGTGTGAATAAAAGATTATGCTTAAGCTAAATCGATTTTTGATTGGCCAAAAATAAAGTCATAAAAAAAGGGTGTATTCAGGTGGATGGCTCACTTTATTTACGCAATAAATAACCGCAAGCGCAAGTATTTTCTTGACTCAGCGAGCTTCTCATTAGCGTATGAACTACTTTTTAGTACTATCGAACGGATAAAAAGCGGGGTTTTTATGGGGTGTTTTTATCGAGCTTGTCGCGAACAATACTTCTAGTGTCGAATAGAGCACCTCCAAGAGACCCGGTTGCACCTCTGCTATTCATTATGTGGTAGACTCTCCATATGAGGCTGGTAAACTGACCTCAACGGCCGCTATAAGTGTAGAGTATGGCCTGACCATAGGCAGTACAGCAATCGCGTTCTATACTTGGCGAGACTACGTTGGTCTAAGGTTACTGACTCTATTGAGTTCAAAGGTCTATTCGGTTGCTTTTCTTTTCCTCCACGATGCTAGAACAGGTCTTTGTCTTGTGGGGGATGGATCCAAGCTATGCTGAATGGCTTTGATGAGTGAATTATTTAGACGAAAAAAGTAAACCAGCAGTTTATGCTTTTCCTTTTTCAGACAAATATCACAGCCACACTACAAGATATATTGTGCGCAGCATATCCTGCGCTTTTCTTTTGAGTTATTCCTTACTTGACAGTTGGTCGTTCTTGTGTATACTTTATCTCAAAATGCCAGGCTTCAGTGAGATACCTAGTGAAATTTTACAGCAGATTTTTGCATATGTTCAGAAGAACGCCAAGTACAAGAAAAGCTGGATGGTGCAATATCAGCTTGTCTGTAAGGGATGGAATCAAGTTGCAAGAACGTGTCTGTATAGCACAGTATATTTATGCGACGATTCGATCATGAAAACGTTTTTACACTGTATGAAAAACAGCAGCGCAGGGCACCTTACTCGAACCATATTCTTCAACACAAGGTGTGAAAAATATGAAACAGCGGAGCTTTACGTTAATGAACTTGTTGAAGCCTGTCCAAACGTAGAACGTGTTAAGGGTTTCATTAGGGACTATGATTTCTGGCGTGCTCTTGCCACTGCCGCATCAAAGCACTGGCCTCATATAAAGGAACTTGCTGACCCTTCTTCATTAACTGAACAACATAATTACTTTGATTGTTACAACACACTTATTTCGCTTTTTCGCCATTCGCTCACTCACGTCTATCTACCATCAGAGCATCCTTCTACTCCAATAATGAAAGAACTCTGTCAGCGATTACCAGAGTTTAGCAACTTAACACACTTAACTGTCAGCTATACAATACACCCTTGGCCACTCATGGATTATGATGAAATAATCCAGCTTTGTCCTAACTTGATATTTTTAAGCGTAAACTCAAGGACGTCTCTATTGGATGTGGAAAGCAGATCATCAACCACTCTTGATATGTTATCTATACAGCCGCACAAAAATATCACAACCTTAAATGTATCCTGGACCTCTCATCAAGGCAATGTCGAATATATCATGCATAAATTTCCCAATCTTCGAAATTTAATATTGCGATTTGGCGTCTATAACCCTTTTGCTCCTGGGAATCAGTTGGAAGACTATTTTGCTAATGTTGGCGATAGACTTATGGAATATCTGAGCTCAATGCAAACATATAAGATTGATGGAACGGGATCGTTTTCTTTGCTTGAAGCGTATTTAAAACATACAGCCAACGTACATGTTTGTCTTGAAAGTATGAGAGGCATGTCTCCAGAACTTACCCTGCAGCAGACCAGAATAGCACGTATACGTTTCAGAAACACACCGGAGAATAAAGAAAGGCTGTTACAGATGCTCCAAAGGCATCAACACAATGTCACAAGCTTTTCCTTGAACTTTGAATTAAATTATAGAGACAGCGTCGCATGGATTGAAGATATTCTCACTACCTGTACGCAAATGAAGGCTTTCCACTACTGGACACTTGAGCCTTTCCAGCCGCCATCACAAGCTGCAATAGATGCAAATGTGCCTTTGAATTCGACACTAGATACTCTTACACTGAGAGTACGTGCCATAAAAAGTGGGTCACTTGCTGGTTACTTGCGTCTCTTGCCATCAGTACGTCATGTAAACGTTACAATTACTTGCTCCTCTAAGGATGAAGTTGAAAGTAGAGTGGATATGCTATTCGATTCATTTGATACTGTGGATCAAGGTCATTACAGCAGTTTAATAGATGTATTTGGTAGAAAGGCGCAATTAGTAATTGACGATCGTTTGTCAGATAAAGCGATATACTTGGTAGATTTACAACGCAAAAATAGAACAACCTGGGAACGGACTGAAACAGTAAGCGAGAACCCTTTGATCAACGTTTTTGTCAAAATAGATCCAATAGATGAATATGATGATTTATAGGAATAATCTAATTTGTTGGCGCTATGATTCATAATGCGCTTAGCATTAGACTCATCAATAAAAGCATGGCATTTGTTGCCAAATAGTCTCTTCCAGCTTACATCAACCCTTTAATTAGTGTGATCCTAAACAATTCTTCCAGATTATGCACCGTTGGGATGCTGACTTAACCTTCTCTTTTCTGGCTGTAGTAGGTCAATAATGCTCAGATATCTAACTCGCTATAGGGACAAAGCTCTCATCTCAACGCTCCAATCTCACGACAAGGCAATTGGCATAGTCAGCCAATGGTGATTTGAATTGTCGCGTAGAGGCAAATGTGAAAAACACTAAGTCTTCTTGGAATATGCTTTAAGAAACCTGTTTTTATTCTTTTTTATCATTTCGACGCCTACTCTGTAGCTACACCAGCCATCACTTTCAAGAATGAATGTAGACAGGAGATACAGTCGCTCCGCTTTCAATTGGATGGCTTTTTGAAAATAGCAATCGAACTTTTAATATATTATTGCGCGTGGTTCTTCCATTCCCTAATGCTTTTGGGTCAATGCCACCAGACATTGCGCCTGTATCACCCAATATTAATCCAAGTGCCCCCTCCAGCACTCCTCACACAGGAGAGGATGACGGAGAGATAGAACTGGGAGAATTCTGGTCAAACTCTTGAATAGATTGGCATATTTGGATTGTAGGTATGAGGGATTATGTACAGGTGGAGCAGCTTCCTCAGAGATTTCTGGGTGTTAGTCCTGCACTAGGATAATCTCCTTAGACTTAAGAATACTTGTCGAGCCATCGTGTTCACCGCTTGGTGTTTCTGTAGTTATGCTCTCAGAGTCACTTCGAATAGGTTGGGTCGAGGAAGGCAAGCGTGTTATAGAACGACCATTACAACGTCACTTAGCAGCGGGTGTTCGTTCAGGACAGTCTGCCCGAACATGGCCACGCTTGAAACAGAGGAAATATGCACGTTTGCTGCTAGGAAATATAGGGCGACTAAGAGCGGCATGGTCAGGTTAATGGCAATATTTACAATAAGTCGACATGTCATTCCAATGGACCAAAATAAGCAGTTTGCCTGAACGAAAAGCATCTGGATCAACCCAGGTAAGTTACATGAGAGAGCTCCAAAAAAAAGAGTTTTACCTTGAGCATGAGATTGTTTTGATACATCGAGATGGTGTAGCCAGAACTCAAGAGAGCACCTGTGGTGCTGTCCTAGACAACTCTAATATCTCGAATAACACCAAGTTATTGAGCGTGACATTTAAGTCAGCAAAAAATTCTCTTGGCCGAAGCCAAGGCAAACGTTGAAGAAAGCTTTTTTTAGTGTTTTTCTGAGAATAAAGCGCGACTAGAATGTTTATAGCTACAAAGGCTCATCTGTAACCCATAACATTTAGAAGATGAATTATCTAATAAGATGAGATCTGGCTTATTTTCTTAATATAGTAATTAACAAAATCAAGGTACCAAAGCTTCAGAAAGCTATAAAAGAGAAAAGTACATTTTTTACTTTTAGTTCAACATCAATCTCTTTGAAACTACTGTAATCCTTGTCCTTATGTTATGTTTTTTCTTTTTAGTATTTCTAAATAGTGCATTGATACTCTAGTTTAGCATGAATAACCAAATGAACTATGCTGGTTAAATATAGAAATGGTGCCTTGAACAAAGGTTTGGTGACGGAGAAATTGTCACTGACAAAAAGCTTAGCTACTTCATTACAGAGTATGTCATGAAGCGAGGCCGAAAGCTTAGAAGAAATCCAGATGGTACACTTATTGCTCTAAGCAGAGAGTCAGTCCTCGCCTATATCAAATATATTGCAGATATGTACAGCAAGCAAAAAGCACTTGGATTAAACCCCCATGGTCCTGCAAGAGGGCCTCTAGTTAGGATTTTTCTGGATACTCTCGAAAAAGAAAAGGTCAAGAGTAGCAGGCAAAACTTTGAAAATCGAGGAAAAAATACACTGATGACTACACCAAACAAAATATGGAAAAAGTTGGTGGCCATTTCTTGACTGAGAAAAATGATCCTCTTGGCTTCAAAGTCAGGCTCTGCTTTTTGATCAGTCATGCCATGCTTTGTCGTAGCCAAACAGCACTTGGGATGCAGCTTGCTGATCTGCTCTCGCTTGTACTAGAAGATCAAGGGATACCAGAATGCATTGCTTTGGTTGCAACTATCACTTTTGGAAAAACCAACCAGCATGGCAAGATTGAATGTGACTTGTCTGTTCGACATCATGATGGTGAAGCATGTTCTGTCGGTGCTTTGGTAATAAACCTTTTTTTCAAGATCCCACTTCGAGAACGAGCCTTTACTTGACTTCACTCGTCGTGAAAGCTGGTACGAAACAGTAGTTTTCAAGGGATATGATAGATTCACGCCAATTACTTACAGAGCTCAGCATAAAATCTATATCGATGCATTTAAACCGTTGGTATCCATACCTCAAGATAACTCATGCTAACCATAAAAGTGCGCTGAACATGATTGCTCAAGAGAATGTTGCAAGCGACCAGCAAAGGATGATCGGTAGGTGAGGCACAGATTGTATGGTATATAACAGGTATTCAGCTTTGACAGAAAGTAATTTGATACAGCTTATTTTTGGTATATTTAATTTAATCTATTTGCGGATACTACCAGGTTTCAAGCTTCCGTAGAAGAGGCAACGTTCTTCAAATTTGCAAAGCCTTTTAAAGTACACGCGCCCGACATTGCGTAGGCAGTGATGCAATTAAATTAAGATCAAAGCTTCAACATGCCAAGAAAACAAAAGCTAAAGTTATCTCAGAAATTAAAGCGAAACTCAGTGAATGCAGCTTCCAAGAAATACACAACATAGAGGAATAAACAGTTGGTATAATCGAAGAATCACGCACTAAGGCATACTTCGAGATTTCTATTACTCCTGACAAAGAGTGCGTCAATTACGAACGTATGAGCTGCAAAAGCGAAGGTATATCGACAGGCTATGTTCTCAAAAGCGATCTTATGTGACCTCAAGCAGTAAGAAGCCATTAACAATGTTTATTGGAGATAGCGGACTCTGTTTTGGATCGTCCATAAAAGGTTATCAAAGATATGGAGGATACTAGAAGCCTATCAAGCATAGCCTCTACGATTCGGTTTGCATAGCAAGCGAATACAATACGTTGCAAACTTGCATTTTTTGTTTTAAGAAGCTACTACACCCAAAGCGCAGTACAACAGACAAGAATGGCTGTATCAATTTAAAAATGTTAATGGAGCTTTTGTTTACGTGAACCCATCCTGCCCGTCAGTAAAAGCAGGTCAAAACACTCATGCTAGAGACACTCTGAGTGCTGTTGCTATTGGCTTATCTGGGATGGCGGCTTTACTACTTGGAACAGCATTTCCTCAATTCAACAGAAATATCAGTCCATCACAGACTGATCAATTCAACCAACTTGCTGCCGCTTTCTGTACATGAAACGCTGTTAAGCCTATTACCGCTGGTTTTAATACCTAAGGTAAGTTTTATTTGAAAAAAAAATTATAGAAAAATACTAACTTTATTGATACGTCTGTTTTTTTATTCCTCTTTTTCATTTTGCTTCGGTGTGTATTTGAGAATATATGCATATCCCATTTACTAATTTTATATTTGTGTCTCAATTCTGGGACTCGTAGTTCATTTACCCTCTTAGTATTTGCATCACTCTTTAGTTTAAATACTGTTTTAGAGGAATGAAAAAGAACGGTACTGGGGATTTCTTTATATTATTTCGTATCCACGTCAAAAGTGCTCTGCTGAGCAGCTTTGATTTTCCAAAAAATGAACAAGTGCGAATATCGATTTTTATTTTCTCAAATCAATTGAAAAGAAGTTCATTGATAAGAAATATATCAAGCAATCGCAATTGAGGACTGTCTAAGCTGGATTTGACAATCTAAACTTTGCATCAATAAGAATCTAAGTTTAAATAAAAATTATATCCTTAGCTTTATAAATCCTAGCTCAAATCATCTCATCTTCATTAAAAAAAGAATTTGATTTGTGGCCAGGAACTAATGTTACACGGTAGTTGAATATGTATTAGTTTGACCAGTGAGGCTTTTATACATTTTCTTTCATGCAGCAACAAATAATCATCTCTCATAAACAAGCTGTTTGCATGTCCTTCTTACAATAATGCACGGATGAAAATTATGAAAGGCTTTTAAAGAGACTGAAGATATTAGCAAAGATATTAGCGGAGCTGATATCTGTTGGTCAAACGATCTTAAAAAGCCAGCTCTGGGCAAGTTGTCTATGATCTTGGACAAAACATCAGACTACAAGAGGTATCCAGCCTTGTTAATTGGAAATCCTTCCTAACAGCATTTCCTTTTCTTATTGTCAATAAATGTTTTTATTAGGATTCTTTTGATCTATAAATGCTTTTTGTTCTACACATCGAAGCAGACAGTACTGAGGAAATCATCAAGGATTTTTTAGACTGTTTAATATTTTGTAAGCTTGTCTTTAATTTTGATACGACACTGCTAGGCATTAAACCAGTACGTCCCATCTTAAAGAGAAGTTAGACAGGAGACCATTAAACTGAATAAAGCCCAATATTTGGAAAGCATTAGACATAAATCATTATTCTTGTATTTCATGATCATCAAAAGCTACCATGACCCTCTTTCTCATATCAATATTATGAGCAAATATTCAGTAACCTTGTATTTGTCGTCATCTCTACTTAAAATAAGGTTAAGGATGCTTTAAAGACTGTTTTAGCTCATGTAACTAAATTAAAAGGACAACATTAAGGAGTTGAAAGAATACTAGCTGTGAATACTCTCTAAGGAATCTAGAGTTAATAGATTGGTTGTAAACACCTTATTAAAAAATCTATTCAACATCTTGCTGTTAAACCTCAAGCAGATATTGTTGATCCTCGTCTACTGATTTACTTTTGTTTAAACACAGCCTTTTATTTAAAATATGACAATGAATAGACTTTGACTCGTTTGTGCTTATGAATCATACGAACTCGATGATTTACTCAGGGAATAAAAATTGCGCAGTTTGAAATTTGTTATTGCGCAACAAAGTTTTTTAATTCTAGTTTGACGCCGTGAGCACTGTTTACACTTTTTTTTTATATTTACTTGATGAGTGTTTCTGTATTTTTTGATACTTTACGTAAACATGACCTTGATCAGGTAAAGAATAGAAAAGTATAGTTATTGAACTCATCATTGACACATACACAATCAAAATCAAACATAATAAATAGTTTTATTCAACGTGAGTCTTCTTATTATTTAAAAAGGGTCACAAGTTACTCACCTCTTTTCTTTTTTCTTTTTTTCCTTTTTCTTTGTTTACACATAAAATAAAAAAAAATAGCTTTTCTACACACGGAATAACTCATCTTCAAAGTTTAGCTCAGGTACAGACTAATGTGAAAAAAAAAAGTTATTTTTTAGTCTGAAAATATTCATTTTTTTTTCTTTCTTTCTTTCTTTTTATTTTATTTTCCCCAGCTTTCCTTACAAGACTATTCACGACTTGGAATAACAAATACAGCTGACAGAAGAAAAATATTTGGTCTAGTTCAATCGATACGTAAAGATAACGAAAATAGAACCAACAATATGATGACAACCTCTACCTCCACTATGACTAGCGGACTCCGACAACCGCAGACTTACTCTAATAGCAGCAATAGCAGATTACCACAACCAGATAGTATTAGTCGTACGAGAAGGCAGAGTATTATTGATAAACCAACACCTCCACCATCTATTATGACTGCCAACATTGGTGAAAGGCACATTCGAAGTCGTACCATGTCAGATGCTCCTCGACCTGATCTTCAACAACTTCGTTCACCACTCAAGGATAGACGATTGGATTTACGCAAGTCACTATTACTTGATCAGCCAGATGATCAGGATTCGGAGGAGGAGTTGGAAACAAAGAATAGAAAATACAGGTCATCCGCACCATTACTGGACGCATACGGTGTGCCTCTCTCACCAGCTAAAGCAGCCGCATCCCTTCGATCCTCCACAGTACAACAACAAAATACGGCTTTTAATTTACCACAAAGTGATTTAAATCAAAAGATCAGAGTCTGTGTCCGAAAGAGACCACTCAACAGAAAGGAACTGGAAAAAGGTGATAAGGACGTTGCGCCTACGCTTGGCACCAGAAGCCTGCAGATTAATGAACCCAAGTAAGAAAAAAAAAGGAGAAAAAAAAATAAGTTAACATTATTATAAATAGACTGCGGCTCGATTTAAGCAAATATACCGAACAACATACCTTTACATTTGACGATGTCTTTGATTCTAATGTATCCAACGCAGTCGTCTATGAACGTACAGCACTTCCCTTAGTGAATTATATCTTTAAAGGTGGAAAGGCCACTTGCTTTGCTTAGTAAGTTTATTTATTACTTATTTATTTATACACATATTGATTGATTTTTTATATATGTATAAAAGTGGTCAAACAGGATCTGGTAAAACTTACACCATGCTGGATCCACGAAGGGGTCTATATATCTTGGCTGCACGTGATATCTTTTCGATGCTCAACAGACCAGAAAATCAACACCTTACTGCTTGGATTGGATTATATGAAATATACCAAGGTCAACTTTACGATTTGCTTAATAACCGCAAAAAGTTGTTTGCCAGAGAGGATGGAAAGAATAATGTGATCATTTCTGGTCTAAAAGAATACCCCATTGACAATGTAGATAAATTGATTCAAGTATTTGATTATGGCAATAGTGTCCGTACCACAGGTAATATATTATATTTTGATTATGCTACTTTTATTCATTGTCTATATGCAGGATCCACCGGCGCCAATGATACCTCTTCACGATCACATGCTGTTCTTCAAATCTTGCTAAAGCACAAAGAAAATAGAAAAAAGATTCATGGAAAATTAAGTTTTATTGATTTAGCTGGTTCCGAAAGAGGAGCTGATCGAGGTGAAGCGGATACAAAGACAAGGTATATAATTGATGAAAGATGACTATTGTCGTTATTAACTTATTATAGAATGGAGGGAGCAGAGATCAACAAAAGTTTGTTAGCATTAAAAGAATGTATTCGTGCCTTGGATAAAGATAAACGACACACACCCTTCAGACAGAGTAAGCTCACTCAAGTGTTGAAAGACTCATTTGTTGGACATTCTCGTACTTGTATGGTCGCCACTATATCTCCAGGAGGATCCAATAGTGAACACACATTAAACACTCTGAGATACGCTGACAGGTAAATATTATATATATATAGGCTTTTTTTTCTTTTTTTTGCTCACCTTCCTGATTCAAATAATATAGAGTGAAAGAATTGAAAGGAGAAAGAGAAAAGAGAACCTCTGCAGAAAGAAACTACAGCAGTGTGCAAGAGGAAGAAGTATATGAAGATGACGAAGAAGAATATATTGAAGATGATTTGAATGATGATGAATACTTTAGCAACGAATCCGATATCTTGGATGATGATACTTTTAATGAAGAAAGTCTGTTTGACGTTGACTTTCCACACGAACAGGATTCACTTCTTCAATCGAGCGCAGCCAACACGTTCACACCAAGATCACTTACGGATTCATATACAAGTCTATCCTTATCACAGCAATCACAGACACGCTCTGATAATTCGGACGCATACATCAAAAGTTCCAGTCATAGTAAACCTCATTCGATGATTTATCGGTCCAGCACGCAGTATGACAACTCTTCACAACAGCGACCGTTATCTTTGCAGGCCAAATATCAATCCTTGAATTTGCCAAGGTCATACTCAATGTACTCCCGAAACTCAACAGATACGGCCTCAGATACATCCTCAACCTATTCCTCACCTCAGCGATCACTGCTCTCGAGCAACAATAATAATATGACAGCCGCAACCACGGCGATGACACCACCACTACCAACAACAACAACAATGACAGCTACACCTGTTGGTGACGGCGTACCTTCTTTTAGCAATGACCGCATTGAAGAATTTATTAAATTCCACCGAGGAGAAATTAGAGAAATAACAGACTGTACGAAACGAGAGACCAAGCTGGTCGCTCACATGTCGCTTCATCTATCCTCTCACCAGGACGATGATAATAATTCTAGCAGCAGCAGCCACAGCAACCATACAAAGAATACATCCGAGTTCCTTAAATACTTGCAGGATTTGGATGAAATATTGGAACATAAATTAGCAGCGATTGAAGCATTAAGAGACCGCATAAGTGATACCGTAGGACAAATTGAATTTTAAAAAGACAACAATAAAATGTGTGTAATGCTTGTTTATTTAAAAGAGTTGTTAATTGTGATAGACTGGCAGACGTTCCTTTCTTCTTGCAGCATATTTTCTTCTCATTGCCTCTCTTCTCTTTTCTCCAGCTTCTCTTGCCTTTCTAATAGCCTTCATACGTTCCTTCATAAGGTCCATAATCGCTTCTTCATTCTGGTCCTTCATGTATTCTACACCGTCAGTCAATGGCTCAGTATCTTCAAATTCAACAGCTGAAAAATCATAGGAAATCGGTCCGACTTCTTGTGCTGGATAGGTGGGCTCAAAGACATCATCGGTTGAATCATCTTCAGGATCTTCACCAAGTGCAAATGCGAGTGTAACAATATGTGCGAGGAGAAAAAGACTAGACAAGCGCATAAAAAGTAATTAAAAACAAAAAAAAAAAGAGAGAGAGAAAAGGTGAACTATTTGCTTGTAAACATATTTTTCATCCATGTATTTAAATTTAAACGAGCATCTCTTTTTTTTTTTTTTTCCTTGGCTTCTTGCAAAGGTAAGGGCTTTGTTACTACTTTTTTATTAAAGCCGAGATAAAGAACAGGAGGGAGGGGGTAGAAAAACAAAGACCGCCTTTATTTTTTATTTGTTTCTTTTTCCCTCTCTTTTTTTTTATATTTTTACATTGTCTTGATATATAAATGAGTCTAGATAAAAAGCGAGTGCATCATATATCAGCACCCATTTCACCATTAGGCATTGCTAATAATAAACCGTTAGATTCATTATATGAAGATTATCCACCACCTGCCTATCAGCCTCCTCAAGGTAAAAATATATAATATAGAATTATATGTGTGTTGTTAATTTTTTACAGTTTATGAACATAGTAACCACTTTTATCATCCCACTCCTCCACCACAAACTGTCATCATTCATAGACAACCAACAAAGTCAAAGGATTCTTGTTGTTGGGGCTGGTAATTTTTATTTATAAATGGCGTCTTTCTTCCTTTTTTAATTAATTGTTAATTATTTATATATATATATAGTCTAGCAGCTTTATGTCTTTGCTTTGGGGCAAAAGAATGTTGTTAAAGTATACCGCGTATTTACAATCTTGTCACATATATATATACAATTACATTTTTATGTGTAAATCATACCCTTTTTCTTTTTTCCTCCCTAAATAATAAAAAAAAATTCTGTGTATACAAAAGGGCGATCCACGTTGCTCGTGTAACATTTATTTTTCTTTTGATGATTGTTGTTTCCAAGCAAAAAAGTTGCAACTGTAGAGCTCCTTGGGCCCATCCTGAGGGCCGACTGGCTTAGGACAAAGATAGAATACTCTACCTAGATTAGGTCCCTTTTTGGTGACGGTGCGTTCTATGCATGTTTCATTATGTCCTCTACATTTGGGTACTTGCGGTGGCCGAAAAAGGGTGGACCATGCGGCCTTGTTATTGTTATTAAAATCTTGTTTATCCATATAATAATAATCTTGATCCTTGTTCTCTTTTATAAAAAAGGTGTCCAGACCCTTTTGCTTTTTTGTTGTTGTTCTAGTCTCTGCATTAAAATTATTTCTTCGTTTTGATTGCTCTCCGGATGCACTTGATGATGATGATGTAGTAGTAGTAGTAGTAGTAGTAGTAGTAGCAACATTTGATAATGAAGATGAAGAAGATGAGGATGTTGTGTTTGATTTGGCTGTAAAATAGCTATGTAGCTTCTTTTGCTTGTTTGAAAACTCTGAAAAGTTTGTCGTCAATAGAGCCGAAAATTCATTTCCTTGGGGTAGTGTATCTGGTGTTATGTCAAAGTCAGCATACACCGGACAATGATCAGAACCTTTAATGTCTGGCTGTATATCCGCATAAATAAATCGATCCTTTAGACCCTTGGACGCCAAAATGTAGTCAATTCTTGTGCCATAGTTTGCAGGTCTTGCGTTTATCCTTGTATTCCAACAAGTAAACATACCCTTTCGATTTGGATGAAAATGACGTGCCATATCAATGAGTGGTCCCTTTGGGTCAATCAAATCATCAACCCATCTTCTGTGAGGAAGATCCTTAAAGTCTTCAAGATTATTGACTCTCATACTCTCCTTTGGGTCACAATGATCCAGTTCTTCATGGACTGCATTCACATCGCCTACAAGGATGACTTGTTTACCTTTTGCCAAATACATATTAATACGCTTTCTGACACAGGCGTAATAATCCATAATAAAGACCCCTCTAGCTTCACTGGCGTAGTTGGGGAAGTAAATGTTGAACAAAACAAAGGCATCAAAGTCCAAAATGATACATCTTCCTTCAGCGTCTAGTGTCTCGGCAGGCGTGGCAAGCGTGTTTACGAAATGGGTCATTTCCTCATCTGCTGTTTTGTCTAGTACACCTGTTATTCCTTCCGAGACCTTTACTGGCAGTGGCAAATGATCTTTGATATAGACTGCGGTGCCTGAGTAGCCTAATTTGGCTTTTGAAAATGAATGATATGCGTTGTAGCCAGATATGATTGCCATATCTCTTGTCAATTTAGATCTTTGACATTTCACTTCCTGTAGACTAAAATCAAAGAGAAGTATTAGGGCTTATGTGTGTGTAATTAAACATATAATCAGCTGTTACAACACCATATTATATCAGCACCAAGAGTATCTAATAAGAACTAAATAATAAAAACTGAATCAGATCATGTGCATAATCGAGGTTTATTATTGTTACTTTATACGACTTCTTTTCATGCCATGGATGGTATTGTAATGTTGTTGCTAGTCCATTGACATTCCAGGTCAATATTCTCATGTCGAAATATTAAGAAAAAAGAAAGTAAATATGAATAATTGAAGACTATGAAAAGATTTCGGAGACTGCAGTTTAATCTTTTGCAGCACTTCAAGAGGCTAAGCTAAGGAAAGAAAAGTAGATGCTAAAAGATCCAACTCAAAACCAGCTAAAAAAAAAAAGGGGGGGGGGGCACAACTACCTTTCATGTTGAACGTTTTTAGAATCCACAATGGATATTTTGGATATATCTGATAAAAAGGCTGCTTCATTGTAATGGATAACTGTGGAATAATGCATACTGAATAAACTTGATTATAACCTTTGTTTTTGCCACTCTATTCACCATTCTTAAATTCAACTGATGAGTGTTGGGAAAAGGCTAAAAGCAGCATAAAAAGGAGTCCTCTGGATAAAGATGACACACTTACACCTTGTATAATTGAAGCATGGCATGTAGAAATTTATTAGTATAGATGAATCTGGCTTGCATAATTGAAGAAAAGTAACTGAGGGATTTGAGTGCCTTGTTTAAACAGCCACCATTCCTTATTTAGTTCACCAGATCTGCATATCAGAATTGCTCAAATAAACAAGGCTGTTAGTTAAACAATAGACAAGACAAAAAAAAAGTAAACAAGTACAGGTACCTTTTTTTTTAGACAGCACACAGCGCTTCTAAGCATCGCAATAAAGCAAAACAACCTCGATGAACACCTCTTGCATAAGACCATAAAAAGCCAAATACAAGAGTCAGCTCTTTTTTCCATTTAGCTGCGTCATGTATTAGGGATTCCACCAAGCCCACAGAGATTGTTCGCAGAAGAGCCGTCCAAACATGTTACAAAGCCCTACCAATGTAGCAACGGCGGTCATCAAGACAAGAAGTCCCGATGCAACTGTGTTTGTCTGTAATGGAGATAGAAAGTGAAGGTGCCTTCTGGTCAGGGGAATATATTTTATAGCTTTTTCCGCTTTTTTTTTGTTGCCTTCTTCTTTTGTTCTTAAAGCCACTTCGTTCATTGTCTCATCCAGCTCGCCTCTCATCCATTCTTGTTCAGATGGCTGAGCCTGTTGGTATTTTCGCAATGTTGTTAAAGTTTCTAAATGAAAAGGATCAACTTCTTCAACCCATTCCATAGCATCTTTGCCTTGTTCATTATAAATCTTTCCTTGTCCGTTTTCGTAGAAAAAGTATGTACTCATGTTAGCTTTAGAATAGTGATAAAAGAAAAAAGAGAGAAAGGTAGAAAAAAGTTACTGCAATTTAATTTGTTTAAAACCCATCTCTTTTTGTAAGCATCTATCCTACTATTAAAGTAGCACGTTTAATACTGTATTTTTATTAACAAGTAAAGATTTAGTCGGCCCATTTGGGCCGATATAAACTACATTTTTTTT